AAATAACAATAAGACCCTTAAAATGCTGTATATTTTTATGTAACGTTTATTTTTTTTATTTGAAGTTATCAGAATTTAAATCAACATTAGATGACTATTCCAAAACTCGTTTGAAGGACGAGCGATCATCTCAAAATGCAGTTGTATCACACAAATTATCATGCTCTGACAGTTGTTTTCGGATATTTTTCTCGTCTGGTTAAAGCAGAACAGATCTAAAATCAATGACACCAAATTCACTTCATCTTGATCTGTCAGAAAACAATAGTCTACTGCTTAAATGATCTGTTTTTCGGATCACTCACAGCCATACTCAGCTAACCCGACGATCATACACAGCTAGAGATGTTGTGACTTTACGGGGCAACCTCAAACAGAGCTATGGCTCAAACGAGATGGCAAAAAGTTATGGAGAACTCTCAAGACACACCAAGCAAATGGCACTGCCTCAAGGACTTTTGGTGCACTTGATCCTGTCCAAGTAACCATGATGTCCAACCATTTTGACTCCATTTATGTCTCTGGTTGGCAATGCTCCTCTACTCACACCACCACCAACGAGCCAGGTCCAAACCTTGCTGACTATCCTTATGACACGGTCCCGAACAAAGTGGAACACCTTTTCTTTGCACAACAATACCATGACAGAAAACAAAGTGAGGTACGAATGAGCAAGAGCAGGGAGAGGGCTCGAACCCCTTATGTTGATTACCTGAAGCCAATCATAGCAGATGGTGACACTGGCTTTGGTGGCACCAGAGCAACTGTTAAGCTTTGCAAACTTTTCGTGGAGCGTGGTGCTGCTGTTGTCCACATTGAGGACCAGTCCTCTGTAACCAAAAAATGTGGTCACATGGCTGGTAAAGTGCTTGTTGCTGTTAGTGAACACATTAACAGGCTTGTCGCTGCAAGGTTGCAGTTTGATGTTATGGGAGTGGGGACAGTTTTGGTAGCCAGGACTGATGCTGTTGCCGCTAATTTGATCCAAACCAATGTTGACACCAGGGATCATCAGTTTGTTCTTGGTGTGACTAATTCAAATCTTCAGGGAAAAGGTCTGGCCACTACGTTAGCAGAAGCAATGGCTGCTGGTAAAACTGGCCCTGAACTTTAAGCCATTGAAGACAACTGGCTAGCCATGGCGCAACTCAAGACATTTTCCGAATGTGTTACGGATGCAATGAAGAACATGAACATCAGGGAGGATGAGAGGAGGAGGAGAGTGAATGAATGGATGAACCATTCTATTTATGACAGGTGCCTCTCAAATGAACAAGCCAGAGAAATTGCTGAGAGATTGGGGCTCAAAAATCTTTTCTGGGACTGGGATTTGCCTAGAACCAGAGAAGGGTTCTATAGGTTTAAGGGATCTGAAATGGCTGCAGTTGTTCTTGGTTGGGCTTTTGCTCCTCATGCTGACCTTATTTGAATGGAGACTTCGAGCCCAGACGTGGTTGAGTGCACCGAGTTCGCTGAAGGGGTGAAATCAATGCACCCTGAAATCATGTTGGCTTACAATCTCTCACCATCTTTCAATTGGGATGCATCAGGAATGACTGATGAACAGATGAGAGACTTCATTCCAAGAATAGGCAAGCTTGGTTTCTGTTGGCAGTTCATAACACTAGCAGGTTTCCATGCTGATGCACTGGTGACCGATACATTTGCAAGAGATTTTGCAGGGAGGGGAATGCTAGCATATGTGGAGAAGATCCAAAGGGAAGAGAGGAACAATGGGGTGGACACACTTGCTCACCAAAAATGGTCAGGAGCAAACTTTTATGATAGGTAGCTCAAGACAGTCCAGGGAGGCATCTCATCCACTGCTGCTATGGGCAAAGGCAAGTCATAAAAAACCCCATTCTTTTCCTAGTGATTACTCTAATAGTGGAAAAGAAAAAGAGTTTGATAATTAATTTTTGTTGTTTAAAATTTGTGCAGGAGTGACAGAGGGGCAATTCAAAGAAACATGGACTAGGCCAGGAGCCATGGACCTTGGAACTGAAGGCAATCAGCTGGTTGCTAAGGCTAGAATGTAAGAGAAAGCAATGGTGAAGGGACAAAAGGGTTTGGTCTATTTGAAGCATTACCCAATTCTTATATTTTGGAAATGGCATGCAAATAATAAAATATGCTAATAACATAATTGGAGAATGGATCATTCTGGGCAATTTTTTTTTTTTTTTTTGCCCACAGTGTGTATCTTTTTTTTTTTAAGTCTCTCGAATGCTTTGTTAAAGATGAAACTTGTTTCTTTTATAGTTTCTCAAAGTTTCAAATGCTAGTTTTACTAATGCAACTCAAGGTATAAAACAACATATTTGCGTTAAAATTTAAAAATCTAAATGGTTTTTTGGACAACAACATCTCGTAATCCACCTTTAAAAAATTTTTGAGAAATTTTATGGAAAACCATAAATTTCAAGGTGTATTTCTAATCACTCAATACTTTTTCACATAAAACATCAAAAACTATTATTAGTTGAACATGACCTTCAATCCAGCTCAGTGATGAAGCAATTGAACATGGCATTGGCTGAAGTTGAAGACTATTATTAGTTGAACATGGCCTTCAACCTAGAAATTGAAGATTATGTTGGGAATAATAATTCAAATCTCATAACAAATTTATTTGAAATTTATTAGATATTATTTAATAGACAAAAAAACTTATGAGAGAAGAATTTTAAGAGGCTTATTGCCTAACAGACTAACCTTTGGCTGTCTGAGTGCCCTTCTTTCATTCTTTTTTTTTTTCTCAAAGAAATTGTCAATGATCTGATTGTTACACACACTGAGCCCACCTGATTGATCTTTTTTTTTTAGTTTTTAATTTAATTTTAAAATAAAACTAGAAAAGGGATTTGCTTTTATGCTATGATGAGATGAAAACAGGCTAAAGAGTTGATGGGCAGCGGATTTGGATCTTTCTTATGAAAGTTCTGCCATGAGCCATCTTTTTTCAAAAACTTATCCTTCCACTGAGCTCTAAATCCTTTTCTTTTGCATGTCATTTGATCCTGGAAACGCCACAAACATTGTGTTTTCTTCAAAGCTTTCTTGAAACTTGAATGGAAAATAAAACACCAAGGATCCTAGTAGTATTTTGTCCAAAAAAACTGCATCTTAACAAGACATGTCCAAATCAAACACAGCTTAAGCTGATCATGGGATAATGATTTCGGATCAAAATTGGAGTTGATTGGCCAAAGTTTGTAAATGAATGATGAATGAGCAAAACATAGAAGTTTTTGGTTGGTATACATGTCAGGTGACAATTATACTTTTCTCATAAAATTGATTTATTAAGTTATGCAGCACTAACATTTATACGTTTAGCAATCCTTTTTTTTATCCGATGTTAAGAGGTTGGATTGGTCTGGCATTTGGCATGGAATCGGATAAGTTAAGGGTTGACTCTTGATATAGAGTCGGACGAGTCAAGAGTTGACTCTGATACTATTTATTACCTGATTATTATTCTCTTTTAACAAAATCGGAACGTGCAACGTTAATATTTATATGAACAACCTTTTTTATCCTATGCAAAGTAGAATTAATACATCTCTTTTTTATCCGACCCAACATTGGATTAATGCATCTTATCTATTCTTTTTAAATTTTGACGTAACATATACATCATGAAAAGGTGATTTTTTTTTTAAATGGACCTGTTCTGTTGGACATTTTTAAGGGGGCAATAACTATCAACTCTCCACCCAACCCAGGGTTTAGAATAAGAACACCATAGTATTTTATGGGTGTTAGTTGTATTCTATGATTTTGATACTGAAAGATGGTTTTAAGTTTGGACCAGTTATGAGTTGCGAAGTACAATGGTAAAAGTCGCTGATGTTATGGTCAAAACATGAACCAAGATTCTGTACTGGTTATTACAGCATTTTAAGTTGCCATGATACAGTTGCGGACAGTCACAGATAAGAAGTTTAGCACGACTGATGAAAGGTTAAGAGTTGGTTTGAAATTTTTTTTCGTTGAAATGTGATTTTTGTTGGAAATATTGATTCAAATTTTATAAGAGATTTGTTTGAAATTTATCAGATATTATTTGATGGATAAAAAAACTTGCAAAAGAAGAATTTTAAGAGAAAGATGATTCTTAATAGGTAAGTTTGACTTGTAAGAGAAGAATTCTAAAAGGAAAAGGATTTTTAATAGGCAAGTTTGACTTACAGGAGAAGAATTCTAAGAAGAGAGGGATTTTTAATGGGCAAGTTTGTATGATTATAAATATATAAAGTCTTTACAGCGTTAGGTATGAGAAAAAGATGTAAGAGAGTTGTAGAGTTTTGTGGGATAGACAGAACTAGAAGAGATTGAGATGGTTCACATAGGTATGGTGTATGGGAGCATATGAGTATGTGTTTGGTTGTGTTGAAAGGGTGCACAAGGGTTTGAGTTTGTATTTGTTTGGGTTGAGAAAACTCCATAGGACTAGAGGAGATTGAGTGTCTTATGAGTATTGATTGTTGAGTGTGGTTGATGATTTGACGTAAGTTTGTAATTCTCTACAACTAATGGATCTTGTTTCTCATCCGTGGATGTAGGTCAGTTGGACCGAACCACGTTAAATTGTTATCTCTTATGTGTTTGATTTATTGTTTGATTTCGCTTCCGCTGATATGATTACATTGAAGGTTTTTAGTCCAACAAATGGTATCAAAGCTGTGGTGTTCTCTAACAACTTTTGAAATCAAAAGTTGATTTTCAAATAAATGAACTCGATCCTGGAGGATGAACTAAGCTTTAATTGGATGATAAATGTATGTAACCATCAAGAACGAAGTTTACACTGGTGTTCGGAGTTCTTTTCTATAAAATTGAAATATTGTTACAAGATTGATAAGATCATCAGTATTAGACCCAATCCAATCTGAAACTTGAGCTTGAATTTGGGCTCAGAATGAGTTAGACAGAATCCCAAAACCCAAATGGATATGGAGGCCCGAATGCATGGCTTCCCTCTTCCGCTTCAAAAGTGTAAAGGGGAGTAGCAAGGAGCTTCTCCATGATAAAACTGGGCTATGCATGAACATTGAACGGCAACCGTGATACTTCCTGAAGAAAGTGGAGGTTTTAACCGTCAAACCTGATGGGTTCCAAAGCCTGGCTCGTTGAAGACGAAAGTGCAAGAGAAATGTTGGACAGGGTTCTAACTGAGCGCCCTTTCTTGCTTCTTCCCCCTCTTCACAGGGTTCCTCTACGCGTCGGCAACATTGTTGAGATTGTAGGCCCTTCACCTTCTGCCAAAACCCACATCTTAATCCAGGCTGCCATCACTTGCATACTTCCCAGACAGTGGAAAGGTGTCAATTACGGTGGATTGGGGCATTTAGCGATGTTCCTTGACTTGGATTGTCGCTTTGACATTTCACGCTTCTCGGATTTGTTAAACCATAGAATCATGGAAGCAGCCAATGGTAAGACTAATTCTTGATGAAAATTAGCAGTTTCTTTTCTTTTACTAAAGTTTGGTTCAAACATGTATAGGATCAAGCAGTGAAGTAGATTGTCAGATAAAGGAGTCCGAAGCTCAAAATGCAACAACTAAACCTTACAATGAGGAATTGTTTGCATCATGCATGAGACGGTTTTTATACATCCGTTGTTATGATAGTTCTGAATTTCTTGCCACTCTCAAGGTGAGGACCAAAATTTTCCCCAATTGCCCAAGATATAAGGTGCAAAATAAGTGTCTGTCTGATTGAAGTAATGCATTGTTTTCTTTTCATGAGGAGAGAAATGAGGGTTGATTGTCCAAGTGAGAAACCAACACTTTAAGATTTTGAAATGGACCGAATTGGTGCAAGGACCTTGGCAGACTTCTCTTTATACTGTTGTAGATTTGTGCCTTGGTAAAGAAGATTTATTTATTTGGTGGTTTTTAATCTATTGTCATTAGTGTAATTTTTGCTGGATGACAGACATTACACTATCGGCTTCAAAAGGAAAGGGAAACACATGGTGTTAATGTTCATGTCCTGTTGATTGACAGGTTTGGCATTGATCCCTCTAATTCAAACCCTTTACCTTTGTTACCTTTTATTGTCTTTCAATTGTAGCTGTATCTTGTTGATGTAACAGTTAGAAAATTCATTAAAGCAGATAGTTTAATGAGTTATGGAATATCAAGTATTCTATCTGTTTAATTCATCTCGCTGATGAATATAAGTTGTGATGGTTTTAGGGTAGAGTGTTAGTGGATTCAGTAATCCCAATAATTGAATAGCAAAGATCTCCTTCCAATAACTGACCAAATCGACCGAATTATTTTGGCTAATAGTTTCCAGTACCAAAATTTAGCAAAGGAAATATAACGGGTTAATGAATGGAAGTCTGAGTTAGTTTTGAGAGGGAGTGTGAAAGAATCTAATGTAAAATTCTTTGAAATTAAAATAACAGTTAGGATCACCTAATTCCATAGCCTCTGATGTGCATAAATTGTCACCAGCATTGGAGCATTTCACTGGATAGATCGTGGTTCATCATCTTTTTCACTGGAGGGTGATACTAGGTAACTATTTCAATATCTGTTCCCACAGTTTTGAGCAATCTTTTGAAAATGTCTTGCATTTTTAGTCATTTCCTCCCATAAGTTATAGTAAGAAATTGTTTAACTGTTTTTGCTGTTTTTTTAAATTTTTCTTTAGTTTGCCAATCGTATAGAGTTTTGGATTGTCCTAGTCTTTCCATTCGTGGTATATGTTTATAGTTTATTCTCTATTTAGTTTTCCCCCAAGATCAGATCCAGTCATTATTTCTCACTGTTTTTAGCTATTTGTTTCTTTTTGTTGAATAGCTACACAACACACACACACTCAAATTTATGCAGGTGTAAATATGTAATAAAGAAAATTTTGGTTACTAATTTCATTCTTGATTGACATGTAGGAAAAGCTTGCATCTCCAAAGTGTGACAGAAACTGTAGTTCAGGAGATCAGAAAGCTCCTATTGGTGCATCCCATGCTTGTGATGGCTACAAAAGCAGCTGTCTTAGGCAACAGATATTCAATGAATGATTCAAAACGGTAGGTTCCCTATATACTTGTGCATGGACGTTTATGCAGTTGGAAACTTTATATGTCCACTCACCAGCAGCTGGCAGTATATCATGCAATAGTCTTATACTATAGATGTAAATCTGTTACTGGAAATTATTATCAACAACTGCATGATGTAGTGTTTTAGATGCCATATTTGTCATCTTGACTGATTATGACTGCAGAAAAATAGCTGATTCAGTCCGTAGTTTATAGTTCTCTTAACTAATGTGGATTTGACAACACGTAACTCTCCCCTTCATGTCTAAACCTAATGGAACAATGGATAAGAATGGGCTAATCATGCAGATTATTAAAATGAGACAGACAAATAACTAGGCCTCTTTACATTGTTTCCTTAGTTACTTGTGTTCCTTGTATAGTTATAGGTTTGAATTCCTCCATAGCTTGGAGTTAAAAAAATTGGATGATTGAAAATTTCTGGTATTCACGATGGCTAGTTGGATTGTAGTTTCCACCTCAATTCCTTACCACTTATGGTTCCCTATGCTCCTCTTCTCATTTTTTATTAAGAGCATGTATCATTGTTTAAAATATGTAATGTCATTCCACTAATTTGAAAAGTGCTTTCCAGAACCTATAATGTTATCACAGATATACTTCCATTATCTGATGGAAGCCTTTGTCCCAGTAGAGTTTAAAGGTAATGATTAATCTTTTTGACAGGAATTACAGAACATGGTCTGCAAAGGATAACCTGCATTCAAGAAATGTAACAAGTAGTGATCAGCAAGTTCCATATCGCGAGTATATGCCTGCTGTCTGGCAGGTAACGCCTAGGATTAGGTTGTTTCTCTTGTGATTCATGAGGGTGTTTTTTAGGACACATGCATGAAGCCTGTTATAAGTTGACTGTTGCTTAGCAGTTAAAGTTTGTTAGTTGTCCCTGTGCTTAGCCAAGTGTTCAGATCAGTCACTGAGGCATGACATGCAGTGAAATATTAAATTGATATCCATAAAGTGCGTTAAGACATACATGGAGCGTAGGCATATGAGGGATTCTTGTTACAAAAGTACTTCTTGTTCTTCAAATATGACGTGTAGAATTTGTCATAGCTGACTATTTAACAATGTTGGTCATTAAACTTTATATTGTGTTAATTAATAATCCTTTCTGGTTGCTGCAGTCCTTAATTACGCACAGGATTCTTGTACGAACTACAGGTTCAGAATCTTCTTTTTAATAGTGGAAGTCACTAATTCGTGTGGCATCTTTATGCTTGAAGTTGCTTTATTTCTTAATGTGGAATATGCATCTAAGGTGTCCTTACTATGTTACAGATGCTGATTTTGTTAATGGTGAGCATCAAAATGTCTCTACATATCTATCAGAATGGTTGCTGCCACCACTGAATTCCGTGGACAAATTTATAGTGAGAGATGTAAGAAAACACTCATGCTTCGCAGTTTTTAAGAAGAAAAACCAAATATCAACTCTTTCCTTCAGTTGTATTTGACATAATTCATTTGCCACCTGTAGACGGGTGTGTTCGTTCTTTCTTGAAAGTTCTCTTATCCGGCAATGTGGGAACTGAAAGGTTGTTGAAAACTTGAAATCGCCTCTTTACCTCTTATTTTCTTTCAACTGTTGAAGCAAAGCAGCCATGAATTGAGGCTGTTGCAGGAGCAAATGACCTTGTTATTGTTTTCTGGAGCTGCAGCAACCACCATTCACACCGTGTGAGTTTCACTTGCTTCCTTCTCATTCTTCTCTCCCTCTCTGGAGGCCCATTTGTTTACTTCTTTCCTTTGCTTCCTGTGGCATATGAGATCATATCTGTTTTAGAAAATGCTGGTCGTTCTCATTTCAGTTGTAATGCTGCTTAATTTCACAGGACTCCGGTCCCGCATCTGGGGATAAATTGCTTTCCTCATGAATGCCAGAGTTCATATTAGTCATTCTGGCCATTGAATTCATATCAATAATGTATATATCATCCAGAGTTCATGTTTATGCACAAACTACAAAGTGAAGTAAATGAGCAGTGAAATATATGTATAATTTTGATACTAGAGTTGGTTTTTTTTCATCATAATTTGATCAAATCTCTAGAGTTTTGCTAATCTATATCATGATGTGTGTGTAGGATAAAATTTTTTCTTTCAACTTCTGGAAATTAGAATCATTCTTCAACTTTTTATACTAAATGGGATTCTTATTGAAACTTTAACTTTAGGATAAGAGGGGGTTACCTTCTGTTATGCATGTCAAAATTCAATATGTCTTCATTTTTATCCAAGAAAAAAAACTTATTTTTATAAAAAAGGGGAAACCCAAATTCTAAAGACCATATAAGGAAGGTTATGTTTTTTTTTTTTAACAAGGAAGTTGTCTGAAAATTAGTGAAGATATTATGGTGATGGGAGTCGATTTTTGAGCACGTTGGATATTATTTTTTAAGAGTGATTTGTAAATTTAGATTTGAGACATTGTGTATTCGTATTATATAAAATATTTATGATTCGTATATTCATGTATTTGTGTTATGTTTTATACAAAAATTATGTATTAGACGCGAAAACATGAAAAATAAAATTGTTTTGTTAAATTCATATATAATTTTTATTAAAATTTTAAATTATATCTTTTTTTTTTTGGATAAAATGAATATTCATTTATCTAAAACTAACAAAAATTTGTTACAATACAACTATACAAAATTGTGTTATATTTGTTGTTGTTTTTTTTTTTTTATCTCTAGTATCATTTTTGTATTATGTTAATATATTATATTTTAAATTATTAGATTTATATAAATTAATTAAATTAAATTTCGGTTTTGACGGTCATGATATTAATAAAGGATGTGTTTTATCTCAGGTAAAAAAAAAAAACCTATATAAGAAAAATATTTTTCACAATACAAAATTTGGTTGCTTGTGGGCCGATAAAAAAGTGGGGGTGCAAGAGTGCCGAAGCTAAACAACATTGGAACATGGGCTACGTCCCAAGAAACGGCGACTTTAAGCTGAAAACAATTTCCACGAAATTGTTCTTTTTTTTTTTTTAATTTGAATCTCCAACAAATTCCAAATCAAATAATTTTCAAATAATTCTCCTTAAGGGTTACAACCAGGGAAGGAAGTAACGAATGAACAAGACCGAACCCCTGGCTCACCTCCCCCAAAAGGAAAAGCAAGAAGCCCCAACAACATGGCTGAGTCGGCCAAGGTCAGTTCTTCTTTCTCTTCCTTTCATCGTATCGGCACCATAGCTATAAGGTTGGTTTTTACTTTTTTTTTTTTGTCTCTTATTTCATATCGGTTTTGATATCTCTGTTTAAAATGTGTTGTATGTTCATCTGTATGTGCTGTAGCCTTTTATTCAAACATAGTAAGTTCCATAAAATTTTGTTTAAATTCTAATTTGCTTTTTATTCAAATCAATTTGGTAAAAAAAAAAAAAAAACTTAGCTCTTGGAATTAAGTTTGACTTCTGTGGATGTTGTGTTTGATTACGCAATTTAAATTTGTGTTTTGCTTGCAATCTAGAAAGGAAAAACAATCGGATCTGATCGTACAGTTTAATCCTAATCAGCTTTGAATCCAGATATTTCTAGGAATCCTTCTGTTGAGCTGTGATTTCATATCATGTTGTTAAATTTAAAATAAAATTCATCACAGAAAATTAAAAAAAAAAAGTTTGAAGTTTTCCCTTGCTATTTTTTTATGTGCAATTTTGCCGTGAAAGATTGCCAGGAAATCGGGAAAAGAGGTAAAGGTATAAAAGGTCGAGTTTTGTTGAGGAAAGAAAGTGTGCAATTTTGGGAAAAAAATAAAAGAAGAAACACAATATGAACAATGAGGATAAAGCAGTTGTGGATTTGATTGATAACATTTACGAAAAATCATTTGATGAAATCGTAGAAAAGAAAAGGAAGAAAATAAATCAATTTTGTATTTGTACGGAAAGTGTAGCAGAAGTGAGTATTTGTGTGTTACTTCCAAATATGGAGGTTCGGGTTGGTATAAAGATAGTCCTGTTAAAATTTGCTTCAAGTACAATAGAAAAGCAGATTTCCTTAATGGCTGACTGAAGAAAACTAAACACTATTTTTCACACAAACTATTTTAAATGTAGGAACATTTTGTAACAACAGTCACCGAGGATCATGAGACTACATGCTGGGGTTGTGGATTGCGCCTCCTCCTTTCAACTTACGCACCTGTTTTCAAGTGTGGTTGGTGTGGAGCCGTAACAAAACAAAGTGTAAACAAACCTGAAACCAAGTGTCTTTGGTGGAGGCGCTTGCGTGATCGGTGCTTTGTTTGTATTCTCTTCATATTTATGCTCTTTGTAATATGTATGTTCTCTCTCTCTCTCTCTCTCTCTGTGTTTATATAAGAGTTGAAACACTCCTTCACTTTGCCTTTCCCCCCCTTTCCTTTAACCATTAGCTAGTCCAATAATTTACTTTTTTGGAATTAGTGCATGCACTAAATTCCCTTTAAAATATGTTTAACGAATCTGTATGTACAAAACTGTAGAGTTATGTTTACAACTCATCTCAAAATTTTGAGTTGGCTTAATATATCTCCTTGTCCTATTGGTTTTATCGATGTATATAAGTTCTGTAAATGAAAGGTTAAATAAGTTTTAGCTCGAGGTTTTGAGAGCATTTCTCTTAATTATTGGGTTATATTCATCATTGGGTTATATTCACTTAAAGGTACTAGCTTAGTAGGTTAACGTTGGAAAATCCTCTTATAAGTTTTTTGCGGGTGACACTAGAGTGCAGAATGAATCTTTATGATTTTTATGGTGGTATTATATTAGATTAGTCACCAAATGAAAGAAGATTGTGGAAACTTTTGCATAGCTGAGATTCATAGTGGATCTTAGATGATTGCATCAATATTTATCCTCATATTTGCATGTCATTCAAAAATGGAAAATTTATATTATGACATGAATTTTTTTATTACATATCTCCATGTGGTTGTTTCTTTTGCAATTGCTGAATTTAAGTGTATACATTTTGATTTATAGTCTTTATAGCCACGTTTGCCTCTTGTAATACAAGCAGCAGTCAGCTAGTTACCAAGTTGCATTATCTATATATATATATATATATATATATATATTTTGTTCCAACTAAGTTGCATTATATAATGTTTTTGGCAGGTGCCTTATCTAATATTTAGTGAAGTTTTATATTTCTCATGTTAATATGTTGACACGAAAATGCAGGTGGGGGGGTATGGGCTGTGTATCCTGTTGTTTTCTCTGTCAGTTATATCTGCGGGATTGTTCATTCTATCTTAACAATTATCTTGGCTGCTACTACTCTTTCTACCTTCAGTTTAGCAGCATTCCGATGTGCTGGCACACCACCAATCATATTGTGGGGTAGCTATCCAGTTGTAGGGAAAGGTGACCTTGAAAACTATACCTTCTGCCACTATTGTTCAAAGCCAAAATCACCGAGAACTCATCACTGCCGTTCATGTGGAACATGTATATTAGACATGGATCATCACTGTCCTTTTGTAAGTATTAAGCATATTTTCAGTGTTAAAATACTTTAATTGTGCCAGGTCTAAGTTATTTTATAAAGTGTTGGTGCAAGATGCCTGGTAAATATGAAGGTTTTGTGGAGTATTTGATATTATTATTAGAAATCGGGATCTATTTCCTTGCTTGTTGCATAATATTAGGGTACAATAGCATCATTACCTGGTTGGATTCTGTAATCGTGAAGTTGTTTTTGTTCATTGGTAACATCTAGGACTTAGGCTTCCAGACCACATGAAAATACTGTGCCTGATTTTAGCACGAGAAGGGAAGATCGTTAATCTTGTCTGCAATTAGTAGTTCACAAGAAAATTAACTAGTAGGTGTAAAAATCTCCATGAAATAAATAACCAAAACTTAATGCTAATGAGATTTTAACCCCAACTCTCTTGCTAATGACAACAAACTATTTTGCTTTGTGATATGACACAGATAGGGAATTGTGTTGGGGCAGCAAATCATCGGCACTTCATCGCCTTCCTTTTTTCAGCTGTTTTCAGTACAATCTATGTTTCGGTCATGTCTGCATATGCAGGGTTGCATACCTGGCCACCGTTAAAGTATAGATCCCTTGGCCACTTGAACGCTTTCAGCAGTGATGTGGCATTGCGAGCATTCAAGGAAGTTATTCTTGCTCTCCTGAGCTCTGCAGTGCAACTGTCTGCTAGGGGGCTTATTCTTGTTTATCTATTTGTTTCGAGCATTTCTGTGGAGATTGGTTTATGCGTTCTACTATGGCAGCAGCTCTGTTACATATATGAAGGCAAAACTTACCTGACCCATATAAGTTCCCGGGGAGGTGATCAGGTTGAAGAAAAGGATTGTCAAAATCTTCTCCGGTTTTTCGGTTGTCCATATTCTATATTGAGATTCATGCCTAGCCTGCGAAATTCACGAAAGAGACACAAGAAATGAAAAGGGATAATTTTCGGTTTCATCTTGAATTCTGAATATTTAATCTCATATTTTTCGTTTCAGAATGGATTCACTGTTGAACCCCTGCCTCCTTGTAAACTGAGATCCACATACAAGAGGATGTCGAGGTATGTTACTTACGTTCATCATTCGGCTTCAAGAAATTGAGAAACAGAAATTTAAAAAATGTGCTTTCAGTTGCCGTTGGTGGTTATGGGAGTGGAAGAGGGAAGGGTTGATATCATTGTATTTTTGTATTAGCAGATTTTGAGCATTGAGTAGAAAGAAACTTCCTGTCACCTCTTTTTGGTTTTCAATTTATGCGAATGGGATTCAAAAATTTTCATTTTTGTTCACATTATCCGCTGCTTGTTTTCTAAAAGTAATTTGACTTTCTAAAAGTAATTTGACTTATGTTTTTTCGATGAACACTTCATCCATGTTATTATTTCGATTGTTTCTTCAAACATCATCGAATTTAATTCCATATTTTTTGAATAATATATAAAATTTTTAAATTCAATTTGAATTTGTTCTGAATTATCAATTTTTAAAATTTATTTTTTATTTTATATATTATTTTATATAATATTTAAAATATTTAAATAAATTTAAATTTAAATAATTATTTTATTTATTAAAATTTAAAAAATATATAAAAACTGATAAAAATATATAATTTGATTTATTTTTTTATTTTTTCATTTCAAAATTTAATTCAAATTCAATATATACATTTAATATCTAAATTTAATCTAAATAAAAAAATTCCAATCAATCATCATAATTGTAAATAAGTTTCTGACTTTTTCCAATTTTTTTCACCCTCATAGGCAAATGCTAAATCTTAAGGAAAAAACCTTTTTTTTTTTTGGCTAGAAGTTGCAGGATTATTACCATGGTCAATAACTGACTGATTCAAAAAGCTTCAATCTTGAAATCCCGGTATTTGGAACTGCTGAGATTTTTTTTTTTTTTCTGATATATGACAATTTGTTTAATTAAAAAGTTTTTTTATTAGCAATTATGAAAGTTAAGTGAATCAAACTTAGTGCAAGTAAAAAACTCAATGCTGCATTAAAAGAAAGATAAAGAATAACAAAAGCACCAATGGCAACCACAAATTCCATGTCCAGGGTGAAAGGAACCTCCATCTTGCAACCACCCAGCCTATGCTGCAAGGAGCAAAAATGGCAGCCCAGAAAACCACCATATGAACTCAGGAAAAAATGAAAAAAAAAATTGCTCCAAAGGAAAGATAATAACAAATTGATAAGCCACTTCTACCTGTGACAGGTTGCACATACCAGGGGCCGGGAGTCCAAACAAATAGCTTTTCTGAAGTGAGAAAGTAAGGAGATCGGAAATACCGTTGCATCATTACTTACCAAATCTAGTAAGAGTAAAAGAGCAGAAAATTGAATAAGAATTCTAAGGGCATCAGCCCCTGCTCCCTGGTAACACATCATGAGGAGGTATTGCTCAGCAAAGCCCCTGGCGACACACCATGGAGAGGCACACAATAGTGCTACCTACAAAATATAAACTTCTGGGAAAAGACCCAAATGTCACTAAATTTACCACGATATAAACTTTACGACGCTTTAATGATCATAAACATGGGTACTCAGCAAATATTTTAGATCATAATACAAGTAGTAAACCAAGTGCATATCAAAAGGGAACCAATAGCTAAGTGACATAACGGGGTAACTTGTCTCCCTAAGCAAAAGGATTCCTCTATTTCCATTGCCCCTGAAAGGCTCGCCAAAATGCCAAATCTGCGGTAGATAGCAGACTTGCCATTAGTTTAAAAGAAACAAACATGTGTGGTAACATTAAGATAGCAATCCTAATAGTACATGACCAGCCAATGTAATCTCCATAATATAACAACAAAGAGGAATGAGTAAAGAGTCCCACAATAATTTTTAAGTTCCAACAGAAACCTTGGATGGTCTCGTTCAAAAACTCATCACCTCTTCCTACCACCACGTTCCCTCAATGAAAGAGCAAGTGTTTCTCCTGCTCCAACATTGTAATATGCAAGGGTCATATTGTCCTTCAGAAACCCTGCTTTTCCACTCAATTTCTGTTTGTTTGCAGGAAGCTGGATCTCCCCAGCAATTTTCTCCTTCAAACTGCCAACTGTTTCTGATATGGCCTGCACTGTGATCTCAAGAAGTTGTCCTTTGAGATTTCCTTCATCAAGGTTGGGAACAGACACAGTAATGAGTGAAGGTCCCTAAAAGAGAATCCAAGCAACAATTAGAGCATAATAAATCAAGTAAAGACACCAAATGTAGCATCAATTTTATGTTAAAAAGAAAAAGAAAAGAAAGTTAGGAGTAAAATAGCAATAGCTCCTCGTACCGGATGTTGAGCAAGGAACTGATCTTCTGGAACGAGCATGGAATCATCAAGCTTCTGTCTCTTTGGCTCTGGTTCCTCCGGAAGCGGTGGAGGAGCTTCTTCAGGTGGCGGTGGAGGAGGTATTCCTTGGGGCAAAGGTGGAGGTGGCTGCATCATAGGCATAGCAGGTGGTGGGACAGGAAGAGGGGCGAATGGTCGAGGAACTGACAGAGGGGTAAACTGAGAACCTGGTGGAGGGGGTACAGGAATATTAGCTGGGTTAATGGACATTGATAGAGGCATTTGGGGTGGTCGATTCATCATCATGGGTGGTTGGTTAGATGCCATCTGCATTGGAGGTGGTGCTGGACGCATAGTAGGCATCATGGGAACACCCAGTGGACGAGGTTGGGATAGCGGCATAGGAAGCCCACCACTAGATGCTGCAGAATATTGGGGAGGGTTTGGAGGAACACGAGGGATATTTAAAGCTAGACCAGGTGGTGGGGGTAGGGGACGGACTGCTGGATAACCTGGGCGAGGTGGAGGAGCAGCAGGACCAAGAAGGTTCAGTGCATTGCTGTCAGCAGCATCATTTTGATCCTCTCCCATGATAGTTTGAGACAAAGCCTGATTTGCAGTCCGTCCGATGCTTCCAGTGTGACCATCCCATATAACCTGTTTTGGTTGCTCATCTTTCTTTTTCTCAATCTCAGCTTTGACAGCATTAGAAACTTCTTCCTCTGTGGTACCAAATATATCAGGACGTGTGCGTGCAAGTCCCACAATGTTTCTTGATATCTCATCATCCTGAGCAAGTGTTGTCTCCCTAATCTTTGCAAACATCCTTTCTTTCTGCTCCTTGTACTTGGGATCAATCAAGGAAATTCTCATGTGTTCAGACATCTCGTTAATGGGAATTAGCTCGCCAGTTATTGGTGAAACAACAAACTTGGTAGGATCTCTTTCAGCAGGTATTCTCTCCTCAGGCCTCTTCCAGTTCTTCACAATTCTCATTGGTGGTTCTGGCTCTTCATTTGCCCTTGTCTCTTTCTTTTCGCCATCATTCTCTTCGATACTAGCCACTCTCATGCCTTCCTCAACAAGCTGTACCTCTTCCTCATCCATTTCCATTTCCACCTCCTTTCCAGGCTCAACAATTTCATCTTCTTCCATAGCAGATATCTTGCTCCTCCTTATAACCTCCTCAACGGTCATTGGAGGAGGTAAGTCCTCATCCTCATCATCAGCAAAGTCTATAGTCTCAACCACAACAAAATCATGCCAATCGATCATTGCCATTTGCGCTCTCTCCTGCTCAATTTCGTCCTCAGCTTTCTGCCTCGCCTGCTCCTGTGAGCGTTCCCATTCCAACCGATGCAAGCACCTCTCAAGCACAATTGTCATATCAGCAACACTCTTTCTCAACTTCTCTGTCAAACCCTTTGGAGGCATCAACACTTTGGAATGCGCATCAGCAAGTTCAGTGAAAAAGGTAAACATACTATGAGTCGGCCTTAAAAAATTGAACTGCGGGTTATTAATCTCCCTACTAGTCAATCCTGTCAAGAATGATTTCCCGTTTCGTGCAACAAACTGTGCAGTCAGCTTAATAATATCCAACTCTTCCCCTGTAATCCCTTCAGGAAGTCTAACAGTATATTGAGCAGCTTCTGGTGGTTCAAGATTCTTCCTCACAGGCAGTCTAAACTGTGCAGCAGGATCAGGCTTAGCTACTGCCGCTGCAGCATCATTTTCATCAGCAGCAGCAGTTGGAGCAGACTCAGTTGGAACAGAATCAGCCGGATGCGAAGGCAGTTCCAGCTGTTGAGAGTTGGACTGGTTCTGATTCTGAGCACGAAACTCAGACAACCTGTGTTGATAATAAGCATGGTAGGGATCTGAACTAGTCAAGAAATTGAACTTAACATTGTTAGCATTATTAGCAATGATTCTTTTTTCGAATTCGGGTCCATTTTTGGCAACAAACTGAGCAGTTTTATCAACGATATTCCTAATATCAGGAGGAGGATGAATGATTCCAATAGTTCTAGTGTGAGTTGCAATTGAGCTCGCTTTGTTCTGTTCCTCATTCGTTAGAACCTCTTCAGTTTGATTTTCCGGCACCTGAGATGGAGGCAATGTCCCTAAATCCCCATCGGAAGGAGGTGCCGGAAGGGGCAAAATTGGCATTACCCCCGGCATTTTCACTTGATAAAAAAAACCCTAACTTATCAAGGAAGAATCAAATCAACCACCATCAACCTGCAATTAATAAAACAAATCAGTTTAATCCAAAATTGACAAAGAAATGACTATCGAAATCCAATGAAAAATTAGGGCAGAAAAGAAAACAGTGTAAAACTCAAGATTCCATCTATTTTTCTCAAAAAATATTTTTTAAAAAATTACAAATTTGAAAAGTGGAACATCTAAACAATAACATTGCCGCCGATCAAAGAGAAAAAAAGAATTAATAGAAGAAAATAAAGGGGTAGAGGCGTAAGGCTGACCTGGAAATCGCTTCGCGTCAATCAGAGCGAGAATCGGAGAAAAAGAGAGAGTGGGTTTGAAAGAGAAAGAAAGCTGTTATGCCAAGGTAGGGTTTGGAAGAGCAGGAATCAAAGGGCAACGATTTTCCTTTGTTCGGCTGAAACGCAGGATTCGACGCTCTGTAGGGTAAAAACGTGGATGGGGTGGCGGCCCATTGAAGCATTAAAGCCTAATTTTGATGGATGTTCAGCCCATTCCCAAAATATTTGCAAGATAATCATATTACTAATATTATTAATTATTATATAATTATTAAATTAGAACACAATTTTTTTTGCATTCGTTCTATTTTTTAAAAATTACCTTTTAGTGTTTATTATATGTATTTTACTCCAAATTAGCTATAAAATATGTATTATATGTAATTTAAATTTATGGGTTAATGGCTTAGATTAATAAGAAAGATTTTCGAAATAGTTGAAATTAAGAAATGCATATCTAAATGATAGAGATGTTTACAATTCAGTTTTAATTGAATTAATTGATCGACTCAATTTAATTAGATTAATCGATCGATCATTGAATTAATTTTGATCGATTATTGAAAATGATTTTAAGAAAATTTTGGTTTTAAATTAATTCGATTTGAAAATTAAATTAACTCAAATTTTAATCTAAATATTTTAAAATCTATATATAAAATTAAAAATATATGAAATTATTTATTTTATTTTCAGTTATTTGAGTTTTTAACTTGGTATTTAAATATTTTTATTGGATAATTTAATTTAATTTATTTTATATATAAAAAAATAAAATTTTAAAATATAATTTAACTTAATATATTTTATTATTCGATTAATAAAAAAAATCAATCGAATATATCAAATTAATTTCGGTTGATTAATTTTTGAATAAAAAATTTAATTCAATTAATAAAAATAAAATAATTTAATTAATTTAATTTTAAATAATTTGATTGGAAATTATTCACTCTTAATAACGATGCAAATTTTTAGATTTTTTATAGAATGAATTACTAAAAATTTCTTTGTCTACAAGCAATTCATTAAAAAAATTAAAGTCAAAGTATGTTGGTTCAAGTTGCAAAAGAGTTCACGCTCTTGCTTGTTCCGAGTTTTAAACTGTTAAGAAATTATGAAAAAATAATTTTTCATAAATTCGTTAAATTCATACGTAAATAAATTTATTTTAATCAATCCAAAATAAAAATGTAATTAACTTATCGTAGAAACAAGAAAGCACCCACCACTCAACCAAAAATTATAGATAAAAAAGTGCTAAATTCCCAAATTGATCATGAAATATTCAAAGCCATGGTTGCTTTGATTATGGAGCTTTAATTCGATAATATGATTTTTTTTTTTTTAAGTTAAGAATTCATTTGTAAATGAAAATGACTAGCAAATTTCTTTGATTCCAAGAGAAAGCGTTGAAGTGATGGCATTGTCAAATCCGTTCAGAGGTCTTTCTTACATGATACATAGAGTTTTTTAATGGCATGTCTCCATGCTATTTCAGTTGTCAACAAGCTAAATCAAAAACTAGTAACCCGCTTCATCTTGCAATCACTGGAAGGTTCACTTCAATCCATTCAATTAATTTTAAATTAAATTAATTAAATTAAATTATTTTATTTTTATTAATCAAATCAAATTTATTAATTTTAAAAATAAACTAATTAAATTTAAAATATAATTTGATCAATTCAACATCAAATGATAAATACATTTAAGTTAAATTATATTTTTAATTTCTAATTTTTCATATATTAAACAAACTAATAATTTATCCAATAAAATATTCAAATACTTAAATATTATGTTAAAAACTCTAACAATTTAAATAAAATGATCAATTTCATGTATTTTTTATTTTATATTTAAATTATATTATATTTCAATTAATTCAATTTTTAAACTGAATTAATCAGAAATCAAAATTTTTTAAATATAATTTTTATTAACCGATCAAAATTAATTTAATAATCATCCGATTAATCGAATTAAATCAATTCGATTGATTAATTCAATTAAAATTGAATTATGAACACCTACGTATAGCGATTGGCTATAAAGATAATATAAAAAGAAAGGGAAATAAAAAATCTCCGCTCCTATTAGACTTCTAATTGCTGGCAGAAACATTAGGGTCATAGCAGCAGCTGGTGCAAGAGCAACATAGCCAAAGATATCATAATAAGGTCACAGCTAAAAAGAAGCCTCATTATCTTAGTTTGTTCAAGAGAGGCAACAATTCAAGAAGATTAACCTAATTCATCAAACTTAAACGTCCGACAACTACAAAACAAAGAGATAACACCGCAGAAAAGAAAGAAATTCTACTAAAGAATGTCACCTCAAAGTCAGTCCATGGGCTAATCGGCGTCTGCGTATGCAGTTTCAAGGTGGGCTTGTTCAGCTTCTTGCACCTCCTTCTCAGTCTTCCTTCCTTTCTTGGATTTGTAGTACACACTCATGAAAGTTCCCACTGCTCCATACTTTCTCCTGACATGCTCATAGAGACCAGCATCAAACATCCTCCAGAAATCCTTCTCATTCAGCTCAGACACTGCATACTGCGGCTGGAAACCATGGTTTTCGATCAACCATTGCTCCATTTTACGAACTGCCTCCGCACCATCAAATTCCTCACCCCTCAACACAGGGCCTGGAGCATAATATACCCCCACATCTGTGAACATCTGAGCATAAGGTGTATCACCCTGTCTGCGATGATAATCAAAGTCTGGTTCAGGATATACCATAGTCTTGACTGGAAGCCTGAACAGTCGATGAGGGCAGAGCCAAAGGGGATAGACCTGGAGAATCAACAATTTATACAATCACAATCACAATCTTAACACTTAATTCTAATAGCCCTAATTTACAAATTTAGGAGTCAAATCAATAATTTATCCATGAGGATGTTTCCAAGCTCTTCTTTGTCTGCGAGGCTGTAAACAACAAATCAGTCACAATTCCGCCTCAGTATGTAGTAGCTTCAAGGATATCTAATATGACTGATTTTTTTCTTCCTTTCACCTTATTATCTGACAGGACCAGCCACAGTGACAAACGTCATACAGGGAAGAGCACCCATTACTTTTCATTAAGGTAACCAGTAAACCAATTAAGTATAATCATTTCATCATAAGAAAAATATAACATTTAAGAGTGAAAGATAAAAGTAACATAAAATGCAACAAGAAGGAATGAGGAGGTAATGAGAGGAAAACAAGTGCAAGAACAAAAAATTTACCTCCATCTCTCGGTGCACCCACTCTAGGGCATCCCCAACCTTGTAAAGAGGAACAAGCATGTCCTGAATGACATGCATCTCGTGGTAATAATTTCTTATAGCTTCACCTTGAGTAGCCTTGAGCAAGGAAACCTTGGGTGGCATCAGCCAGCCCAAGAGAAACCTAAACCACCGTTGATCTCCAAATGGAAGGATGAGCTTCCCCTCCCAATACAAACATCTTGTGTGTCTGTGGTAATATTCTCTGGTTGGAATGTATTCTACGAACTCTCCCTTCTTTAATGCTGTCTGTGCATGCTGGTAGAACCAGGGCTTAAACCACCAGCCTACATTGTTAATCTTATTCCCCTTCCTCTTGGCCTCTTCGTTAGAGGCATATCTCCCCATCATGAACACACCTTCAGTAGATGAGTAAATCATGCCTTCCACAAAATCTGGAACTTTCGCTGGATTATCCTGATCACAATCTCTGGGTGTAAAAGAGTCCATATAACCCCGTGCAAGCTCTTTCAGATTCCCCACTACTGGCATGTAGGTCAGTCTCATGTATTCTTTAATGGGTATAAGTTTGATTTCAGCAGCAACAAGAAGCCCGAGGGTTCCTTGAGACCATGGGATAGCATAGAAGATATCAGAATATTCATTGTCCTTGGTAGCTCTAACAACACGGCCATCAGCTAAAACTATCTCATAAGCTACAACAGTATCAGAAAACAGGCCATAGAGGTGGGAGCTTCCTTCAATCCCATAGCCATTGATGAGACCACCAACTGTAAGATCATCAAGCTCTGCAACCACAGCAAGGGAAAGATTCATTGGCACAGTGACCCGTGTGATCTGCCCCATGTTTACAAGCGGCTCAACCCTTGCAATCATTCTCTCTTTATCAATTTCAAGGATATTACGAAAAGCAGACAAATCAACTTCAAAATGGCGAGCCCTCTTATAGTCTACATTCCGCATTCCAACAGCAACCCATGGTTTACGGGCCGTGCACACAAGACCATCCTTTTTTGGATTCCTCTGTTTGAGACGCTTTACTACTTTCTTAACATTTTCATCATGTTCCTTCTGACGCTGCTTGAAGGACTTCATCTCAGATCTGACATCTCCAAGATATATAAGAAAGTAATAGGCACAGGAAAAAGGAAGGACAACAAAAATAACCAAAATCCACCGAAAATGGACCAAAAAGTCCACCAAGCCCTTCTTCCTCTTTGGGCGAAGGGGTACTCCAAGATCTGACATAGTGGAGAGTGAGAAACACCCTTTCCCTCTGCAACAATGATGACAGAAGTTTTAAGTCAACATAAAATGCTCCAATACAGCATTTACAATTGAGGGTTTTCAGACTTCTGAAAGAAACAAATTAGCTTAGCATGCTAAAAAGAGATAAACAAATAAACAAGACAATTCACTTGCAGATTTAGGGAGTACAACCCAACAGGAAAAATCCAAGCCTCACTTAAATTGTCTTTAAGGATTAAAAATGGCATAAACTACCTAGGAGATTAAAAATTACATCCAGAAATATCCATAAGACAGAATTTAACATAAATGAGTCAGTTTATAACTGACATAAAGATCATATTGATGTTCACAAATTAAATAGCAAAACTAAAATGCCTAAAGATGCATGTCAAATAGAGAAAGTACATTCTTTCCTAAGAGTGGTGGAGCAAAAGATGCAGAAGTCATAGTAAAAGTTCAATGAAAAATCAATAAGTTGAGAAACAAATAGAAGAGCCAAAGTCAAATAACTGAAAACCATTAAAAATCTTTATTCAACATGCCCAATGCAAGACTTGAAGAAATGAGAATCTTAAAGCCACTTATGCTATATGGCAATATAAGGAATGAAACAAATTTTCACATTTACAACACATAGTCATGAAAAGCTAGCTCCTCAATGCTAACTAAATAAAGTGCAACTCAACTTTTTTTGAGAATGTAAGCCACTGAATAGGTAGAATGGACAACTTTTGTGAAACAACATACAATGTTTAAGTTTATTTGAGAATCAATATTCAACAACACAGGTTTGATCTCTGTCAAATAGGAAGCACAGCAAAGATCCAATCCTCTGAAGAAAAAGGCACTTTACAGACATACAGATCAATATATCATTCAAGCAGGAGCAAAGAGTGAACTTCAAATTTCAATAGGCATTTTCAATAGCAGCAAAGATGCTTCAACTATGTGAGCATTCTAAATGTAAATTCTTTCAAGATGACAAGCTGTCTCTGACCAAATTGCACATCAGCACATTAGATGTTTGTCCATTTCTCTATTCTTGTATAGAATACCAAAAGTAGATGATGAATTGACGCAATTATATAAACAGGAACTTATCACCCATCATATCACAAACTAATTAAAAATCCAAGTACTTTACAATTCTAGTTTAATGCATAAACATGTGAGGCAGTGAAAGAGAAAAATAAAGAATTTTGGCAGGTTAGTGAAGGTGAAGAGAGAATCCCATTACAAAACTGACAGAAGCATGACTAAGGAAACGACAAGTTGAAAAATCTTTGTCCCAAGGCTATAATTTTTTAAGTCACAAAAACAGTTTCCTTTATTTTCCGACCAACTTAGAAGTCAAAAGAAACAATAGAGATCAAAATAAATGCATGACAGAGCAAATAAGACATAATATATTCAACTAGAAAACCTCCCAACTTATTAGCCATAATGCAGAACGTTAACATACAATTTGCTATTTAGTCTAAACCCCAAACTAGTTTAATACTACCTTTCAAGAACAATAGATAGTCAAATTATCACTAACACTTAAACAAAATGTAAGTTCAAATAACAAATGAAAACTTCCTAAATGAATCTAGTATGGCTAACTGGTTATGCTTCATTCACTCAAAACTTATATCAGTAACGAAAAACAATAGATTTGTAGTGTTCTTATTCATCAAATTAGCTTAAGATCCCAGATCTTCCCATGGCTCCTTTTACTTCTTTTGAAATATAATAACCCGAAAGCCGATCCTGGCACAAAGTACTTACTTCATGGACCAAACAGAGTACTAAGCACCAAAATCTACTAAAGATATTCTAAAAAGGCAGACAATCAAAGAAATCCTCTGATCTATGCAAAGTCCAGTAAACCAAGACATTGTTTGGCTAGCGACTTAAACTTAGGGAAAACAAAAAATTAAAACAATGACAACAGATTTACCATAAAATTACAGTTTAGGCAACAGATCTACTGTTATAAACCCAAAAAAAGGTGTGAAAAATGTGTGGGACTAATATACGTAGTAATAGTTAGTAAGCGACATTCAACTTCAATAGTCCAATATTTACTTCATTTTCTCATTTCCGCAGTAACTGACAGGTGATCTAACAACAAAAAACAAAAAAAAACAGGAAAATCCGAAACAACATCATAAAAATACCGATTAAAAACATCATTCAATTGAAAATGCAACGTCCAGTCAAAAGAAAATTAGTTTTAGTTCAGTTTTCCTTCGTTTTTCTTGGTAACCAAACAGACAAAAGAAAAAGAAGAGCAAAGAGAGGAAAAGAGAGAGAGAGAGAACCTTACGCTCCAAAACTGTAAGATCGGCAGAGAAAGTGAAGAGTATGTAGAGCTTTAAGAAGAAAAATGAGCAAAGCGAAGGGAGCTTAAATAGAGAGTGAGCTCAGTGTACTATGAGAGTGTTGATGGTAGTGAAATAAATATCTCAAAAACCAAATCAAATCAGATTTTTCTGATTGGGTGCTATTAATTTCAATTTTATTATTTTAAATTAAAAAAAAACAAAACAAAATGAGTATGTTTTTAATTGAGAAAAAAAAAAGGAAAAGAAATTGTGGAAATGGAAGACAGATCAGAAATGCGAAAAGGAAAGGTCGGGCCTTTTGGATTCGCCGGCACTCACAGGCAAACCCATGTGACAACGTGACCGAATCAAAATGTAATTTACTTTACTAATCAAACATTAGTAATTAATTAATTAATTATTCTATATATAAGCCCCAAGACCTTAATTAATATATATATTTTTTTTAAGAAAAAATTTGAGATAAATAAGTTGTTTAATTTCTCATATCAAAATAAAATATATCGTATCTTATAATTTAATATAAATAATTATAAATCGTATATTTAAAATGACCTTAATAAATTATCATCAACAAGATTTGAATTTAAAACTTTTAAAATAAATAGTCACAAATCATACATTTGAAATAATTTTAACAAGTGATCATCAAAATTTTTTTATAAAAAAAAATAAATTTTAACCGACTGAACCAACTACTTGTTGATTAATATTATTAATGGGATAAGGATAAAATTTTGATTGAATTTCTTAGGTTTTTGAAGTTTTTGAATTGAAAATTTTAAATTCAAATCTCATTCTTGTTTATATAAAAAAAATTTTTATTTTTTATATTTTATTAAAAAATTATTATCTTGCCAGTAGAGTTAACCACTAATTTATTATAATCGATTTAATCATTAATTTATTCTAATTGATTTAACCAATCAAAACCTATCAAAATATATTAATTCGATAAATATAAAAATTAATTTATTAATTCATTCAATCACCTTAAAATTAGCCATATACAAATTAGGTTCAAATTGAAGTCTAATATTCATAACAAATTAAGATATATATACATATATATAAATAATGGTGGTATATGAACAATTAACAGATATACAAGGCAAATCACATCTACCATCACTTGATAAAATCAAAGCAAAAAATTTTCTTGCCGCCATTGGAACACTCCTCTGCTAACAAGTATGAATATATATAATGGTATGGATGTAGTATGAGAATGAAAAATGTGAATCTACTTCGGAAGAAGCCGATATTGGATTTGCAGTACTTGCAATTCCTTCTCTTGTTCCGGGCTATAATTCCTTTGAATAAAAAAAAGGATGGCCGAAAACCTGCGGATGGAAAACATAATGACTTAACATCCAGTACTAAAATGAGATATAAGAACGAGATGAAAACAAATAAACCACAAAATCCTGTTACCGGAAACAGTGAAAGGATAAGTGCAGCAACTATAATCATATTCAAGAGAGAACTGAGAACCAAAGAGGCTTTAGAGAATTACTTGATCAAGCAGAAGCAGTAACACTTAGCTAGGTGATATTAAGGGTTGAAGAGACTCGAGCCACCGATATTGAGTGCAATTAGCACTAATGTACTGGTAATCACAGCAAACCAGAATAGGGTTGATCCTGCAGAAGACAATATTGAATACAATCAAGACAACAACACGTACAGACAATTGAAACAAACTCTTAGATACAGATATTTAAATGTCACACCTCCAGATGCTTCAGAACTTGTATCAGAATCTGATGGAACAGGTTCTCCATTCACACCACTTGATCTCGTTTTCAGAGGCCCTGTTCTTGAGATGTCATCAAAAAGTTTGCTCCCTGGTTCAGATGATACTATGCCTTGAAATTCCTCACTCACAATCAAAGCTGCTAGAACATCCATAAATGACTCTTTGTCTGTTTCATCTGTATATTGCTTTACAGCCTGCTCATATGGCACATTTGATTCATCAGAATCAGACAACTCATCATCTGAAGCATCGGTATCAACAGATCCTGCCGCAGTTGTGTCATCTTCTTCATCCTCAACGTAAGATTTATACGTCAATCGAAGCAATATTTCTCCTGAAGATCTCTTTCTGAGCAGTCCCCAACCTCCTTGCAAGACCACAATCTTATCTGTCGGAACAGTGTCCTGAAGAGTGCCCAGATCCACCTGAAAGTTTTGATGCATCAGATAACCACATTCATAGAAAAGGGGAAAATTTGACTGCAAAAACTTGCAATCTATCAATTAGCCTTTGGGTACAGTGAAACTTTATCATGAATCCATATTTTGCTGTTAACTATATTCAATCTCAATCAAACATGCAGCAGCAGCATTATATGGACATCTACCCTATAGACCATCGGCCTCTTTCTTAGGCAGCAACTAAGTCTTCATTGCCATATTCATAAATCTTAAGCTCTATATAGGATAGTCTGTATATTATGTAACACAGCAGTCTCAAAGTAGAAACTCTTGCTTCTCACCACAAAACAAATAGGTGCCAACTGCTATGTAAAAGATGGACCATCATGCCTGTTGGTCAATAAGTGCCTTGAACAACTGGCTAGGCTTGCCTTACCACACAGCTGCTCTCAACACCAATCCTTGGCCTTTTCCAAATGAATATATATAATTATTAAAAATTAGAATGGCAACTATTGTAAGTGTCAAATCCAAAAGTTACGTAACTATGCCACGCCTAAAAGATGATTTCAGCATATATAGGAATATTCAACAATTATACACACTGAATTTACAAATAAAAATGTTCACCTCTCCAGTACCAATTGTCAAATCAGTGAACCCAAGGGAGTCGTTCACTTGGATGCATAGTTTTTCTTTTCTAGGGTTTGCCACAAGTAAATGAAAATCCTGCCAAAATGCCAAAAAAAGTTGATCAATTGGAGAAATCTTATAGCTTCAAATGTAAAGTTCATCCAGTTTGGAAAGTTTCATTACAGTTGATAGAGTTGAAAAAAAGGCTAAGAAGCTGCACCTGATTCCAAATTGGTTTGCCAGGAGGCCCAATTACAGTAGTTTGACTGTTCTTTTTACTGCGTATAACTTGATCCCCCAGGCTTAGAACAACGTATGGGTCAGTTTTGCCTGGCAAAAAACAAAGAGCAGTAATGAATACGGTGAATGGAAGTGAAGATATACATGCATATAAAGGATTCTACTAAGATATTCATATAGCTATCAGAAAATCTATGTATTTCATCCTCATTCCCTATCTCAAGTTGCAAGTTAGGAGACATTGATAAGTAATTTACATCTCTGTTGCCGAGACTTATCTCTTTACTCTGCTCATGTGGCCACAGTACCAACACAAGTAAAGGGTGGGTTGTGCTGGATCTTGAATGAAAGTTTTGGACATTGTTCTTGTTGTGTTCTAAAGATAGGGAAAGAGAAAGATTGAGAAATAGGGACCTTGTGTCTCAAAGAAAAGCCACACAGAACAAGAGGAGATGGGAGATAAATAAACAAAGCTCAAAAGATTTCGAAAAGGCACAGTAACAGTCTTTAAAAAGCATTGACCAACTTTAAGTAGAAGAATGACTAGCTGAAGTTCATTAAGGCTGTGTTTGCTTGGGAATATGAAAACTTAATAAAAAATTTTCAGTCTAAAGGTTGAGTTACACAGGTTCTTTCCAAATTGTTAGCCCCACCTTCCCATCCTTCCTACCAAGCAAAGGCTCAAGCTAGCAAAAATGGGCTAGCTAACTATAGACCAACCTGACGATAGATAAACAAAGAAAACACACCAACAGCTGGTCACAATTTGTCTTTTACCCCTTTTCTTTTGTTTGTCATTTCTTTAGCACTATTCATGGCTAAGCCAAAGCAAACTAAAAAAAATATGGCCCAACCTATAAATATAGCAAGTTTTCATCCACCTTTTGTGGGCTCGTAAGTACTGCAGGACTAAATACAAACTTAACTCTTCAAGGACACTGGCTATAAAACATTCAGACTATATCCCTAATTTTTGGACGACATTATGTCAGTACCCATGTCCAGTTTCAGACAAATACCTTCGCATCTCAAATTACAAAGATTTGGAAGAGTTAGACACTAAGATCCTTATCATACATAACACCCATGCCTAAGCTCAAGGAACATAAAATTTACATGCACAGATATCTGTACTTTCTGTTGTCTATTAACCTAGAGAAGTGTTGAACAGAAAAGGCATAATAGCCTAGTCGCTTTTGCGCAATTTTCAAAATAGATAGGGTTGTCAAATGTGTTGTATCAAGAAGTGTCTGATTCAGCAATTAAAGAAAAGTGCCCAACACATAATAAGCAGTCAGTGAGAGGCAAACATTTTTTCCACAGTTTGCAGCAGTTTAAACTTTAAACCAAGTGTTGACACACACCTACTTAGCAAGGAAAAAAAAAATTGAAGATGCATCACAGAAGGTCAAAAATAAAAATTTATAAAAATTACTCATTTTTTTTTAAAATGGAAAAATGTATCTTCTTAGAGCTCAAATGAAAAACAGCTCTTACCATAAAAAACATAAGAAAGTTTCCTGGCATCTACAAGAGTCACAGATAGTTCTCCAACAAAATCCTTGTTTTTTTCTTCTTGAATTTCTCCAGATTTTAAATCATTTGCAACAGGGCCAACTGCTTTCCCTTTTTGGAAATCCAGAACAATCTTCTTTGGGCGTACAAATAGTCGAGGCAAGTCCACAGTAAGAAGTTTTGTCAAAAACCTGAAAGTAATTGTAGTCAGACTCCGTACGAATAAAATAGTAGAAAAAAGAGATTCATAGAAAGTAGTCAAAACCAGAAGATAACAATAATGCATTGAAATAAAATGGAAACATTCAATAGCAAAGCCAAAGAAAACTGCTATGTTCCATCACTTATAAAACCTTTACATAAACTGAATGATTATTGATGCATGAAAAAAATGATAGTAATGGCAGCAGCAGCAAAGTAAGAGTTACTATAGCAAAATTCAGTGCCCACATTTAAATTTATGATGCAATCCTTACCCATGCATAAAAACATAAAACAAAGGAAGAAATAAGAATAGTAGTGACAAATGCCAAAATATCCTGATACTTGAAACTCAAATGGGATACAAGTTAGTGTCGTTTTAAGCCACAAGAAATTTGATATACATTCCCAATTTATATGCTTCTATTCCTATAGTTTTAGGGAAATCCTTGGGAGAAAGTAAGTGGTGCCCTCCCCATGCCATGAACAAAATTCCCACCATAGTCATTAGATAGAAGCAATATCAAGAAAGACAACTCACTATCATTCATTTACTTTCAATTAAAAATGAACAAACGAAAACCAATCCTAACAGCCAAGACATCTAGACTGATACAAGAAAAGTACAAGTGCAATAATGAATATTGGGTAAAAAGTAAAAGGTGAATTATGTCTAACCCTTCAGCTAGAATATGTATTTAGTAAGAGGATACATGTGCCAAGTTGAATGCTCAAGTCAAAAGCAGGAGGGGAAGAACAAAGAGGAGATGAGTTACACTATCAAATACAACCTATCTATTAGTGATCAGTCCTAAATATTTACTTAAAGTGATATAGATTGAGGAATGCAACTACATCAAGCTCATGTAGAATCTTAATTTAAACTAAAAGCAAATAAATTTCCATTTGCCTCTATATATCTAGCACTCACATGTTCTTGAAACCTACATCAACCAATTGGGAAATTGTAGCTAAGCAGTAAGAAGTTCTGTAATGTATGTCTCCAATGCTGAGAGGAGGATTTGACTAGAAAATTCTAATAGAATTTATTTGCAACAACTATGTTATGTAAAATAACTCCTATAGTAGTAAAATTCTTAACCTTTAAGAACAGTATGGAAAAGATAAAAAAAAAATTGTTTACAAGCCAAATCCTTAAGTTAGCATATTATAGAAGCTGTGAAAAAAAAATTGCACTTACATTGAAAGGACAGGAATTGCTGTTATTGCCCAGTGCATGCACAAAAGAAGAGAAAAAGAAACATGTATCAGCATCTTCGATGACAATTAGCGCATACAAGGACAATTCCTAATCATTTTTTTCTTTAAAACTTTCAAGACAAGGGAATTGAGAGCAATCTCCAAAGAAAAGAAGACGTCAATGAGCAAAATCACATAAATAGATATGTTTCTCTTGATTCCATAGTTATATAATTAAAATTCAACTAATTAACTATTCTCTACAGGAGACTAGTGTGAATTATTTTCTTTTGTTGCCACCTAATTCTGTGCATCCGGTAATTGTTTCTTCTAACCCCTTAAATCAACTATGAAATGCACAGCTTAATAGGTAATGAGCAAACCCGAGTTATTGAAGAACACTAAGTAATTTAAGCTACACAAGAATTATCTTAAAATACTGAGAAAGGAAGGGAGAAATTCTATACTCCTTTATTCAATTTTAAACTTTAGCAATCAGTAGAGAGGAAAAGAGGCATCGTACTTTGTACCAATGCACTTAGGCATTGAATTACAGGACTAAACTAATCAATCCTAGTATCAAAAGAGGTCTGCATTTCTGTAGCTTTTCTACAATAAGAGAGCAGTCCTGGTCCCAAGCAGCTCATGTTCCCTTTACTTATAAGATGACATGCTTCTATCAAATTAACTTTCTTACACTTAAAGATAGAAATATGTTAGAAAATGTTGTAAAGAAGAGGGCCATCAGAATTACATACCCATCAAGTTAAACAAGCGAAATGGTGATAACTCAAACTTGATCTTTGGAAGTGAAACGAAAGCCCATGAAACAGCTCCAACAAAAGGTTCCGTTGGTATCAATCGCAATTTAACCCAAAGTTCTCCATCAATATCAAAATCTCGGACACCAACTGGCACAACAATTGGGATAATGCCAAATTTTAATGACAACATCAACAACATTCGAGCACCACCAGTATAACGAAGTCCTATTTGATACCTAAATTTGAGTAAATGGAAGTTAGTCAAATGCACTCTCGTATTTGTAAACAGAACCTCAAAATATCCTCACATCATAGCACATAAAGCATCAAGTTTTACATCATACTTATAATGAACCTCCAAGCAATAGAAAAAATATTTCATATATATCAAGAACACTTCTAAACTTGAAAATTAAAATTCCATATATAAATAAACATGGGAATCAGCAATCATAGACAGTTCAATTGCAATTAAAAAAAAGGCAAAATAACTATGTCTACAACAACAACAACAAAATTCTGATAGTTTTGAAGTGGCAAAAAACTCACTGCAAATCATTGACTCTTCGAGAAGTCCTACGTTCAACATTCCTAACAGACAAAGGCTCATCCCCCAAAGAAAACTGCTTTATTTCCACTCTCTGGACATAATCAGGCTTCTCGAGATTATCAATAACAGGTTGTAGCAACCCAATGATCCAATTCTCAATCCCAACTCTATAAACTTTCCACAGCTTCCCCAACACCATGTTAACCCACTCAACTGACTCTTTTCTTTGCAAATCCTTTTCCAAGAACAATGAAAAACTGGTTGGAACTTGTGGCCAAACCCCTCCTCCCATTCTAGCTGCCTCCCCATCTAGACTCCCCAATTTGCCCCTCCTTTTCCTTGAAGTCCAGAATTTATCAAAAGCAACCCCAACAAAGAAGAAAAAGACAAATAACCCAGCAATGTTACGGTTGATTGGAGGGGATGGGATTGGGTGGATAACTCCTAGCTGGGTCCTTAACTTGTCAACAATGGGGTCTTGTTGGAAATTAGTGAAATTTGAGCCCATGTTGATTGAAGATTCTTGACTTTCCCCATCCACAAACTCATTTGAAAACCCTTTGGCCATAAGTTTCCTAGCCAACCTTACATTAAGCCTGTTGGGATTCGGAGTGGAAATTGCACAAGCAAGAAGACAAAGTTTCCGGTAGGGGATGAAAACAGTGATGAGCCGGGCTTTGGGTGGTCGAGCATTGGTCCTGGGTGGCAAGGAGGGATGGGTTTTACAAGGGCAGAGTGGAGGAACAAGAGGGAAGCCGAAACTGGAAGTAGAAGACTGTAAAATGATCATTTAGTACGAGAAATGGGAGAAAGATTTTCAATGCCCCAGTTGGAACGTGGGGATAACAGAAAACATAGTTGTTGTTAGTGATTATAAACATGAATAAACTGGGTGAATCAAATGAAGCAGCAGGCTAAAAGAATCAAATGGTTTTTGGGAGCTGGAATCGAAGACTGACAATGGTTGGGATTGTGTAGATGTGATGGACAGCAAGAGAATAAAGATTGGCAATGGCCCGCGGTCATGCTTTCTTTGTGGTTGAGCATTAATTTTTTTTCATAGAAGGTTGACCCTTGACAAAGATCGGTGCAGCACTTCCCTTTTTCTTTTTTGCCCCACAAAAGCAGGACTTTTTTAACAATAAACAAAGAGTACTTTTTATTTCTGATTTTTATTACATAATTTATATTATAATTAATTTATCAATCAATAAATATATTTTTTTATAAAAAAATTTAAGATAGATAAATTACTCACTTTCTTACAGTAAAATAAAATATATTATATTTAATAATCTAAAATAAATAATTATAAATTATACATTCGAAATGATCTCAATAAGTGATCACCGATCAAATTTTAACTCAAGACTTATACTGAATCAATTATTTATTGATTAGCAATAAATATATTTAATAATTTAATTATATAAATTGTTATTTTTAAACAGTATTAAAGTGTTAAGTTTTGTAACAGTGCATATAAAAAATTATTTTTTTACAAAAAAATAATCATGAATAAATAAAAAAATTATAAATATTAATATTTGAATTTAGATATACTAAAAATTATTGCAAACATAAAAATTATAAAAATATATAAAATATCAATATTTTATATGATATAAATTATTAAATTATTAAATTTACATATAAAATTTTATTCAATCATGAATTATGGATCGTATATATATATATATATTTATAATAGAATAATAACAGACAGGTAGCCTAACTTTAAGTTAAAATGAACAAATTCATACCAAAAAGTCTCTTTAGAGACGACAAAAATCAACGTTAAAAGCTAAGATTTGCCTTCAAAATTATACCGACCAGATACGGTTGTTGTCTCACTTAGTTTTTTTTTTTTTTTTCATCTTAATAAAATCCTTATTTTTTTTTTAAAGAAAATGTTTAATTTAGAGACTTGAACGGGATAATCCAAGGTTTAAAACTTATAATTTACAAAAAAATGCGCCACATATCGTTAGCGCGTGAAGTGGCGGTCACCATAACGACACGTAACATCATGCGTTCATGTCCTGTCATTTGCCAAACTGATTACCGGCTATCTCCGGGATCTTCCACATTAAAAGAAAACCACCCCCTTCGCCAATCCTTTTCGCCGGCCGTGTTTGCTTTGCTCTTCTAAATTTTTAATTTCGCAAAATAAAAAAAATAACAGAAAAAAAAAACCCAGAAAACCATCATAGTTTCCACTAGCTTCTTCATCTAAAAGAAAAGGAAAAAAAAATCAGTCAATATAATTTCGGGTTTTTAACATTCATAATTAGAAAAAAAAACCAGAGAGAGAGAGAGAGATGGGACATTACGGCGTGGATGAGGCGGTGAGAGCGTATAAGCTGAATGACGCATCCAATTGGTGGCGTAACATTAACAATTCACCGCTCTGGCAGGATCGCATTTTTCACATTCTCGCCGCTCTTTATGGCCTCGTCGCCGCCGTGGCTCTCGTATGCCTCTCCTCCTTCCTTTTCATTACTACTTTTTATATTTTTCTTCTTTATTTATAAGTAATTAGGGTTTAGCTCGGTTTGACTGCGTTGTCTAGGAAAACTGATGATTATAGATTCAAATTTTAAAAAAAGTTTTTCATTATTTGCTTTCTCCTCCTTTTTAACGTGAAAAAAAGAATTAAGAAATTAAGTGCAATTAAGATGCTGTTGTTGTCATGAATGGCGCTTATTAATTACATCTTTGTTCATAAGTCATATATTTATTGATATTTTTAGGTTCAATTAATACGGATACAATTGAGAGTTCCCGAGTATGGTTGGACCACCCAGAAGGTTTTTCATTTTCTAAATTTTCTGGTGAATGGGGGTTTGTATCTGAAAATTTTTGGTTTTTCACTTTTTTTTTTGTGGGCTTTGTATTTGTTTTTATTTTGGTTTCTGTATTTACTGAGCTTTCATTTATATGACAGTTCGCGCACTAGTTTTTGTTTTCAGGCGGAATGTGCAGATCTTACATCCAGAGGTTTGAGACAAACAATTGGGCGTTTCTTTTGAATTACTTGTAATTTGTTGCTTAATGTTGCATTTTTGATAGATTGTTCAACATATCTTGCTTGACATGCCAAGTCTAGCTTTCTTCACGACATATGCACTTTTGGTCTTGTTTTGGGCTGAGATCTACTACCAGGTTAGATTATTTGAGCTCTGCCAGTTTGCCTTCCCACGTTGGTCTTTCTCATTTTGTGATCATTAACTTTATCTTAACTCTGCCTATCCGAAAACAGGCACGAGCTGTATCAACTGATGGACTGAGGCCAAGTTTCTTTACAATAAATGCAGTGGTTTATTCTATTCAGGTGAAATTTATGTTCTATTATTTGGTATAAGTGCCTACAGAAAGGAGAATTTGAAAGTTGGATTCTTTCTATTTGGAAGCAAGTCATGTTTTGTAAAAAACAGTACTGTTATATAGTTTTGCATAATTTGTTTATTTGGCTAATTTGTTGCAAATTCTATAAATTTTTAGCCGGATAAGGATGGCAAATTTTGGCAGAGTGGATTGGTGCCCTTTGGTGACTTTGTAAATACTGTAAATGAATTAAATCACTAAGCTTATTTTTCATAAGTGATTTTCCTTTTTCTTGAGGGGGGATCTAAATATTGTGCTACACATGGCAAGATTGCTTTAGACTAATTTTCTGTTTTAGTTCTTTTAATTGTATGAGATTCAAGTTCGGAAATAATCACGGGTCCAATTTGCAGTGTCAGTAATTGAAAAACAAAGAACTTTTTCACATGTATGAGATAAATATTGCTCTTTGGGATGATTAATTAAAGATGAAAGATACACGTCAACGTCAAGCAAAAAGGTAAATTTAGAGAAGACGGTGTTGATCAGAAGCGATGATCTATTGTTTTAGACTCCATTGGGCTCTAATTGGAAATATATTTGTTTCTTCCTTCTTTTTTTTTCCCTTTCTTTCCTACCTTCTTTCTCTCTTTAATGAGACAGTATGTTCTAACTTATTATGATAAAGCCAATGAGGAAAAATGTTCTGTGGATTTTCTTTTCATGTGCACTTAACCACATTTCATCTTTTTGCTGAGTAAACCTTGGTAAAAATTTTTAATGGTGGAATTTGCTCATAAAAATGGGTGAAAATTGGAAAACCTATTATACTGGTTACATCTTATGGTAAAAAACTGCTTTAATGTCTAGTAGAGTGGTTGCGACTTGTGACCCATGCACCAGTAAGGACCTAGGTATTGGGAAAGTTGGAAATAAGTCTAGTTGATTCTATTTGCATTTGTCCTTTGTATGATTGTTCAGTTGCAGTTTGGATAATATGTTCCACTGGCTTCTTTAGATTTTTTGTTGCATATTCTTATTTTTAGAACTTCTTGGAAATTAGGACACAAAGGACTAACAAGAATATATTGAGTATTTTGACTGTCTGTGCCGTTATTTTTACAGCTTGGCAGAGGGAGTCTCTCATTTTATTTTATTTTATTTTTTTAAATGAGTACGATTCTTATCCAAAACTAAGTAACTTCACTCCCTGTCTTTTTTTTTTTCCCTCTTATTTTACGTTACACAACTGTCACCTAATTTCAACCTTGACATATTGGTCATCATCAAAGTCATACAACTTAGATTTTGTCAAAGGACAGATATCATAGGTGATACATTTCCTTTTGGTAAGGTTGCAATGCAAAATTTACCCAGATTATTGATTATATTTCTTCAGTTTAAATGTTTCTAAGACTTCCCTTGTTGGTATAGCTAAGTTTGCTATTGATTGGGGGTGTTCAAAGCTTAATAGTGGGGATCTTGTCCTGAAAAAAGGATTTTGTCAATGTATATTAACATATTTGCCCCTCATTTCCTTTTTCTCTCTCTCTGCCTCCTTTCTGAGATGAAAATTTTCCTAACCTTATGACGGTAGCAATACTGACAAAAGGAATTTTGTAAACACCCATAATCCTTGTAGCAAATAAAAATTTAAAGTTTTCATTGATCCTTGTCAAGTTTTTCCCCATTTTGCCCATATCTTGTGACTGTAGTAACCATGAAGATACTATACTTTGCAGCAGGATAAATGAGAAAAAAAGTCTCTCTGGGTGGCTTTTGTATTTCTTTAAAAATGGCCTTAGGAGTTCACTTTGCTGCATAATCAAACCTTTGTAAAGAACATTTCCTTGAAGCTGAGATTGAAAAAATATATCCAATTTTAGATATGTGAGATTATCTGAGACATGATGGAGGATTGTTTGGGATTGTTTTGCCATATATGTCCAGTATAATTTCTAGAATTGATGCTAGGAGCTTGCTACAGAATACCATAGTCAGCTTCTTATCCTCCTTTTTTTTTTTTGTGGATAAGTAGCTCATTATCCTCATGTACTTGTTTTCTATCAAATTTCACAGTTATTGTGCCAATTGATAGTTGAATTCTATTCTGGTTAGCAACAAGGTATATTTTCCTTGATTCAGTCATATGTTATTTAGACCTCTGATAAGTTAAACCTGTTGTCTTCCAGCTGAAGTTTCTTGGTGTTTATCATTATAAGTCATGCTCTGAAATCCTTTTTCATAGCTATTGCCTCCATTAAGTCTAGTATTCTATTGTCAATACAGATATGACATTACATACATTTGTAGTCCCCGCTGTCAATATAACAAAGAAAATATATGAATTTGCTTGTGCTTTATGCATCAATTTGTCCTCTTTGCCCTTTTAGCTATACTCTTGTCAACCTTAGTCATGATTTAAGACACTACCTGTAAGATGCTTCAGCAGTGAAGTCAGATAGTTAATAATGCTTTGTTACTCCATATTTGCAAGCTCTTTGTCCCTTTATTGATTATTTGCTCTGACCTATAATAATTTTTCTTTAAAAATTTATTTCACATTACCTTTAACTGGCTGATCTATAATGTCCCTTTAGTCATGATTATTTGCTCTGACCTATTATTAATTATAATATCCTTAATTGCCTATAATATCAAATCAAAGCTATGTTGAATGACACTGGCCTTTTGCACACTGTGTGTTCATGTTTTTGCAATAGCTTCCTTTTCCTTAATACTTTCCACAATTTGTTCTGCTGGAATAATGCTCTTAAGCTAACCCTGATGCTGGCCTCTACAAATTATGAGCTGGCTGAATGAGAGTTAAACCATAAAATTAAGTTGGTAGGTAGGTTTGAAGACAATATTTCATTTGCTAGAATAGTGACAAGGATGTTAATGGCATTTGTTGTAGATTTTACTAGTGAATTTGAACCTACAGTGTAGACTTTTCTTATTGTAGCCAGTTCAGTCATTCTGACAGCATTTTTAGCTGTGTTGCATACTTAATTTGCTTTGGAAGTATGACTTTTGAGAGGTGTTAATAAAGTTCTTTTTTTTTTTTTTGTTGTTGGGGGTGGGGGGAATTGATTTCAGATTGCAATGTGGCTGGTATTATGGTGGAAGTATATCCCAGTTTTAGTCATCCTATCGAAAATGTTCTTTGCAGGTAAGTATTTGCTGTATCCTTAGTAGATTTATGGTAGTTAATTATTGAGTAACTTTGGATGCTCTATGGATTTATTATGGATGATCACCTAGTAATTTTGGATGCTTTATGGATAATAATCACCTGGTAATTTGTTTCAATTATAAATGTAAGTGTTTGATCCTGACTTTTGTAAATGGGCAGGTGTCTCATTGTTTGCAGCCCTTGGTTTTTTACTATATGGTGGAAGGTAATTATATTGCCATTTATTTTATTGTTGCTAAATATTTTAATGGCATGGGAGCTAGCATTGAATTATAATTTAGTTTTATGTTTAGGGAGCTTGCTGAAACCAGCATATAATTGTCTTTTCTATGTTATTCGGAATTGTGCCTTCTCTTTGTAACTCTTCATCTTCTTTGTTAAAAGGTCTCTCTTACTTCTCAACTATGGATCTAGTATAATTACAGGGCAGCTTCTTTTACTCGGTCCTGAAGCTTAATTGATATTTATAATATATATACATATATGCTACATATTAAAGTGGTTTAAGGGGTTTGAAATCTTGTGAGGACAAAAATAACCATTCCTTATTTTCTCCTATATTTTTGTTACATTTATTATCTTATTTCTATTTAGAAAGTATTTCATATTTTCTTATGAGGGTTTCTGAATTTTTTTTATCTTGGAATTTATTTTACATTGGAAAAACAAAATTAGTTGTGTTAGTTGATAGAAAATATTGAACTCCACGGACATGTATGCATCATTTCACAATTAATATAATGTATTTCACATTCTATTGGGAAGTATTAAATAAAGATATTGTTACTTGTAACCTCTATATAAACAATTTTTTTATGGTTTTGAAAATGTCTACACACATGATTTGTATGCAAATTGCTTGTCAAGTTAAAACTTAGTGTATAACATATACTTCCATATCAGGAATCTGAATTAAAAGAAAGGATCACTCCCTGGTATAACAAAACCAGGAAGGACATAAGTGTGCCACACATTGTGCTTGTAGTAAATGATATATCAATATGTCAGACTAAAATACACACATGCACACACTTGTGTGTGTGCACACAGCCACGGAAGTAAATGAATAACTAAAATATAACAATGATGCGAGTTAACTAAAATTATTTAAAATGGATATACACTCTCAAATGTGTGCACACAGCCACTGACATTTACATTTTGGTAAACATTTATGATTATCATTGATGAGTCTGTTGGCAAAGGTGTATGGTACACTTATTATTAGTTTATTGATAAAAAAATTCATGGTTATTTAGCATTTTTCAGAGAAAATTATTGATAATGACCCTTTTCTTGTTATTCAATGTTGCATGTGTCTCCTAATTACGGTTTCCTTGGTTCATTTCCTAATACAACAGGGTAACCATATCATAGATATGCCTTGTGTTTGGGGTGAGCATGGAGAAAATAAATAATAATATGTTCAATCCTTGCAGGCTTTTCTTAATGTTGCAGCGGTTCCCTGTAGAGTCCAAAGGGCGGCGTAAGAAGCTGCAAGAAGTATATATTTACTTTAAAAGTAGATGTGGTCTTTGAGTCCAACAATTTGACCTTTTATTTACAATTTTTATTGTTATTTCTTTTTGGCTTGGGCAGGTTGGTTATGTGACCACAATATGCTTCTCATGTTTCCTAGTCAGATGCATCATGGTAGATTACTTACTTCTTTTCTGGCTTTACTAACCCTACACTTTTCAAATTGAAAATACTACAAGAATGTTTTGTTGGACCTCTGTGAAACTTTTTCTAATTTGAGCTATATTGTTATTTTTTGTTCTAGATGTGCTTTAATGCATTGGACAAAGCTGCTGACCTTGATGTTTTGAACCATCCAGTTCTAAACTTCATATATTACCTGGTAAGTTTGACATCTTGCTTATTTGCTAGTGATTGAGAGTCTCATATTGAAATACAGTGTGAAGGTTGCTTAACCCATCTTTTGCCATATGAAAACGGAAAAGATTGCCCCATTTCTGTGCCTTGTTTATTTTGTTGCTTACATAGGAATGCATATTTCAAGAAATTACAAGTTTTATATGCAATTTACAAGTCTTTGGCATCAGATTATTATGTCGAAGAATTTTTTTGGGTGCAGTTGTGAGTTGTGACTACATGGCTGCTGAGTAAAATTTGTTATGATCAGCTTAAACTGTCATTTATCTATTTTTTAGATAACTTTTATGACTTTTGGAAGAGCAGGTTAAGGGTCAGAGGTTGGTTTAACATCATATATTTTGATGCCCAAATGTTACAATTGGGTCAGTTAGAACAATCTCATCCAACTTTTAACCTCATTTTCAAACTAGCTCTTGAACTTTAGGTTTAATAATTTTACCTATGTAGTTTCATTGATAATAATTTCTTTATGTCTTCCTAATGTTTTCCCATTGCTTATGTTTGTATAGTTGTTCAGGCAAGTAGCTAGAGGCTAATTCTAGGTATCTCTGTTGAACATGTATATGAGAGCATGGCTCTTTAAAATGGTTGGAGGGGGGAGGGGGAGGGAATGAAAGAAAAACAGAGTCTACCCATGTTCTACAGTATATTCAAGTATGAGCTACCTAGCATTTATCTATTTTGCTACCAAAATTTAGAGTAATTACTGAAAGTGATGATATATCTTAACCCGGCCCTACCAAAGCGAGGAGGAAATCCTAGTGGTTGACCTGGCCGTACATGACAGATTATGATCTGCATTTTTCATAGGAAATCACTTGTATTGACAATTCTATGCCTTAACTAATGATATCTTGTAAAAGTAGTGCAGCATGGATTTAAAACATACTTTGTTTAATATGTTTACTTTTATGTGCATTAGTAAATGGCTGCAACTCCTTGCCTTTTAGTTAGTAAAAATCTTTTCCTTGGTGTTCTTGGTGAGTGTTTTCGATGTGCTAATATGTAGAGTTTACTTGATATTGTGAGGAGTATTTTAATGTTGATTACGAAGATGGCATTCGAATATTTTCAGTTACTTTCTTTTTCTTGGGCAGTTGGTGGAGATATTACCTTCATCTTTGGTCCTTTTCATTTTGAGGAAGTTGCCATCAAAACGAGGTATTACCCAGTATCATCCTATACGATGAACGATTGAGGATGACACGAGAAAAAATAATAAAGGGAATCAATGCTTGTAACGATTTTGGACATGGCTTTTGTACCCTGCAAAGAGAGCAGAAAAAGCAATATGGAAGGCAGCAAAAACTAAGTTTTGTGTCTGTACTCACGAGCTGATCTCATGGATTGTAACCTATCAATGTGTTCAAAGTAAGGAGGTTTGTAGATTATGAGAAATTGTGGAATCTGTCGACTAGTTTGGTTCCATTCAACATGTAAAAGCGAAACCGAAAAGAAAAACGACGATGGATGAATTTCACAGAATGCTATTAAAACTCCAAAACCGATACCATTTTGGAACAGGCTACATGGACTAACATATGTCTTTGATAATGTTAATTCCTGGAGGCTTCTAACATAATGATTTCAGGAAGAGATGAAACATACAGAAATATGAAACATACCTGCAGGATTTAGAAGTCTGTCTAATGATGTGGTGGGAATTTTTTTTTTTTTTGTAATCGTGTTGAAGTGTGATTTTGACGTACGATCTAGTGAAAAGAGGGTTTCTATTGAGTTATCATATTGGGCTTAATTGCATGAACTTGATTGCTGTCTTTGACGCTTGATAGCTGAATGAATATGTTGAGAAATGGAAGATGGGTTATTTTTGTTGTAAAACTGAGAATTGAGGTTTCAATTGTTGGATTAGCATTGAATAGCAATATATAAAAGCCAGTTTCAGAAGGTTGACTATTTGATAGAAGAAAAACCTACCATTCTGTGACCCAGCCACTGCTCATTTTGAATGGTAGTTTTCTTTTTTTTCTTTTGGGAGAAGATTACAAGTCATGTTTTGCATTACGAGAAACAAGAAATTGTTTATTTAAATATTCTAAAAGCCGCAATCTTATTAGCCAAATTTTAGGGAGGTTCTTTTTTATAATTATGAAAATTAATTCATTAATGGGATTAAAAAATGACACATATATTTTAAATACATTAAAATGTTAATATAATAAAATAAATATATTTTTTAGTATATTAATTCTATTTATAGAATTTAAAAACCAAACGGATTTGCATAAAAATAAATTTTTGATGATAAAAAAACTTTTTTTAATTCAATTTAAATTCAAAAAAATTGAATTTAAATTGTTTCAATAAAAAAAAAAGAAAAGAAAAATAAAAACCTATAAAAAGAGAAACCACCCGAAACTGAAGTGATCTAAACTGCATGAACATAAAGTGCCTGATCCGAAACTCCAATAGGTGAAGCAATGAAAACATGTTATTATTAAATTGGAGTCCTAGACTTCAGTACAATCTCCTCGCAGCCTCCCAAGTTGCATGGCTCTGCTGTTTTCCTATAGTTTTAAAAGTTATTCTTTTTTTTTTTTTCCATGCAAGGACTTGTGGGGAGTCCTTGTCATGCAAATATGGGAAGGACTTGGGTACTCAGAGTTCTCAGGGAAGGACTTTCGGGCTGTTTTAAATAGTCCCCATCAAAATGCAATCATTGCTACTTAAGTTTTGATTCAGGATGATTACCCCCATTGAGCAGCCTGAGTTTGGTGAGTTTCTTTCCCTTTCATTGTTAATTTCCTTGATGAATCTCGTCTTTGGTCTGTTCTTTTTTTGTTGACAAAATTTTGTTGTTTTTATTATTGCTTTTTTGTCGTAGAAGTTGGGAACGAGAAGCGGATTTATAAGGTTCCTGTTGATGAGAACGAAATGGTGTTGGATGGAGGATTTGTGGCCACTCATACCAACTCTTGGCCACACTCTCTTTTCATTTCCTATTAAATTCATACTATAAAATTTCTGTTTTACAAGGCTGTTTGCTGTTGAAAAAAAAATTTTAAATGCCAAAAATGGCATTACCATTTACCAATCACAGGTTTGGTTTAGTTCAATTGATAAAGTCATCCGTTGTATCGATGACGTTACGTTTTTGGATACAAATTTTATTTATAATACCTTTGATTAACACATTTTGCTTCCATTGACTAAAATATTAATGTTTTATTTGAATGCGTAGTGAAAGGGATTCTATCTTTTTATGGTTGAATCTCGCATCTAAATGAAACGTGAGTAAGCTATCAACTTGGGATTTGTATGAAAAGGAGGGCATTTACAATATTTTTTATTTTTTAGTTTGAATTTTACTCTTGCCAAATTGATTCCAACTTCAAAGACCTAAGCCATAGTCAATGCCCAAAGCCAAAAATAGTATGGGTTTGATTGCTTTTTGATTTAGTGAGAAAGGCCTGAAAAGAGGCCCAAAATTTTAACAATCTGATGCTCAGAGCAAATCTGTTTGTGTAAATGCAAAACAGAAATTGCCATGTTGAAAGTGAAAGGCAAAAGGGTGCTGAGGAATTCTACAGAACAAATCACATCATCAGACTGTTGAATTTGTAAGTGATATTGGCATGTCTGTTCATTTCCTTAACCAAAAAAAATGAATAAGGGAAATGATTCTTAAAAGTTATAATACTATTTATAAATGAGCAGGTGAGGAGGATGAGAGAGGAACATGGAAAACTGAAAAGGGTGGAAACGAGCATATGGGAATGCTGTGAACTTCTTAATGAGTTTGTTGATGAGAGTGATCCTGACTGAGATGAACCTCAAATTGAGCACTTGCTGCAAACTGCCGATGCTATTAGAAAAGACCATCCACATGAGGAGTGGCTTCACTAGACTGCCCTCATCCATGGTATATACATACATACATACATACATACATAATATATATATATATTCCTGTCACACCACTAACATCACCTGACTGACTGACTGACTGAACTCCATGCACTTTTCAATGCAACTCAGGATTTAACACTGTGTTGCAGATCTTGGAAAAGTTCACTGTGTTGCAGATCTTGGAAAAGTTCTTTTTCATCCTGCTTTTGGTTGAGCTTCCTCAATGGGCTGACGTGGATGAGTGCCCCCTGCTTCTTTGGTCTTTCTCTTGTCTTGCTGTTTAAACTATACCATCAAACAGATATTCCATTATTGCAGCAATTAGGCAGTTAACGGTGATTGCTGTCATACCAGGTGACACATTTCCTGTTGGGTGTGCCTTTGATGTATCAACCTTCACCACATTGTCAGTCGTTACTCAGTATATATTCTTGAAACTTTATTCACACTCATTATCACCATATTGTTCTACTTTATTACTCATTTCAGAAGCTTAAATTTCTGATTCCCATGTTGCTAGTCTCTAACATTTCTTGGGCATATTCCTACAGTATTTCCAGGAAAATCCAGACTACCAAAATCCTGCTTATAACACTAAGCATGGGATTTGCAGAAGGTTGTGGACTAGACAATGTCTTGATGTCATGGAGGCATGATGACTAGATGTAGTTGGTAAACTTCCAAGTCCATTTTCCATTTTTTTCTCCTTTTATATGCATTTTTGTGTTTTAATTTGATTGTTTATGCTTTTACATTCCATGTTTCAATGACAAGAATTAAACTTTGTTATTCTATATTGGATATATCAGGTTGGTAACGAGAACAAGAGCACTCTTCCTTCATCTGCACCATTCATCAGAAGACATCACTCCTCCTATGGTAAGTATAAAAACCTAATGATTCAATTTGTCCGAGTGTTATCAGCTAAAATTTCATCATTCTAACAACTTTGAAATACCATCTTTTTGGAAACAATTCAACTTGCAGCTTTAAATCAGGCTGATGCATGTAAGAACTTGAATGAATGAAGATGATATTGAGAATCTCAAATGGCTGAACATATTCAGTTAATTCTGTGTAAAAGGGAAGATCATTTTTATCTAAACACTGCTTTCCTCTTTTGTTAGATTTGCAGCAAATATGACCTTTACAGCAAAAGCAAAGTCCACATACATCTTGAGAAAGTCAAGCCATACCATTTATCCCTAATCAAGAAGGTAAAAATTCGCATTCCAAAACCCTTAATTAGGATTAATTATATATATATATATATATATATATATATATAATTGCAAATTCACTGGTTCTGAAGTAGTTTTCAACAATTCTTTTCCGGTACTTATTATATGATGAAAGTTTGAAGACCCATGAGTAAGGGCATGATTGGATCTAATAAAGGTTTAAGCTCTTCCTAAGGAAATTTTGATCTTTATCTTGAAATTAAAAATTAAAAATTAAAAATTTAATTTAATTTATTCATACAATAATTTTTAAATTTTAACACAAATAATTATTTTTTATTTTCAAATTACGATTTATTTTATATTAAAATGATCGGTATGTTTAAATTCACTACTTTATCTATTACTACATTCTTACTTTGATAAAAATTATACCTAACCAAACCTTAGTAAAATAAAACTAACAAGTTGTACAAGTAAGAAAATTTGGCCTTCCTACTGCAAATGTAATTAAGACAATAACCGATGATGTCTTTTTATTATAGAAAATTTAATTGAAATAATTTATGTGTTATAATTGTCTTTATATTTTGGTCCACATGTAATAATAATTCAATCACTACTTTTGATCTTATTTTGGGTCATCCTTGACAAATATGCGCAAGTGACCACGACAGTTCCAATTGGCAACGTTAGCTAACACTTGATTGGAATAGAAACGTTCAAAAGTCCTGATTGTTCAATATTACCTTAAATTTTTATTGTTTTATATGTACTATATATACATTTTTTTATTATAAACTTGAAAAAGACCCAACGACTATTCAATTTGTCAAATAAAGCTATTATTATTTAACTAGTTTTGTCGTAAAAAAATTGTTTTAGAGAAAATTTTCATAAACAATAATTTTTTATAGAGATAAAAAATTAAAAATTAATTTAAATTTATAATATTTGATTTAGTTTAGATCAATTTTTTTATTCGGTTTAAATTAAATTTGAACATTAAATTTATATATTAAATTTAAATTGAATTAAAAATTAAAAAAATAAATCGAATCAAATTATATATTTTTAAAATTTATATAAAAGAAAATAACTATTTTATATCAAAATTTATTAAAAATTATATTAAAATAATTTAAAAAATTAATAAAATTAATAAAATTAATAAAATTTAATTCGAATCAAATTCAATTATATAAAAATTTTACTCGAATTAAACTTTAAAAATTTATAATTTTATACATTATTTAAAAAATTAAATTAAATTCAAATCAATCAAAATCATCATTACTCTTAATTTTTTACCCTAATTAATATGAATATTTAAGACCAAAGGGAAACATTTGTATTATTGACAAAGTTTGATGAAGTTATCTATGTATTATTTTCCTCTCAATCCATAAAAAAAAAAATTTAAGTCTTTATATTCAAGCATTCGATTGAATGATAAAATTTGTGTCATTGACAAAATTCGATGAAATTATCCAGTGCAATTGTATGTATTTTCGTCTCAATTTGTATATAAAATAATTTAAATTTTTACATTAAAGCATTCAATTGAATAATAATTCTAAATACGTAATACATTTTTTTTAATTCAAAACGTTGGATCAACTTCGAAACTTCCTTCTTCTAATATCAAAAGAATCTGGGTGTTTGTAAATAACAACTATTTTTATATATTTAATAATTTAAAATATGATATAATGATATGATATGAATATGATATAAAAAATAAAAATAAAATTTAAAATTTAAAATTATAATAATTATTATGTATAAATTTAATAAAATTAAAATTTATATTTTATATTTTTATATTATAAATTTTAATATTTTATATAATAAAAATACACAAATTATCATATTTAAAATTTTTATATAATAACAAAAAAATTAAAAGAAAATCTGACACCGGCAATACTGGTTACCGTTTGATTTGTATCAAACTGTACTTTGGTAAACAAAACCCAAAATATCTTTTAAAAGAATAGATTTCAATGACAAGAAAAGGGCTGCGTCCAATGAATGTAGCTATGAGTTAGTTACTTGGTAGGTGGCGTGTAGGTTTTTCAGACAACGCCTTTGTTTCAATTAAGTACATAACCTTTATTTTCCCATTTTTTCTTTTTTTTTTCCTTATATTCCATAAACATACGCAATACTGTTCAAAATTTCCAACATAACTATCGATATATTTGACCTTTTGTCTTTTGTTTTATTGATAATTTCAGACTGTATATATATATATATGTACACATGTGCTCAAGGCTACAGGTAAGAGTTCTGTTTTGTCTCTTGGTGGAGTTTTTGTGTTGCCATTATTGACCATGACCCTCTCTTTTGAAGTTTAGCTGTAATAATATATTTATTTTTTGCATACAGAGAGGAAAAATCAAGTCCTTGATTTTTGGTGGTTGTGTTCTGAATTTTTAAGGTTTGTTTATTCGTTTGCTTTTGTTTTATAGATTGGTTTCGGTTCAGTGGTCTTTTTGATGAATGATCAATGGATAAAACAGAAGTGGGTTTTTTTTTTTTTTTTTGAGGTAAAGTTTTGGTTTTTTGGATAAAGAATGTTCCCTTGGTCTTTGTGCTGAATCTGTTTCATTTTTTGCTGATTTGGATTGTCTTGTTCTTGAGATTTCATTAGTGGGTTTTTGGTTTAATTTACATATCTTACTGCAATCCTGAGAATTTGGGATTTTACTCTCTATTCACTGGAGTTTTATAATTCAAATACCAAAAACAAGTGAATATAGTTAAAATTGTTGGAAGTTTTGAGTTGAAATCTTTCCCCTTTGGTATTCGTGGTTGGTGGGTCAAGAAGATCAAGGAAAAATGAAAGGGAAAGTTGGTACTACAGGGAATTTCTTTGTGTTGAATACTGGAGCTAAAATTCCTGCCATTGGGCTTGGAACATGGCAGAGTGGAGGAGACCTCTGTGTTGATGCTGTGAAAACAGCATTGTCGGTTGGTTACCGCCATATAGATTGTGCACATCTTTATGGCAATGAGATTGAAGTTGGGGAAGCATTGGCTGAAGCCTTCAAAGGTTCTTTGAAAAGAGAAGATGTTTTCTTGACCTCTAAGCTTTATTGTACCATGAATTCATTGAATAAGATTGACAACTATGTTAGGGTGTCTCTTAAAAATCTTGGAGTCTCCTACTTGGATCTTTATTTGATGCATTGGCCTGAGAGCTCAGGTTTTGGAGATGCAACTGATCCTCCTTTAATGTCTGGGAGTAAGCATAGGCAGTTTTTGAATCGGCTGAAGAAGGTATGGAAGGCGATGGAATCCCTAGTCGAATTGGGTTTGGTTAGAGCTATTGGTGTCAGCAATTTCAGTGTTCATCAAATCAAAGAACTGCTTAAATTTGCAAAAATCGTACCTGCAGTTAATCAGGTTTGATAGATATTTCACTTTTTAACTTTAAATTTAAATTTATTCTAATTTCAATGATTCTTGCATAAAAGAATTTTCCTTTGCATTGATTTATTGAGAACTTTATGGTGAAGTGAAGTCATAACTAGTTGGAGAGCCAGTGACAAATTTCTCCCTTTTGATTATGATTCAATATTACAGTCTAATGGACTTTTATATGATTACATGCACCCTGTATATTTATTTAACTAGAGATGGATTCTGAATCTGTTCTTTTCTTGATCAAAATCCATTTACCCAAGTAGGAGCTCAGAGTCAGAGCTCCAGTAACTTGGGATGATATAATAATAAAAGAAAATTACTATGTGCAATGTTTGAACATGGGTGTGCAAAACTTGAGGCAAACTTTACTGGTTGATGCACGAGAATATTTGTTTATGTTGTAGTTGGTTGGCTGTGGTTTGGAATTTTGATTGATAATCACAGTTACTGAAAAATGAAAAGTAGGAGCAACCTGACAGTTTATGTCCTGCATGGATGATTTACAATATATGAAAGCACATCATTTTGTTTATCCCCTTTCTTGTACCTTGAGACATGCATTTTACTCGGAAGTTGGAACTTTGTCTTTCGTACACAGCACCTTATGGAAAGAGTTTATCTTTGCTAAACATGTTACCTTCCATTTAAAGTACTGAATTATTTGCGTGTATGGCATGCCTTAACATGAATCTTTTTTTCCAACTATATTTTTGCTCAGTGAACCAAAAATTATGGTTCATTTGATTAACTATGTTAATAGCTCCTAAGTCTATTGGCACCATACCACAGACATCGGACTGATGGACCATTAAAAGAAATGCAAAAATGGCTTCCAGAATTGTCTGCCTTGAAGTTTGGCCAGAATAAAATTTTTCAATGACTCAATCCATTTTTCCTTTTAATTAACTTGTGAAGAAGAAATGGGTGTATTGCATCAGATAAACATCATTTCTGTCTTTTATCAGTTCTTTTCTACATGTGGTTTTATATTATGCTTTTCCTGTTTTTAGTGGTTTTATCTTTTCCATGACTGTATATCTTCTTCGCAAATTTTCGTTCTTGCAAGTGTTCTGCTGTTATTGAAATAGAGTGTTGGAAATTATGCTCAAGTCTTATGCACCTAAATATTGTTTATCCCTTTGTCTTGTAATCCTTTCCAGAAATAGACTTTTCATCAACAAGGTGTAAAATTAAATTTCTTTTGTAATAGGTGGAGCTGCATCCTTTTTGGAGGCAAGATGAACTGGTGAAGTTCTGCCAATTGAAAGGTATCCATGTCTCTGCTCACACTCCTTTGGGAGTACCTACTTCAAGTCCTGGAGTGTCTGATAGTGGATCAGGTGGGGAAGATGAACCTGGAACTCCTCGCATTTCATTTAGGAGGTCTAGATCAGTGCATGGACCAATGCTGAAATTGTCAGTTGTTGGAAAGATAGCAGATAGGCACAAAAAAACACCGGAGCAGGTATTTCCTTTTATAACAATATCATGTCTATTTTTACTGACTATGTATTATACTAGCATTCTCCTTCTATGTTTCTTCTGATGTCAAGTAGGTTAATAATGATTTCAAATACGTCGATGATATGTTGACCTCATCTCATCCATATAAAAATCAACACTACTGATACTTGGTTTCAGTGAAATGGGAACTTAGGGAATAAAAAAGAGAAAAAAAAAGGATTAGGACTCATAAAAAACCCTTTGAACCACTTTAAACTCCAAAAATATCAGGTAAAAGAGCTCATGTTTGTCATTTATTAAACTAAATGAATACTTTTAACAAAAATTTTAAACATTTTTTCATAATTGAGCAAAGTTTGAGTAGTAGGTGAGTTCATCTTGTTTATGGTAAAAAACAAGCTTGATAAAGAGCTTGTTTACACCTACAGTGTATATTATTTATGTTTGTCTGAATTTTTAGGTTGTATAAGTTTGAAGGACAATGATGACTAAATATTGATCAAAGTTACTAAAGTATGGGTGGCCAGCCGCCACTATTCTAATCCATCACTTTATTGCCGGTCACAAACAGCGGTGTTGGTTGGTGGTTTTTTTGTTATTTCCCTAAGCTAAACACTATTTTCACCAACTTTATTACTGTTGTCACATAATAAAATATTGCCATGGTAATGGATTTTGGATAATGCATTTTCTCAATAACTAATGTTGCAAAAGTGGTTAATCTTTGAAAGGATCAGGAAAGTGATGCAAACAACTGAAAAGAGTTTGAAATATTGATACCCTCTTGGGAGAAAACAAATTTTGATCTTGTTGGGTTCACTTATATGCCTCAATGTGTTGGATTTTGCAAAATAGTTTTCAAACTAATTATGAATTTACAAGTCAAGAATATTAGGCAAGGAGCGTAGAAAAAGAATAAAACTCATGGGTATCATTTGCTTTGAGAAACTTTGATGGCATTCCACATCAAGCATCAATGTATGAGGGAGGGGACAGATGCTGATAAAAGGCCTCCCCATCCCACTCTTCTCTGTATGCTTTACTGTTAAAATTTTTGAATCTCTGGATCAGTCCGCATGGCCAACTGCTTAAAAGTTGGCTTTATGAATAATTTCCCAAGTAACCAACCTTGGATTAAAGCTTGAGCTCACCTCAAGAGCCTGATAAGCTTTTCCAAACTGAGTTCCAACTGCTAATTTTGAGCTCAAAATGAACTCGTACTGAGCTGGAACTTGGTAAATTTTAGCCAAGTCAAGTCTGAACACAACTTGGCTTGGCTCATTTAGTTGACACTTTACAACCCTATGTTTAGCTGAAAATCTAAAAGCAAACAATTTTGGAGCGGGCTTCAGAGGCAGAGTTTGCATGTCTTCCATATTCCTGCCTGTAACCATGAAAAGCAATATCTTTTGTTATTAATCCCAACTTCATATCCTTCCTGAATAAAACCTCAATAACTAGACAGGAAGTGCATTTTTAGTAATAGTGCTAATATTATGGCAGGTCTCTTTCAGTTTAAACTTCCCCCCATAGCTATACCTGAGAACTTCATATTGTCAACTGCTTCAACCCCATATACCCCATTTTGCATGACTTCCACTTTCCTTTTTCCTTTCCTCCATACACCATATGAAGAGTTAATTCACAGGATAATAGATGGCTCTTCAATCAGGCCAATAAGCTGAATGCCAACCTCAGATTAGATATTAATCTTACATCTACTGAACTTCTGAACTATAGTGAGCTGTGGATCAAACTTTATTTCTAGGCAATACATAATACCACTAAAGACATAGAGGTGCAAATGTAGTGAATTTTCACTATATTTCCTTTTGTCTTAGAGGAACTTAATTCTAGAGATAAGGTGGTTGTATTCTTTATGAAGATTAATTCTATTGCACTCTATATGAGCCTCAAATGTCTTTCATTGGGGGAAGAGAGAGATGGATGGGAGGTTGTACATGGACAACCAATTGATAGCATTTTAACATACTAACACCTATTAGACCACCCAAAATTTTGTCTGTCATGTCATAAATAACTGCTTCTACCGCATCAGTTCAATAAAGAGGACAAACTTCATCATCTGTTATGTAAATAACCTTCCTTCCACCTTTATCATATGTCATATGTCATTTGTTATTCTCAAGCCGCTTGAGCTTGATTTGCAAATATTTGGTGAAATTGAGTTGCGTTAACTGAAGTCTACGACTGATTAAAGTTAATCATGCAAGGAGAAGAACACTCTTATGCTGTATGGGTGTATATTTATATTATCATGACCAGGCTCTAATAAATACGTTCACAAATGCAAAGAGATCTATAACTTTTGGTGGCTCTCGTAACTGTTTTCTTGATAGAAAATATGAAGTGAACTGCTCATCTGAAACTGATTGTCACTTAAGGTCTTATTTAAACATCGTGATCTGATGACTGGGGCTGAATAATGCTTTTCTGATTGGACCTCTTGACCTATGATATTTTATGTATTTGGAGCTGATCATGATTCATGTGTATGATAGTGCATGTTTTTAGCTAGTCAATGCATCGTTTACTTAATCAAATACCTTGCAACTGCAGAATTCAAATTTATGGGTTAATTTGGAGTGTTGTTTCCTGTCCTGCTTTGTTACTTCGTAGGTAATTCTACGGTGGGGGTTACAAAGAGGAACCAGTGTTCTACCATGCAGTCTAAAGCCTGACAGGATAAAGCAGAATATAGACATCATTAATTGGTCTCTGTCGGATGATGAATGGAAGCGCTTGAATCAGATTGAACCACAGGTATGTTTATTCGGAGATGGTCCTCTCAACAATCTATCAGATAGAGGCCTCATGTTCGGTAGCTGTCCCCTTCAAGCTGTGCGCGAAATGGAAGATGATGCAGAATCCAACGCCTAATACTTGTGAACATGTTAAGATAACGTTCCATTTACATTCAACCATGTCATTGTGCAGTTATAATATTGCTAATGTCCCCCATTGTTTGCAATACTTTGAGTTCGTGGATTATGTGTAGAAAGTCAAAGAAAGACATTATTATTGATCATAGTGGCAGGGTTTTTTCTTTATGAACCAAAGTTTGTTTCATATATATATATATTGAACAAAAGTAGCGTGTTTTGTATGTAAACATCATGAAATGTCAATTATCAATGAAAATTTTCTAAAGGAAATGTAACTTTCAGTTGAAGTTATTGTGCCAAACTTGGTTTTAGTTTGCACGTAATAAACTTGGTATCTGGGTGGCCCATGGTTGAATTACAAACAACTAATCAAAGATAATCTAGTTTATTTACGATATGAGGTGGGATCATGACCTGTTAGCACTATGATAAGCAATTTGTCAGTGGGTTAATTTAACACAAAACGTGGGTTTTTTTTTTTTCTTCCTAGGGCTTAAAGAAACAGTAGAATATCAATGAAGTTGTTCTCAATGTGTTTCATTATCAAATATTAATTTAAAAATTCAAGATTTAATTCAAATGATTCGTATAATTATTTTTAAATGTGACATTTAATAAGTATGAAGTTTGTTTTTTTATCCCAAATTACAATATATTTTGTATAAAAAAAAATCAAAATAAAAATTTTCTGATTTTTTTTAACACTATCAATTTTCCACCTAATTCTAGTTTTTGTATGAATTACAAGTGTTTGTTTTTAAAAAATGCAAGTATAATCCAATGTCCATAAGATGTTAATAAATAGTTAACCTTTTTTGTTTGGTATAAGCTTGAGATCAATCTCCATAATGACTTTAATTCCTATAACCCAAACATCTCAGCATAATTGTAAACCTGTTCGTACTATATATAACCAATTTGCCCTTACATATTTTTATTTCACTATAGATTTCCCTATACTCATCTAGCTCTCATAAACTAACTAGTGAAGGCCCCTGCTTAATGTTGTGGATTCTTGAGGAAATATTTTTAGTGTTTATGGATTATTTACAATTCAACTTAAAAGTAAATTTGTGATTTTTCGTTACATTTACTAATTTGAGTAAATCTTATTGATTTGTCAACAAAAAATTTATGTTAGGATTGAATCCGATATTTGTTGAATACTAATTCCTTAAAATAATTACATAAATAAATTGAGTTAAATTTCGTATTAAGCTGCAATAATATTTCAAGGATATTTAATTTTACACTAATTTAAGGATGAATAAGTAATACACATTAATGGGAACCGAATGGAATTGTAATATGGATATTATACTAAGGAAAAATAAAGGCTAACAGGGAGAATGCTAGTGAACTGTTGTAGAAAATTTGTTCAGTGTGGAAATAAGATAAGAATGGTCAGTGATATAGATGTTAGGCAAGAAAAAATTAGGAAATGGGAACTGCAATGCTGAACAAAGATTTCATATGAAGTTGTAATTTTTTAATGTGTTCATATTATTAAAAAAAAAAAAAAAGGCAAAATGGACTGTTTAAAAAGAGAAAACTGTAGCAGAAGAAAGATATGGAGGAAGTCCATGGTGTAGCATTTCAGAAGTAAAATCACTGCAATTCAACTTGTTAAAGACTCAGAAAGTTTGTTGCTGGCACATCATTTGGGATAAAAGAGTGATGGATTACAAACAGCATTCAAAGAAATAATCAAAGCAGCGAAAGTGGACATCAATAACCTAGCTTCTTCGATGGTTCAGGTAAATTGACATCGTTTTCCTCTGCATAACATTGACAGGAAGATGAATGTTCAGTCAGTTCACATCTTGACAGTTCAGGTATCTATCTTTGATGGTTGGTGATGCTGGTCATTGTTCTGACAACTCAGTAGGTGTGTCAGCGGTATTCTTTTGAGCCTGATACAAACTTGGGTGCAGGTTTGTCTGCTATGAACTATAATCTTTCAAACCAAACAGGTGAAAGGGGAAAAAAAGTTTTGAAGGAAATAATTCGTCATTGAAGAGAAGAAAAATTCCAGAATAATGATGTTTTGCCACCTAAGACTAAGAGAACTTGTCAGGAGCATTTTGTGTCTATTTGTGATGAAAAATAGTGTTTGATATTGGTGTCAGATCCAGGGTTTAAGTGCAGTTTATTTCCGGAAATGATAGCACAATATTTTCCTTTTTGGCGTCTATCAACATCGCTATCACCCCCATTGTTCTTGATGAATAAATAAATTTATGTTGATTTCAATTCAGAAATCAGAATCAGCAAAGAAAATAATGCTTTTTTTTTTTTTTTTGCCACCGCCAGCACTTGAAGCATATCCGGAAGTAGGATATTCATAATTTAGTTTTAATTAAATTAATTGATTAAATTTATTTTATTTTATTAATTAATTAATCATTGAATTAAATTTGTTATTAAAAAAAATTTTAAAAAAAATTTAGTTTTTAGATAATCCGAATCAAAAATTGAATTAATCAAAATTTTAAATGAAATATAATAAAATATATAATTAAAAGTATATAAAATTATTCATTTCATTTAAAGTTTTAATTAATCTTTTAGTATTTATATATTTTTTGTTGAATAATTTTATTAATTTATTTTAAATATAAAAAATTAAAATTTTAAAATATAATTTAACTTGAAATATTTTATTATTCAATTAACTAAAAAATTAATCGAACCGATTAAATTAATTTTAATGAGTTAATTTTAAAAATTAAAAAATTTGATTCGATTATTAAAAATAAAATAATTTAATTTAATTTTAAATGATTCAATTCAAAATTAATGAAGTGCCCAGTAAACACTTTTATCTTGAAGTGCTAACCCTCAAAAGGTCAAAAATCTTTGAAGACCAGAAAAAAAAAAAAAAAAAGGAAAATGGAACTTCATTCTTAGGCATCCCAGGGAGGAAAAAAATTAAAATAAAAAGATGAAAACAATAAAATATAGTTCATAATCCATATCTTTCAAGCAAATATGCCCTATTTTCCATGGTCATAAAAATCCAAATTCAAAGTCATTTCTATAGATTAATCCACATTCTACATTGTGGGTTTTTTTTTTTTTTTTGTCCTATTTTTGACTTTTCATGCACCAAACTATGAATTCTAAGAGGAATCAGATGCAAGAATGAGACCATAAAAGTTGAATAGTCCCCAAAAGAAAAATCAACTCTATGAAATTGCAAAGGCATGCCCCTGCCCGGTTTGACCCACCATCCTTTTAAATTTAGTAATTCAATTTTCAGTTAAAATGAGCCAGCTTAGTCAAACCTGCAGACGATATAAAATAGGAACTAGTTGGCCATTAATCTGCTATAAAACCTTTCCAAAAATTGTCTTCAACAAATACAGTGGACCATGAAATTTCTTCTATCCCACCCTGTTGACCAAGAATCTGCTGTTTATGAATGTCAAATGGTTTGATTATAGCGTTGTCTGCAACCAACACCATTGGAACCACAAATTCTCACTAACTCCAATTGCCAACAGGGTTTGAAAAGTTTTTCTTACCAATATAACCTACCCAACCAAGGAAAGTAGGAAACTATAGGAACAAGCATACAACATTTTTAAACAGAACATTCCAATCTCAATTCACAGTTTTCCTGGAAAATTTCAGATGTCAAAGACAAATTTTCCAGAGAAGGCATAACATTCATTAGCACTCCTGGTGGCCTCTTAAAATAGAAATTCATGTCATTCACATAATTTGTTCTAGCATTATCTCAATAGATACCATTTGCAGGAAAGTAAATCCTAGCAAATAATATTCTTGATACAAACAGAATCCAAAATATGTAGAGCACAGTTAAAATTCTCATTGTCCTATTTTGGAGATGGAACACCCCAAATCCAAAATCCAATGCAGATGTAGGAAGACCTTGGATAATGAAATGATTGGAAATTGGAGCAACACGAAGCGTTTTGCATATTGGGATTGACACAATGCTAGTTAATAATTACCATAATAAAGCTAACAAATAAACTGAGCCAGGGTTATATCAAGGTATGGAACCTAAACATCAAGCCACTCCGAGAGAAAAGCTTGTCCAAACCAAATCATTTTTCCAAGAGGTATGGAACAATCAATATACGGACAAAACACACATGCATGATGATCATCACTAAACATGATCAGAAGAAATTTTTCACATTTCGTATCAAATATGAACCACCATTACATACAAAAAGAATAACTTTTACATGTTCGAAAATAAACATTTTATCATCGTCCAAAGTAAGACACTAACTTTGAATGTGAAAACTAAACTCACCAAGTTTTTGACAAAAACGTCTGTTGCTTCTGTTAGATCCCTTCCTAGGAGAGCACCAAAATCTGATAGGACACATAAGTGGAGTGATATTTACAACAGGATTAATTACTATGAAAAGCTACCATTTTCTACTGCTTCTGTTGGAGCTTGTTCAACAATGCATCTAGGAGAAATATTTCTAGCTATACAACAGAGCTTACCTAGTTCCATTACCAAGCTAGATGCTGATGTCAACTTTGTCAAGCCAAGAAACTAGTTGCTGGGTTGTAGGCCTAACTTTAGGGCTTTCACTTAAACAAAGGCATGCAATTTCAAGAACCCATAACATTTCCTTATCGTGCTGCTTGCCATAGATAAATGGATCGAAAACCTCACTCTCCCTGTTTTCCATCTTCATGTGAATCACCCAAGAGATCAAATCCTGGGATCCTTTTGGCTTGCACATATCCACGGGCCTTTTCCCAGTCAGAAGCTCCAAAAGCACAACTCCAAAACTGTACACATCACCCTTATAGGTTGCAATAGAAGCTTGCCCATACTCGGGAGGAATGTATCCTAATGTCCCTACCAGATCAGTGGTTACATGGGTATCATATGGAAGTATCAGCCTTGCCAGACCAAAATCAGCCAAGTGGGCTTTAAAATTCTCATCTAAAAGAATGTTACTTGACTTTATATCTCTGTGAAGAATATGAGGTTCACATGACTGGTGCAAATAAGCTAGACCCCTAGCCACCCCTTGTGCAATTTGCAGCCTCGTTTCCCAATCTAAAGAGGATGGTCCATCAACCTTCTCATGCAACCAATAATCCAAACTACCATTTTCCATGTAAGAATATATTAACAACCGGTCACTTTTATAAATGCAATAACCTTGTAGGTAGACAAGATTTTGATGTTGAGCTCTTGAAAGTGCTTCAACTTCAGCACAGAATTCTCTATCCATCTGACCACAGTCACCAGAAAGCCGTTTAATGGCAACCTTACGACCATCAGGTAGGGTGCCTATGTAAACCAGACCAAAACCTCCACAACCTATGATATTTGCTTGGTCAAAATTGTTGGTCGATTTCAAAAGGTCGTCAATGCAGAGCTCTTTGTAGGTTTCCCTATTTTGGAAGAGGACCACTGGCCTTGAACCGAGTTCTTCCAAATCTTTATCATTGGTGTCAGGCTTCTCTTTCTCAGGACCAACCTCACCATGCTTATGCGCATGCAACACAACTACCAACACAAGGCCAAGTAAAAAGGCTGTCCCAAATATGATTCCAACAACCATCCCAATAATGATAACTTTGTCCCTTTTTGATCTTTTTGGGGATTCATGACTATCTTCATTTTTAGTATCTTGACAACTGTACCAATGATCACCACAAAGCTTGTTTCCTTCAAAGCTTGAATTTGGAAATGTTGGAAATTGACCTTCAGAAGGGATCCTCCCATAAAGCTGATTGTAGGCAACATTAAATGTAGACAGAAAACTGAGATTTTCCAGTGAAGATGGTATGGTCCCTGATAAGTCATTATGCGATAGATCCAGAATCTCCAAGCTGGTCATCCAAGACAAGTTTCCCGGAATTGGTCCAGATAAATTATTGAATTTCAAATCAAACACATGGAGCTTTTTCAGATTCCCAAACTCTGGCCAAATTGGTCCACTTAGAAAGTTGTAACCAAAATCAAGTGTTGGTGGAAAACTCCAAATTTGATTATACTGCAATCCCGTCCCATTTTCATTCCTTTTCTTGAAGAAAGGAAAATCTGGTGAAGGCTGCTCCAGTGAGATGTTTCCATGAATGAGGCTTGGTAATTCAGTTAAATTTTTTGGGATCTCTCCAGTAAGTGAATTGTTGGATAAGTCCAAGTAAAAGAGATCCATGTAACTTCCAAACCACTGTGGAATTGTTCCGGCCAAATGGTTCCAAGATAAATCCAACAACTGCAAAGAAGTAACATTTCTCAACCATTGGGGAATTGAACCTTTAAGTCTACAATTTGCAATAATCAGAACCTTCAAGTTCTCAAAAAGTAGATTAGGATCATCAGGCAATGTTTCATCAGGGAAATTCAAGGTGAGGACCAAAGTAGTTAGATTCTTACACTGCTGCAGAATTTGAAGAGCAGAGGAAAGATTATGGAGGCTCGAATTTGAGAGGGAAAGATAAGAGAGGCTTTGAAATTCTTTGAAGCTCTCAGGGATTTGGCCACTGAAATTATTCCGGGCAAGATTGATATCTTGCAATTGTCTACATAGGGGAAGATTATCAGGCAGAGGCCCAGTAAACTTATTGGAAGCCAAATCCAGAGCGTTCAAAGCAACCATAGCTGGGCAATTAAGATCTATAGAACCATCCAATGAATTATTCCTCAAATTCAGCAAATTAATGGTTGGAGAATTGGACAATGAACTGGGAATTCTACCACTAAATTTATTTGAATAAGCTACAAGATACTTAAAATTCTGTAGCTGACTGAAGACATCCGGGATCTCTCCAGAAAAATTATTTGAAGAAATATCTAAACGAACAAGGTTAGAGAGATTAGCAATACCAGGACTAAGATTCCCACCAAAGTTGTTATTCTGAAGCCCCAAAAGGTTCAAATTTTGAAGCTGAAAGATGTCTTCAGTTATGCCACCAGTGAGATCATTCATGCCAAGACAAAGTTGCTCCAAGAAAGAACAAGTTCCAAGCCCTGGTAAAATATTACCAGAGAAATAGTTCGCTGCCAAACTAAGGAACCTAATTCGAGTAGAATTAACACATATATGGGAAGGAAGAGACCCGTTCAAGGAATTCGAAGAAATGTTAAGAATTTGAATTGAAGGAAGATTGATGCTTTCTGGGATCGGTCCAGAGAATTCATTATAGCTCAAGTCAAGCTGCTCTAAATTTGGCATATGAAACAAAGATAGTGGCAGTGAGTCTTTGAGGAAATTGTGGGAAAGATTGAGAGTTTTAAGCTGATCCAAAGCAGCTAAGGAATCAGATAATATGCCTGATAATCTTTTCTTCGGAAGTTCCAACTTGATTACTCTACCATATGATGGAGGATCACAGGTTATGCCTTCCCAGTCACAACAATCAGTTGATGAATTTGTGGTCCAGCCTTCAAGATTTGTTGTCAAATTGCCCATGAAATCCTGGAGTGCAGTCAAGTCCATTGGATTGCATGTCAGGTTTTGAGAGTTGAGTAACTGAACTTTCAACAACAACCCAAGAATAACAACCATAACACAACAACCTCGAGCACCCATAATAACAAAAGCAACAACCAAGAAAACCCAATATGGAGGGGAAAAAAAAGTGGAGACTTTATATATTGAGGATGAAAAACAAGCAAAAAACAAGATTTTGGACGTTGGTTTTCATTGTTTGAACCATTGTGTGCTTCGGGTAAAGTATCAAAGCTCAAAACTAAAAGGAGGGTTTTCTTTAGAGAAGAGAAGAAGTGAAGAGGAAGGGAGAGAAACAGAAAGAAAGAGAGCCAAATGACGGCTTTTGACTTCAACACGGATACGAAGGGTGTCAAATGAATGAATGAGAGGCTCTTTGCCCTTTGCCGTTTGCTTCCCTTCCCTTCTATATTTCTTCGAATTGTTTGACTTTGCCTATCAAAATGGAGAGTTGAAAGATTATATATATATAATATATACATGGAGAGAGATGGAGAGAGAAGGGTTTCTTTTGCCCCAATAAAGCTGTTGGCATATTACAGTGGAAAGCAGAATGGAGACGGGCAACATCTATTGGTTTCGAGGCTAACGGTCCTTGTTTAAATACGAGTAAAGAAATATATATAGATAAACATTTGACTGTAGAGTTGCTTAAATTAATCATGCTATAATAATACAATAAATTTTAAATTTTAATTCAATCTATTCATATAATATTTAATAAATTTAAATTTTAAATTCTATTATTTGTAAATTTTTTATTTTAAAATTATGAATTTTTTTATAAAAAAAAAGTCTACAATAATATTGCATGGCATGCTTCTTCTTTATTAATAAAAAATAATTAGGGATAATATTAATCATTTAGTAAAATTATATTTTTTATTGATTTTTTCTACAAAATTTATGGTAATAAAAAAAATAATGATAAGGTGATAATGACTAATTCAAAATATTATTCTTGGGGTCCTTGTTAAAAAATTTAGAAGCAAAATCACTAAATTATTATATTTATTTATTTTCCTCAATTTTCAATATTAGAGAAATAGTCAAATGTCTTTCAATAAAAAAAAAGGAAAAATAAATAGTCAAATATTGCCTAATTAAACTCTACCAATTAATGTACTGTTCAAAAAAATTACTAATAATGTTTGTCAAAAGAAAAAAACCGCTACGAATTAATTAACAAGAAATATTCAAATAATAAATAAAAACAACGGTCAAATACAAAAGAACAAGCCGACCGCTGATCATGAATACGAAGTCCTGTGTTTATTAGATATAATGATTTGAGTAGTTATATCATATAAAATATTAAAATTTATGTATTTATATTTTATTTTATATAAAAATTATATATTATAATTCATATTAATATAAAAATATAATTTTATTTTGATAAATATATATAATTATTATTATAATTTTAAATCATATTATTTTTATATTTTATTTTTATATTATATTCGTATCATATTATTATATCATATTTTAAATTATTAAATTTAATATTTAATTTTAGATATTCAAAGCATTAGTCTCCTTCTTTTATTATTATTATTATTATTATTAAAAATAGCCAAAAATTTATTGGATCATGGATTGCTTACTTCCAAATGTAATTTGAGAAGCAAACGGACGGAGAAGCACTTTATTTTAAAAATTAAATTTAAATTTAAATTCGAAACTTTTTAATTTTAAAATTGACTCTCATCCAATGCTACTCAACTAACACAGCTCATTAATACAACTTATTGGCCATTAATCTTTTCAGAAAAAAAAATATATATATATATATATATATAAAGAGAGAGATTTTGAATTCGCTTTAAATTTATGTATGATTAAGTCTAATAATCTTTTATCCAATTATTATTTGTTTAATTGTGGTTTTTAATTTGATTGTTATTTTTTATATTTTATTAATTTATCAGTTAATTATTTTAAATAAAAAGCTTAGTTTTTATCCAATTTTTTTCTTTTATAATTGTGTTTGTAAACTATAAATGAGTAATTAAGAACCTTAAACATGCATGTAAATGAAGTGGAGCTCTAGAAATTGTCATAATTATGAAACATAGTGTTATTTATATATATATATAATTTTATACTTTTAAATCAATATTGCATCCGAATATTTAATTTAATGATTTTTTAAATAAAAATAATATTTAATTTACATCAAATTTGTTATATTTTATTTATTTTTGACAAATAAAGGGAAAGAGATTTTCAAACTCTTGGCCACGAAACCGTCGTAAGGAGGGAAGCCACCCACATTGTCTCAATTTCAGGTAGGTTTTTTTCTTTTTTTGGGTTAACACTTCGTAAATTAATTAAAAATATAAAACTACATAAAATTAAAAAAAAAACCTTAATTAATTTTTTTAAGGAAAAAAAAAAAGAAACTTTTTAACATAATACGTAATTTCATTTCTATTTTAAATTGCAACTTGTTTGCAACTGAGCAATTTTAGAGAATTACAAATAGATATTTGAATTGTATTTTTTAATAAATTAAATGTTATTGACTTTTTTAAGCATAACGCGTAAGCATAATTATCAAGTAATAAACTTAAAAAATGTATAAAAAATTGACTTTATTAAGTATCATAAATATAAATATAACTATTACGTAATAAATTTTAAAAAATATATAAAACAAAGAACATATGTATAATAAAATCTGATTTTTAATATTATTTTAGGTATTTAATTTAAAATTATATAATAATAAGTGTAGAGTCGAATTTGAATATAAAATCTCAAAAAACCTAAAATAGAAACGGATGTAAAATTCTAACATTTTAACATACTTCATCTTATTTAAGTTCCTTTTATATATAGTTCTTTCATTAATCCTTTAAGATTTCAGTACTTATATTTTAGGTAACTATAGTTTTTTTTTTTTTTTTATTTGCAACCTCTGCTTAAAAAATGAAAGATATTGTTACCAAGCCATGGTTGACCAGATTTTAAAGATGAAATTGTTGACTTTTTAAAATTTGTTATTATATATATATATATGTATATATATATTCTCATGTTGGAGTTAGAATATTGATTTGGTCACGGTGTCTTTTGAAATTAATTGCATGACGCATACAATATATTTGATTGACTTTTATATAAGCACTCATTTTATTCGTTTATAAAATAATTTTAATCTTATTTTTTAATCGTATAGTTTTGAAAAAATAAAAGAATTAAAATTGTGTTTCTTTAATAATAATAATACATTTAGTTTATAGACATCGTTAAAAAAAATTAAGACTCTACTTATATAGGTGTGGTGAGATTAATTGTGATAAAATAAAAATAATTATTATTATTATTATTGTAATTGTGATTAAAAAAAATCATTGTAATTACGATTAAAAAAATTTATATTGAATGAATTTCATTGAAATTAATAGTTAACTTCAATTGGTGATAGAAAATATGATGAAATTTAAATGGGTACTAAGTTGACGTTGACAATTGAAATTTAAATTTAAATTTGCTTAATATCTAATTTAAAGTCAACCATGTATGTAACATGGTTAGAGATACACATATGTATCACTATTTTTTAAGAGTTCTAAATTTTTAATATGATTAAAAAAAAAAAGGTAATTGCTTTTAGCCCAAGTTATTCATGCATGGGGACGGCGTTATCATTTGCTCAACATTATTACTTCCCCACCGTCCTTCTTAAAATAAATAGATATTGTAATAATAATAATAATATAATTCCATTTTGCGACACCCATTTGCTTTAATTAAAGAAACTAATATTAAAGAAAAAATAATCTCACATTTAATAATTAAATATTGAAATGTAAATTTATTAGGGTAGGTCTGCATAATTTTGGAGCAGACAGTATATTTACAAGAGATGCAGTTCAATAATTTTTTGAATAACAATGTTGATCCGTTGCATCAACAAATTTTAAAAAAAAAATGAAAATCAAACTCTTTGAATGATATAAGCTGAAGTTTTTTAAGGAAATTATGAATGGAAAATTTTTCTTTTAACCAACTGTTTGGTTTTGTTGAAAAAATATTGATGACGAATGTAATTTATTAGTCTGAATGAAGAAAATTCAACAAAAAAGAAGAAAAAAAAATTGGAGCAATGCCATGAAGAAATTTCTGGGAAGCAAGCTGAAGGTGACAGATTGTGAGCCAACGTTCGTTTTGCTTTTACAGACACAATAAGCTGGTCAAGTTTAGATTCTTCCCAACGTTGGTTCTTTGGCATATAAAAGCTAAAATGCCATACTTTTAACCAATAAGATTTTTTTTTGTTTTAAAGAAAAAATTAAAATGTATCAAACGTTCAACATATTTGAATAATATTTCATTTTCATTCACGATTTTAAAACTCAAAATTTAAATCACGATCTTTTAATTCATCTCTTATCGGATGAAATTAATATTAGACGTTGAAGATTCATATTTTATGTGATTGGTTTATAATTATTTCATCTTTTTTATATTTTTCTTTCTTCTTTCATTCCTCCTTTTGTTATTTTCTTTTTTCTTTCCACTTCATATTTAGAAAATAAATTAATTCATCTTTTTTTTTTATTAAATCCTTCCAAAAATCCCATTATTTTTGCTTCAATAGCATAGAATGGGGAACTGCATTAAGCTATATTTGTACATATATATTGTGTATGTAAAAGAATGGTAGGCTTCCTTTCCAACTTTTCTCACCAAGGATGGAGAAGAACACATTATCCACCAAGTCTAATAAACATAAAGGAAAGGCTGAAAATGTGGTTACATTTAGGCTGCACAAATTAAAGGTGACCACCATTTGATTTTTTTATATATAAAAGGCAACCCAACTTTGATTTATTTTAACTTTTCTGGTACTAATATTATTTTATAAATGATTGTAAAGCTCCAAAATGAAGGTTTCTTTCAACTTTCAACCATCCACAATCCAACCTTAAAAAAAAAAAAGAATTGAAGAAGATTTGCCTCCACTCAAATTGGCACCCCAATATCATCATTAACCATTATCTTGATTACACACAAAAAAAAAAAAAAGGAGCATTAGCCAGTAACCTCTCCCATTCCTCATTTTTTATTCAAGGAGACTTTTTTTTTTTACTGTTATTTTGCAATTATGAACAACTCCTATGAATAAATGTTGGGTGACATGCATTATTATGCAAGATATTGATAGAAATAATGACTAACTGAAGCCACTTATGGTGCTAAATTAAATTTAAATTATGCCAAGGTCAACTCCATCTAAGATATATATATATATATATATCTGCCAGGATTAAACTAGGGTAGGGCAATCCATGGAATTATTTTTGAATAATAAAACAATAGTTTGCCATGTCATCTATTAATATAACAACGAACTCTTAATTAATTTCAATGATCGAAATTCAATCCTGATATCTTACAAAAAAAAAAGAAAAAGAAAAAACAATACATTGCAAAGAAAAGAAGCTTGAAGATTATGTGGAAGTGAAACTAAGGGATGGTAACCGAAGTTTAAATTTTCATAGCTATTTTTGGTCAAATTGATCTATGGCATGATATTTGGCATGTAGACCTTGAAACAGAGAAATTTTATCTATGGAAAAAGAGTATAAGATAGTGAAAAATATGATTTTAAGTTATCATATTAGGCTGTTCCATTCAATTAATAGAATTAAAAGAAAAATAGTAGTTCCAAGATGGTAGAATGGAACAAAACCAGCCAATCAAGACATATTTTTACATGAGCAAAGCTGTTTAAATTAACTACAAATAATTATATATAGTAGACCATGTGGGATAAAACGAGGAGAGATTTGAGGAAATTTCCAAGAAAAAAATCACTTCTTTAAATGGATTTTAAGGTGTTCAAATTTCTTTTAAAATTTTTTCTAAATTTGGAAACTCTCCATTTTTTTCCAAACAAAATGATTGAATTTTATACTCTTTAATATGTAAATCGAAAGAGTTAATATTTCAAATAATCTTATGAAATATTTAATATAACACTTCAATTTTAAAAATTTCTAATGTAATATTTGAATTATAAATTTATTAATTAATAAGTTACTCATTTTTAATGTGGTCAACTCTAAATAACAATACATGTGACAAATAAACAACTTTTTAAATATTATATTAATTAATAAAATTATAATTTAAATATTATATTAGATATTTTTAATTATTCTATCCTACACCAAAGATGTTCTAGTTTTGGGCTAACCAATACATTATCTATATTTGTAGGTTAGGTTTAAACTAGTAATCCGTAGATAATCTGCCTCATTTTTGGCTTTCAATTGTAACTTTGATTATGTTTTTTTTTTTTTTTTTTGAGTGAGATGGGCCTATTAAGCACCAATTTCATAAATGGACCTTAAATTTTTGGGCTCTTCCCCTTTTTGCTGTTGCTTTTCAAAATGAAGAAGATTTTTCCTTCATAAATCATTGGTAATGCCCTTACTTTAAATAATAGACATCCCATGAACTTGATTTATTCATAGATAGTGTTGCATTTTCATTAATCAGATGATTTCATTCATATTTAACAAATTTTATATCACCTTCTAGCTTTTTAACCAATTAACTAAATATTTTAAAAACTTTTTGTTCAATAAATTTTCGTATCAATCATTATTTTCAATCAAAGATTGCAAACAAAGATGAGATTAATTTGATTAAGGAAGTAAAACTTAGTAACATAATTTTTTCTTCAATAATATGATAGTACTTGTTTTCACCAATGGTTATAGTAGTTTCAATGATCAAAATTTTTTTAAAGAAATTTAATGAAAATAAAAGGTGATTTTGATTTTAATAAAATTAATTTATTAATAAAATATTATACTCTTCATTTCATTAATTAAAATTTAATTTTTATAATCTTAAAAATATAAAAAAAAAAAGTTGATAAATGAAAATTCCCGAATTCCAAAAAAAATTGATAGCTTGGTTTGATATTGAATTGAATATTAATTTTGAATATTAGATTAGATTGAATAAAAGTGAAGAGATTTTTAAACGCAAAGCTAATGCTGCCATTACACGTATTCCAGGATTTAGTTAAAGTCTCACACGCCCTTTGTTGATATGTAACTAGCCCGAAACAAGAGCAGCCACTTGCCCCGTCTTTCACTGCTTGGTCTGTTGACGTCAGAACCATTTCCTACGCATATATGCTTGTGTCCGCTGCTCGAGAAAAAAAAAATTCTTCTTTATTGTATAAAAATTAGTAAAAATTTTTATTATTTTATTCAAAAGTGTTGAACGTACTTTTAATTAAATTTATTATTAAAAATTAATAATTTTAAATTAAATATTAAGTAAATAAAAATATTTTAAATTTATTTCAATCATAAATTTAATTAAAAATACATTTAAACATTTAAATAAAATAGTTAAAACTTTCTTTCCTAAAGGCGTAAACGGTAAACGTACTTCTAATTAAATTTATAATTAAAATTGTTGTATAAATTAATAATAATTTAATTTAATTTAATTTAACTGAATTCAAAAAATAAACTTGGCAGTAATCAATATGCTTGACTCGAATCTAATTTTAAATTCTTTATATAAATTATTAATAATTTAATTAAATTAAACCCAACTCGAAAAACAAACATGGCAATAATCAATATGCTTGACTGGATGAAGCACGATCCCCCAATATTCTTCTTTTTGTATAACAGAAAATGAAGAAAGAACAGTTGGCTTATTTCTACAAAATCTTTGACGTGGGGACTTTGTGTATTATTAAAACATTGATAATGTAATTTGCGGGCAGGCAAGGGATTTGCCAATGCCAAATATTATGATCACCATTAAAATATTAACTTAACAGGAAAAATAATATTTATATATAAAATAAGCATGAAAAAGGCGTATAATGTGTTGGACGGCTTCGATTTGATCAATGACACTTTCATGGGTGTTGGATCATACAAGAAAATAAAAAGACCTTTTCCCCAATATCATATCTAAGCAAAGCGAATAGACTTTTCTAAACCCTTTGACTAAGCCTAAGTCATTAACCCCTATATTAAAGTTTATTAAATAAATTTAAAATTTAAAATTTAATCTAATCCATTTATATAATCACAAAATCGTGATATTTAATAAATTTAAAATTTTAATTCTAATTGTTAGGGATATTTTTAAGTTCAAAAGGTCAAATAAATTTTTTTCTCCCCATATAAATCAATTAATAATCAAAGTTATTTTGTTATTTTGATCAAATTGAAGTGTTAAATTAACTTAAATCTACGTATATATGTCAACTCAAATCTCACATCTCAGATGACTTATCATGTCTTGAGTAAACAATTAATTACTAGCACAATTTGGATTTTCTTGGTCAATTTTAGGCCCTTAAAGCTAATCTTAAGTAGTTTAAGGTATAATCGATCGAGTTTGAGTCAATATAATATTAAGTTGAGCTCAAACTAGACTCTATATTCAAGGTTCGAAACTTAATTTGAATTTGATCGAATTTTATTTTTTTAACTCGAATTCGATTCGAGATAAAAATCAAGCTACTCAAGCTCGTTCGATTATTTGTGTTCAAGTTCAAACTTAAATTCGAGATATTTTATTAATTAAAATATATTAAAATATAAAAACTCAATTAAGTTCGTAAACAACTTGAGCCTAATATAAGGATACTAAAACTCGACTCGATTAATAAGTAAAATTAATCAAGTTCAAGCTCGACTCGATAATAACTGAATTGAATTTAAATTTTATTCGAATTGAACTTGAATAACTTATAAATACTAATATATCATTTACACAATTAACCTAGGTCGTCCAAAACTCCTATTTCATAAATATAAATAATATCACTAAGTTATGTTTCATTTATTTTACCTTTCATTGCTTTCATATTATCTTCTTTTTAATTCCTTTAAATCGACATACAAATATTAGAATCACTCTCAATTTTTATTGATAATCATTATTTTTCTCTCTCTTATTATTTCAATAGTTTACCCCTTAAAAATAATTCGACATAAACACTAACATTTGTGGTTATTTTTCTATGCCGATTATGATTTTCTTTTAAAAAATCCACCAAACAAAACTATTTCCCAAAATTTTCCTCCTTAAAAGACGCCAAAATTGAGACTCAAAATCTATTTCTTCCTTAAAGGGTCGGTGAGTCTCAACTCAAAGCTCGTGTCAATTGCCACCATTGTTTTTTGGTAAGTGGCACTAACCAAAAAAAGGGAGACTCTGTCTTCACGTCTTTTTGACCTCCTCCAAACCCTTTTTTTTTTTTGTTCTTATTTAGTTTCTTTCCATTGTATCTATATTTCCCCTCCATATATCTTTCCGTTTTCATCGCTCTTTCTTATTTATATCTTCGTCTCTTTATATATATATTTTTCCATTTTAGAAATGAATCAAATAGAAATGGACCCAGAGCAGTTCAAAGTCGATGATGATCTGGAGAATATTCCCAACGGTGGCGGAAAAGTGAACGGAACCGCCGTGTTGGATGATCAAGATGGAGGAGAATTCGCTGATATCGAGATGGAGAAAAGTGAAGATAAGGAGGAGCAGCTCCAGGAGAAGAAAGATTCTAATTCTGATTCGACTTCAAATACCCCTGAAGGAAGCAAAAACCTTGCCTCCTACGCTAAGGAGGTTAATCCTCACCATAATCATTACATACCAGCCATCAAGGCCCAAGTTCATCTCCCAAAACCCGAGCCACCACCGCCAAAAGTGGAACGTTCACAATCCTTGTCCATGGCCGAAAGTATGCCTTCCATAGGGAAATACATAAGAGACCGAAGCAGCACTTTATCAGCAGCAATCATGAAGCGTTTATCGTCTTTAAAAGAAAATAACGAAGATTTCGTCGTGAAAAACGATTCGTTAAACTTCGAGGTAACAGAGTTCAAAATCCCTGGGGTCAAAGTTATAGTGAAGCTGAAAAATGAAGACGAAATACAAGATTTGAAGGGTCGGATAACGTTTTTTACTCGGTCGAACTGTCGCGACTGCACCGCTGTTCGTAAATTCTTCAGAGAAAAAGGGCTTAGATACGTTGAAAAAAACATCGACGTGTTCCCCAAGAGGGCAAAGGAGTTGATCGAAAGAACAGGGTGTTCAGAAGTGCCTCAGATATTTTTTAACGAGAAGTTGTTGGGTGGGTTGGTAACGTTGAATTCGTTGAGAAATAGTGGGGAGTTGGATAAGAAAATGAAGGAATTGTTGGGTCAGAAATGTCCTGAAGAAGCGCCTGATATACCAGTTTATGGATTTGATGACGAGGAGGATGAAGAAGAAGATGAGTTGCTGGGGATTGTGAAGGTTCTGAGACAGAGCTTGCCTATTCAGGACCGTTTGATTAAGATGAAGCTTGTCAAGAAGTGCTTTGCTGGTGTTGATATGGTTGAAGCCATCATTCACCACCTTGACTGTAGCAGAAGAAAGGTAATTTCTTTTATCTTCCCCGTCTTTATTCTTTTTTTTTCAATTTTGGTTGCTTATTTATTAGTCATCTTTTCCGTTTAACTTACGGCAAAATGAAGAATCCAAATATGAATATAATCGAAAGACATTTATAATTGTCATCCCTCAGGTGAGTTGGTAAAAATCGAATATAAGTATGGGTGTTCATAATTTAATTTTAATTAAATTAATTAATTGAATCAATTTAATTTAATTAATCGATCGATCATCGAATTAAATTCGATCAATTATCAAAAATGATTTTTAAAAAATCTTGATTTTTAATTAATTTGATTTGAAAATTGAATTAATCAAAATTTTAAAGGGAAATGTAATAAAATTTTTATATATAATTAAAAATATATGAAATTACTAATTTTATTTCAAATTATTAAAAGTTTTTAACTTAATATTTTAATATTTGAATATTTTTATTAAATGATTTTATTTAATTTGTTTTAAATATAAAAAACTAGAAATTTAAATATAACTTAACTTAATATATTTTATTATTAAGCTAATCAAAAAAATTAACTTAACCGGTTAAATTAAGAAATTTGATCGATTCAAAATTAAAAAATTTGATTTGATAAATAAAAATAAAATAACATAATTTAATTAATTCAATTTTGAATAATTAAATTCAAAATTAATTAAACCATAGAATGAACATTCCTAAATATAAGTGTTACTAATAGTTTTTATAAATAATTTATAAATTTAATATAGATTTTCATTAATACTTAAGATGTGTCTTTTTCTTCTCAAAGTCCAAAGACACTAATGATGAGCTGCACTAATAACACCACTTAACCACCACGTTCATCCAATCCAATTATATTTATATTTATATTTATATTATTTATTAAAGAACATTTATATTGTTACTAATTGAAATTGAAATGATGATTATTTTTTATTAACATTACATATTAAGCACTAATAATTGAGGATTAGCGACAACCCTTATGTTATAGTTATCGGCTTAAATATTTCATAAAGTTACGTTACAGTTACCATGCGTGCAGACAAGGAATATGCGAAAGCATAATGATTTAGTACTTTTTGCGACGGTTATGTCGTATTGTCGTTGAATTGATGCCGTTTTAGGTTGTCTACGTTACCCAATTTTGTTTGATATTTGTTCCCGAAGATCTATCAATCCAATCAATCTCCCAAAAAAAAAAAATCTATGAAAAAAAAAGTGTTGATTTTACTTCTGGTATTTATTTGAACGAATTAGAAAGTGAACTTTTTTAAAAAAATTAGATAAAATTTTTTATTAAAATTAAAAATCTTAACCAATAAATAATTATTATTTTTCAATATATCTTTATGTATTGAAATTTCACGTAGGATTTCATGTTTATTAAAATAGTTATAATTTATTTTGTCGCTGCAAAAAAAATTAAATTTACTTATTATTATTATTATATATTTTTTATCTTTCAAAAATTATAGGGCATTGAAACTCAAAAGCGGCTGGCCCAGAAGCATTTCATCCACCATGTCTTTGGGTATGAAAATTCTCTTCTAGATAAGTTCTAATTGCAACATACTTTTCAAAAATATATATAATTTTTTTAATTGTTTAATTGCCATTTTTGGTGTAGGGAAAATGATTTTGAAGAAGGAAAACATTTCTATCGTTTCCTTGAGCATGAGCCATTTATTATCGGATGCGTCAACTTTCGAAATTCAACAAATGATAGTGAGCCCAAATCTGCATCTTTTCTAGCTGATAGGCTTACCAAGTTAATGTCTGCCATACTGGAAGCACATGCATCTGATGACAGGTGCCATGTTAACTATTATGCCATCAGCAAAAGTGAAGAATTCCGCAGGTATTTTTGGTTCTTTTCCTGTTTAATTAGATTATTTGGCAGATTTCATTCACAATACCTAATTAATTCTCCTCAGACTATTAGAGAAAATTAGATTTAGGTTCCCTTTTGGAGTATGGTGGGAGCATTTCAAGGTATGAAAAAATACGTTTTATGATTGAATTTTCGATGCGATGAAAATCCTCTCATCAGACTAGCAAATGGAGCTTTAAAGTACATTTGGGAGTTCAATGGCACTGGTGGCGTTAAACGATGATGGACCCTTTCAAATGCCAGCCTTAAAGACCGTTTGCAAGGGCGGCCAACGTGCTCAATTTTTTTTTTCTTTTACTGTTGATTTGCAGGTACTTAAATTTGGCACGAGATCTCCAAAGGATCAATCTTCAATTGCTTACTCCAGAAGAGAGGCTAGCCTTCTTCTTAAACTTATACAATGCCATGGTCATCCATGCTGTAATTAACATCGGACATCCTGAAGGAATACTTGATAGGAGAGCATTTTTCTGTGATTTCCAATATGTAATTGGAGGGTACCCTTACTCCCTCAGCAACATTGAGAATGGGATCCTCAGAAACAATCGAAAGTCCCCTTATTCCTTGATCAGGCCCTTTAGCAATGGAGACAGGCGCTTACAGGTAACCCAACTTCATCAATTTCTTTGGTTTACTAACTCACTGTTCACTGCAATAAATCATGCATGCTTGACATTTTTTTTGAAATTGACAGCACGCTCCTTCTAAAGTTAATCCATTGATCCATTTTGGACTATGCAATGGAACAAGGTCAAGCCCCAAAGTGAGATTTTTCACTGCTCAGGGTGTTCAAGGTGAGTTAAGATGTGCTGCAAGGGAGTACTTCCAGAGTGGAGGAATAGAGATTAATTTGGACAAGAGAACAGTTTATTTAACTCGGATCATCAAGTGGTAAGTTTTCAATATTATCAATTTATACGTTTATTAACTATTTCTTACATCAAAATTAAAAGAAAAAAATGTTAAAAATGTTAACAGTTAACTGATCGAATTGAACTCAAAGCTAAGTTAAGTAAGTTCATGTAATTAATTTTATAAAATAACATTTAACAAGTATGAAGTTCAAATTCGATTATCTACAACCTTTTTTGTTATCTTCAAATTACGACATCTTTTGCAGAAAAAACTAATCGAATGTAACGTGTTACACTTTCACTTTACAGGTTCAGCGAAGATTTTGGACAAGAAAAAGATGTTCTCAAGTGGGTCATGAGTTTCTTGGATGCAACTAGGTCGGGGCTTTTGACACACCTCTTAGCTGATGGAGGCCCTACTAAAATTGTTTACCAGAACTATGATTGGTTTGGTAATTTGTAACCACTCAACTTTTCAGATCCTTGGGTGTTTAGATAGAAATTTTGGGATGAAATTACAGAAGGAAATGATGAGTTTCATTCATATTGATACAAACATTAGAGGAAGCTGCAATTGGCAGGGAGATTTATTGTATCTAATACCTCAAGTTCAAAGAGGGTCTGGTCTCCACCCTTCAGCAAAGGTATCAAAGATAGGAATTACTTGCATATACACATTTTAAAATCTTGTTTCTTTTTAGTGTGAATTCCAGCTATCATTAAAAGTTGATTTGTACTGGAAGAAAAAATAAAAAAGCATACTTGTTGTATTGTTTAAACTATGTTGTCCTTTTTTTTTTCACCTTTTGGTGAATATGTAACATATGAAAGTTGAAATTTTTAAAATGAAAGAATATGATCTGTCAACCATTATCAGTCTATCATGTACATAGGCACCATCACCAATTCACCCTAATTAACCTATAGAGGTTAAACGCGCATAGTTTCTTTTTTTTTTTTTTCAAACAAAATCAGGTTGTAATGTGAAAATTGAAAAAAAAAAAAAAAGCCCAAGGCCATGGAGAATGGCACAAGCATTTGCTCCCTTATTACTCTTTCGATCAGTTTGTATATGAAACCGATAAAGTTTCTTCTATCAAACGAATCAAGGTAACTGCTTTTTTTCACTTTCAACACTTAAAATTTGAGTGTTTAATGAAATGTTACTCAATCACAGAAGAGCAGTGTGGTCTCGTGGAAGCTAATAGGTTGAAAGCACTAGAAATATCAGCAGCTCGAGCGAGCTCGTTTTAATTCAGCTTGACTGTCAACTCTCAACTCTAAATTCGTACATAGACAAAAAAAAATGGTAATCTCGTCTTCTAAATTCGTTCAAATTTATTTATATCACCCGAACATTGGCAAAAGTCTAAAACCAGAACGGTCGACTATCACAACGGCCGATTCCCATGCAGCACAAAGCTGGCAAGTTTTTTGCCTTCAGCAACATCTCTTGCATTTCTTTACCTCTTAACTCTCCTAGCTGTTGCTTCACCAGCCTCCTTATCTCCTTGCACCGCCATTGCACCTCAATTTGCTCTAGTTCACCACAGCATAATCGGAGTCCTTGGCGGCAGCTAGCATCCCTGATCATTATATTGGTCACCATCAGAACCCTCCGGCTGGCCTTGGCCAAGAACTTCTCGCAATCCTTGAGACCTTTGTCTTTTGTTTGTTCGGACTGCCTAGAGTTTTCATCAGAGATCCCATGGGAGCTGGCGCTGGCAGAGATGGAAGCTACAACAACAACGATAGAAGGGTAATCACCAAGGAAGTGAAAGCTGCTAAGAGTGTGAGTTTCTCCATTGGTTGTGATTTTTGGACAGTGAAACCATATTGGTGAGTGTTGCTTTTACTTACAGGGAGACGATAACGTATTATTATTATATTATAGTAGGGGTTAATTTGCATGAAAATGGTACGTAGAGCTTCTTCAAGCAGTAGATGGTGACCGCTACTTTTGGCTGATTTACGTGAAGTATTTTAGATAAAGTTTGTAAATTTTATTTTTAAAAATAATTTAATAAAAAATTCAAATCAGATAAAATTTAATGCGAAAGTTAATAATATGTAAAAAAATTTAAAATATTATTTAAAATTTAAATTTAATCGATACTTATTTAATCATAAAAGTTTTATCAATATTTTTATTAAAAATATATATATAAATTTATTTTTATTTTTTTTTTAAATTTACACTCTTAATCTATATAACAAAAACTTTTAATTTATCAATTTTAGTTTTTAATTTTAATTTTAATTTAATTATTTTTAATTAAAAATTTTACGAATTTTACCTAAAATATTTCATCTAAACCTTTTCCGAGGTGACGTGGGGAATTGTTCCGTCATGGTCTTCAGTTTTGGTTCCACGCAGTATAAGCGCCCTGTCTCGCATCCTGGTGTGATTAATTAAATAATAGTTTAATTTGTTCATACAATATTAATTTTTAAAAAATAATAATTAATAATTTTAAATTTTAAAGCTTATAATTTATTTATTTATTTTTAAATTATTACTTTCGTTTAATAAAAATTTATTTTATATATAAATAAAATGTTAAAACAATTATTTTATAGGTTTATTCGGAATAATAAATATTTCACTTTAATATTTTTCATTTAGGATGCTCAATTTAATAGAGTTCCTTCTATAAATACTTGACAAAAAGCATCTTGTTTCCTATGAAAAAAACAAAGCAAAAGGCATCACGAGCTATCTAAATTTAATGTAACATAAAGATAGCCCACCACTAAAAATAATTTGTTTTTGTTTCTCTACATTTTATAATTCTTTATTTTTCTAATTTAATACTTTAAAAAGCACTTATTATTTTCAATGTGTTTAGGAGTACCCTTCTCAAGCATTACCAACTTCCTATTTTACAAATATTTTATAACCTTTTGGCATCAAGAATTATTTCATATCGATTTTATAAAGAATTATAATATAAAAACTTCAAAACTAATTTTTTTTTAATAAAACTATAATGAAATTTTAATTTTTTTTATGAAATTACATGTATGGAATGAAGACCCATGTTTGTGTTTTTATTTTTTTAGTACATAAAAATTGCAACATGAGATAAAGAAAAGAATTGTGGCATTGAAATTTAAATATTAAATATATGCTAAATGTTATTTTTTAAAAATAATTATATAAATTAATTAAATTAAAAATTAAATTTATTATCATATTTTTATTATATATATGTAGCATGCCAAAATTTTTAGATCAATTCATATAATATTAAAATTAATGTTAGAAGATTAAGAATTTAAAATAATTACATGTTATGTCATTTTTAATCATATGAATAAAATAAATTAGAGGTTTAAGGCTAGGTTAAAAGTTTTACACACGTAGCAATTTTTTTTTTTTTTTTGAGAGGACGGAGTCCTACAACAAAGAAAGAAAAGGGAGGGATTGAGATTGAATCTCAGCCTTATGTCTTATTAAGGCTTGTGGCCAAGCAGCTGAAGACACACACGTAGCATTATTATTTCCTTGACAATGTCAACCAAATTTGCCTTTTGTCTTGGCGAATCAAGGAACTAAGGGAAAGCTCCGACCCCTGCAGCTAGATTTCCGGCAAGTTACTCGGGATTGTCGTGTGTCCCAAAACGACCGTCCTCCAAAAACTAATGAAATTTCCGAATCTTGACTCCAAATCAATGTGACAGCTGGACACACATCCCCCTTAACGTGAACTCAACTACAATCGAAGACACTGAACCACCTTTTTGCCACGTGTCTTCCATTTTAATATTACTGCTATCCTTTGCCTTCATTTCCTTCACCCATTTACCTCAGACTGCTCAGGAATACAGTCCTTCTCTCTTGAATTATTACATTCAATGCAGGTAGATCTATTCTTTACCATGAACTTCTTGGGTTTTAATAGCTGTTTTTGTTTTTCTTCATGATCAGCTCCAAACCCTTTTTTTTTTTTAGATTTTCCTTTTGATCTGACAAAGGAAAGGAGGGTGTTTTACTGTTTTGAATATGATCTCTGGGATTGGGTGGTTTCTTTTTTATTTTTAGTTGCTCCAATCATTTATTTAAAGATTTTCAAGTTCTGGGTTTTTGCTGGTCTTAGCAGAGTGATGCAGCTAAGGAGTGAATGAGTGAGAGAGAGAAATCCCAGCTTTTTAAGTTCAAAGCTTCAGAGTTTAATGGCTTTTGATTGACCGAATGTATCATTCAACTATCAAAAGAAAGGGAGAGCAGTATTGGATCCCATGACTCTCAAGTTCCAACACTGCTAAACGACGTTTGAGCAGCCCAAGAAGAACCAAAAAGAAATAAGGAAAAACATTTAGAAAGTTGCTTTTTTTTTTTTAAATTTATTTTTTTGTTACTGCAGTTTCAGGAATATAGAAATCATAGAAAGGAGAAAAGAAAGTAACTGAATTTTTTTTTCCTGGTCTGCAAGTTCTGAGATGAGTTCACGTGAAGATTACACTGCGTTGTCCGTGAGTGTTGCAAGTAACAAGCTCGAGAAAAGATGCCTCAGCATTTGGTGTATTTGAGAAAAGACTCCTTCACCAATGCAATGCAGCTCCTCCTCCTTCACCTTAAATGCCGTGGCTCTTTCCAGGGTTTTCAAAGTCACTTCAGTGAGTAAATAAGCTTTTCCCATTGGTGCTTATTTCAAGCTTTAGATCCTGTCTCTTTGCCCAGTCAAAAAAGGAGGGCGTTACTTGCATTGTTGAAAATGACCCAAATTGGGGCGTTTCTTCTTATACTCAATCACTCCCATGTTTTAGTTTTACAATTTCTTGTGCGTGGAAAGAATGGCAGATCTGAAGATTTGGGGTTTGGGCTGTAATTTTACTAAGAGAATGGAAAAGGAGTCAGCTTGCTGAAAGCTGGGATTTTGCTATTGTTTTGGAAAGTTGAAACGTCAAATGTCTCCCCGTACGGAAACCAATTCAATTCAATTCAATTCAATTCAAAGGGGTTGCATTAGTTAAGAATGATGGTTTGAAAGATCCCATAATTTTCTCTACCCCAAAAACAAAGAGTATTTTTGAAGATCACAGGCTCAAAAATGGAACGCCTTGTTTCAAGGTACTACGTTCTTTTCTTCTTCTTCTTCATCTTCTGCTCTCTCCTTTCTCTTGTCCCTCTTGTCAGATCAGGGGATGCAGAGGCGCTTTTAACCCTGAAATCATCCATGGATCCTTTCAACTCATTGCCCTGGCAAGGAACCAATGTCTGTGAATGGAGAGGAATCAAGGACTGTATGAATGGAAGAGTAACAAAACTTGTACTAGAGTATCTAAACTTGACTGGTACTTTAGATGAAGAAAGCTTGAATCAGTTAGATCAACTTCGGGTTTTAAGTTTCAAAGGAAACTCACTTTCAGGTAAAATACCTGACCTTTCTGGCCTAGTCAATCTCAAATCACTTTTCCTCAACGAAAATAACTTCACAGGCGAATTCCCAGAATCAGTTTCAGGTTTACATCGCTTGAAAACCATAGTTTTGTCAGGAAATCACATCTCTGGTCACATTCCACCTTCTTTACTCAAACTCAATCGCTTGTACACTCTTTACTTGCAAGACAATAACTTGAATGGTACAATCCCACCTTTGAATCAAACAAGTCTTAGATTCTTCAATGTTTCTAATAACCAACTTTTTGGTCAAATCCCTGTGACCCCAGCCCTGGTTCGGTTCAATATAGCTTCATATTCTGGTAATATTGATCTTTGCGGGGAGCAGATTGAAAACCCATGTCAAACAATCAATTTTGGGCCAGCAACGAGTCCTGCTTATCCCAATGTTCGAAGTTCAAAAGCCTCATCAAACAAACATACCAGGTTGATCAAGATTGTAGTAGGAAGTGTCGGTGGGTTTTTGCTGCTACTTGTCAGCTTGTTTTTGGTGTGTTTTGTTAGCAAAAGGACACGTGAAAAGGATAGCTCAAAGGGGGTTAAAAGCAAAGGGGTTGTTAGCGTAGAAGGGGTGGAGGAAGCGGAGGTGTTAGGCTGCGGCGGCGGCGGAGGGAGGAGGAGGAGGAGGAAGCGGTGGTATGGGAGGTAATAATAGTGGCAAACAAGGAGGGTTTTGGGAGAGTGAGGGTCTAGGGATTTTGGTGTTCTTAGAAGCAGGTGATCAGCAGATGAGTTATAGCTTGGAAGATCTGTTAAAAGCATCAGCTGAGACTTTGGGGAGAGGTACAATGGGGAGTACTTACAAAGCTGTGATGGAATCTGGATTCATCGTGACCGTTAAAAGGTTGAAAGATGCTAGATATCCAAGATCAGAGGAGTTCAAGAGACACATGTACTTGCTTGGTCGGCTCAGGCATCCTAATTTGGTCCCACTTAGAGCTTATTTCCAAGCCCAGGAGGAACGCTTGCTCGTATATGATTATTTCCCCAATGGAAGCCTCTTTTCTCTCATCCACGGTATGTCGGTGACTCACTCTCAACTCCACTCATTGCTGTTTCCTTTTTTCATTTTTCTTTTATTGGTTGAACTGTCATTGTGACCTAATGCAATGGCAAACATGATTTTAGGATAAACATGATTTAATCCATTCACTTGTAAACATTAGACAATGGCAATCTTTTATGGAGAATGGAAGAAAGTAGCTGTAAACCAATAAGTAATGAACTAGATTTGATTTGTGTCATTATAACAGGCCGAAAAGACAGAAAATTCCTATGCTAATTTTTAAAAATAATTACATGAATTTGTTAGATTAAAATTCGGATTCGATTTTTATTACTTTTGTTAGAGTCTTTAAAGTTTAAATCCTAAGTTTGTTTTTTTAGGACATAGTATGTAATAATAAATGGTTTATTTGCACTTAATTAGCCTTAATTATGATATTTTAGCAGAAAAAGAATAAGAAAAAAAACCCTTATGAAAGCATGAAGGGAGACTCGGGCTGGGACCAAAACATTAGCTTTGATTAGATGTCATGGGAATGAGGGAGCAAACTCTAGTTCTTTTCTTTTTGATCCTTCTTTTTCATCATTTCATGGTTAAGCTTAAGAAGAATTCAATTTTATTTTTAAAAAGTTGCTATAATAATTTCTTTGTTTTTCTCTACAAAAAGTTGAACTACTTGGATGAGCCTCATTGGTCCCTTTCGGAGATCTCATCCATCATAAATGATGGATGGATTCTTGGTTTCCATTAGATATTTTTTGACCCACACCAATAAAGTAGACAAAAAAACATTCTCCATCACTGTCTGAATTTGAAAAAGTGATAAATTGTATTACTGATATAATTTAAAATCCTAAACTTTAAACCTTAAAACTTTAAACCTCAGCTTCACCTCGTCACAATTATATTGTATTACTGATACAATCTACAGGTGATGCTCCTGTGGAACTGTCCTTGTAGCTAGGCGTGTTTCCAGGAAATTAAGCAGCCCATGTTTTTTGATCAGTTAAGTCTAAATTGGCTTGGAATTATTTGTTATAATAAGCTGAATCTTGAAAATGGCCCATTGCTTTATTTGACAACTCATTGTGGACTTGTTAGTCTGACCCCCCAACATGTTATTGTTGTCAGTTGCCCCCACTCTCTGAATTCTCAATTTAATTTTAGTTTTTTAGCAGTCATTTTCAATTGACATTATGATATAAATGTTTTTCTCTTCCCTTTTTTGCTGTTGGTTGTCATAATTTTGTGTAATACATTTGGTTGTCACATTATTGGTTTTCTTGTCTGAAATTCTAATTTAATCAAAGAGATTAGAATAATTAATTAAATACTAGTACAAGGTTTTGCTGTTTCTCTATGTGAGAATTTCTAGAGTTTACTGTTGATTAACACCTGTTAAACCTAAATTAAATCTCGTCTATGGGTAAATTGAAGAATTGTTTCAACATTTGATATACTGTAAATAAAATTTTTTAATTTTATAAACGGAATTACGAAACTGACACATATCTCGTTCCTTTACGTGCATAAAAGTTGTATATGCGATACTGGTTAGGGTCTGCTGACTCTCGTTCTCATGCTGCTTCTTACCATGTAACTTGACAAATATTATAAATCTAATGCAAAAATGCATTCAAAAGTTGGGGGCATTTTCACAATGTGTCTTTTTCTTCTTTGGTCAAGGCTTGCAGTTATGGCTGCAATCCTAATTGCTCATACGCTCTGCACTCATAATGTTTCAGAGCCGTTAACATTTTGGATTACCTTGCAGGAACAAGAGCTGCTGGTGGTGGAAAGCCTCTTCATTGGACGTCATGTCTGAAAATAGCCGAGGACTTGGCTACCGGACTGCTTTATATTCACCAAAATCCGGGCTTGACTCATGGGAATTTGAAATCCTCTAATGTGTTACTCGGTCCTGATTTTGAGTCTTGCCTTACAGATTATGGTCTCACTTTATTTCGAGATCCAGACTCTGTGGAAGAGCCTAGTGCTGCTACATTTTTCTATAGGGCACCTGAATGCAGGGACATCCGCAAATCATCCACCCAACCAGCCGATGTTTACAGCTTTGGTGTTCTACTCCTGGAGCTCCTAACAGGCAAAACTCCCTTCCAAGACCTTGTTCAGGAGCACGGGTCCGACATTCCTAGGTGGGTAAGATCAGTACGTGAAGAAGAGACTGAGTCTGGGGATGAGCCTAACTCAGGTAACGAGGCATCTGAGGGGAAGCTTCAGGCTCTTTTGAACATTGCAATGGCTTGTGTTGCACTTGCACCAGACGACCGTCCTGCAATGAGGGATGTTTTAAAGATGATTAGAGATGTGAGGGCAGAGGCTCAAATGTCATCTAACAGTAGTGACCATTCGCCAGGAAGATGGTCGGACACTGTTCAGAGCTTGCCTAGAGATGAACATCTAAGCATATAAGCCTGTGATGGATTTGGCAGGCATTAAATTTAAGCGTTGTAATTCTTTCCCATTGAAACTATCATATTCGTCCACTAGCCATATTGTAGAGTTGCCTCGTAAAGGTTTTACCGTTTTTCCTCTTTGCAGTTGTAGAAGCTTGAGCAACTTCGATGGTGGTAATTATTTGGTTAATGGATTTTCAGTTATATTTAAATGTGCAGAATTGAATCCACTTTGGTTTTGCTGCAGTGCAATCTCCACCTTAATAATTAGAATTCAGAAGAAATCGGATCTCTCTATCTTCAAAATTCCCTTCCTCTTTTGTTTCTTTCGTTGAAAGGAGATGGTGGTTGAGGTATCAGACACCCATTTGGGATTTTAGAAGCAATAGATCCAAACAGATCACATCAAAATATTTCTGTACCTTGAAACCTTGGAGTTGAATTCTCAAACCAACTCGATTAATGAATCCTCAGTGAAATTAACCTGATCAAGCATTCAAATTGGTTTAATACTCAACAAGAAGATAGCAAACTACAAGTAGTTATAAATCAAGCACCAAATATGGATCCACTCAAAGGTGTTGCAAGTTATAAATTATACACATCAAACTCAATGCAAAATTCAGCTGAATCTGTTGGCATTTTTTTTTTCCCAGGAGCCATGAGATAATAAGCAGTCAGTATTCTTATTATCTGGTGCTTGGGTTTGATACCTGGCGGGTAAACATCTCAGGTTCCAAAAATGGGATCTCTACAAATTTACCATTGTGGCACCCAATATGTGATGAGTACATGAGTACACAAGAGGAAGAAGAAGATCCTACCAGCTTCTTACGCATTTACAGTAGAAAATTTTTTGTAATTACACAGACCAGATATATCCAACCTCAATCTCCGACAGTTCCCTATTAGCACCTTGGCTCCTGCTTGAGGTGGATCACGCTTGGCGAGCCAAAAATCATTGACTGGATACAGAGGGTAAAAAACAAGAGACGGTAACATAAGTGAAAACAAGTATGGATCACACACAAAAATTTTAATTTCTCACGGTGGTAGAGTGGATCAATGAGTAATCATTGCTGATTTGCTCAAACATTTGCAGGCCAACTATTGCTAGTGGGGTAACTAGTTCCTGTCATTAAATCTACATTAGCAGATGGTATAACAGTATGGACCTGGAGGTGTAAAATGCAAACTGTATGAAGCAGTCAAGCAGCATGTCATAGTTTACTTTTAACAATAGCAATAATGTTTGGGAAATGTAGATTACATCAAATTGAGATAAAACTGAGGTATAGGAGGTTTGAGTGAAATCTGGGATTTGAAAGAGAGTAGAAAAATTAGTTCAAGAGAGAAAGATACAGTAAATGTGAAATAATAGAAAGAATAAGGGAAAAAAAAGCTATTAGGATGACAGATCCTCAATTGAATGGGAGCAGGGGAGTTAATATGTTCATCTGAACCAGAAAGATAACATTGGGGATGTTACAGTGCAATATAATTTAATTTGAAAGTTTTGAAGTCTAATGTGAAATGCATCCATTGGAAGGTTTGTTTCACACCTAGCCCTGGTTGAATTTAAACTCTTATATAAAATATAAGTGAACGTTCAGGTCAACCTGGAAAGGTTCCACTCTCAACTAGCATAAAATAGGCTTTGAATGAAACCTTAAGTAGATAAAGTTAATGACAGATCCTATCTGATGGTGGTTAATATGATCCCACCTTTCTGGCCATCGACCCCAGCACATGCAAACTGAATCAATTTAAATGATAACCTACCTGCATTGCACTAGGCAAGGTATTAGTTGCACCAGGCAAGATGCTATTTGCTAAATCCTCATTAACAGATACAGGCAATGCTGGCATCTGGCTCATTAAACCTGGCATCTCTCTCATGCTGCAAAAAGTCACTGTACAAATTAATAAACTGAAGCATAGGCAACCCAAGAAATAACCAAAATGCTTGCCATAGGGCATTAATCACCAATTGATAACTATAAAGGGACATCCACGTACTCATTTAGGATGGCGGTAATATTGCTCCTTGTGTGACAAAAGAGATCAATGTTATCCTGTAACTGTTGATAAAAGTTTTACTTAATAAGCCAGCCTCAGAAGACTGTTAACAAGAATCATATATGATGTGAGGCAATCACATGCAAGATTTACATGAGAACACTGAAAAGAACAACAATAAATTGAACCCATGACACCCTCCTTTGAAAGACAAGAAGTCCACTTGACAACAATAGGCCGTGCCCAGCAGTAGATGCTTAACTACATTTTATTTCTTGTCAAATAGGGTATACACCAATAGAAGTGCAGGAGCATGGAACAATGAAAGCACAACTAGAAGCATATGGGCCTGATTGTTGCTATGTTCTATAATCCTAATGATGAACCAGATTGGTTGAAATCACAAATAACTCATATGCCACCTTATGTTGGTTTGTAAATGAAGCTAAAAATTTTGGACAATGATGATAGATCCAAAATGTTTGTTTTTCCTAGTTTCATCAGTGATATATATTTTCCCAATTTCCAAACCCATTCAGGAACAAGAAAATGACATCCTGATTTGGATTGAATCCCAATGAAAAAACTCTAATGGCATCAACACTCATCAATTAAACGAATCATTATCACCTTATTTAACCTCTTGAACTTTTCAGCAAAAACTAACATAACTTGCAGATTAACCATTAAAATGTAGCACCAACAAGAAGACAAGGTATTCATCTCATCTAACACCTAATATTTACTGTATGATTGCATATTCATGATAAAAGAATTGCTGTGAACTAGGGAATTATACAGTCACCTTGTATGCAGAAAGATTGGATGTGATTTGACTTAAAGCTTGAGCATTTTGCATCAAAAGATGCATAGTTGTAGCACTTATTCCTGAAAACACACAACAAACAAGTAGATTTACATCAACCAATACCTTTAACAGCAGGCTAGTATACAAGGAATTTACATTATCCAAATCCAACTACTACCTTTAACTTCAATATAATTAATTCTTACTTTTCACAATCACCCTTTCTAACTAGATTTCGTTTCATCAAATTACGTGATTTGTTTGAGTTTTTTTAACTTTAAATGTCTAATAATCTACTTGGTTGAGATCTAGTCCCATGTTTACTGGTAGGGAAAATAATTAAAACTTTTGAGAAGATATGCTTGTAACAGTTCAAAACCATTTTATTTTGCCAGCCGTTTCAGAAGTTTACAAACCAATCTCATTATTTCAACAACAATTTGATATTTAATGTCCATCCATTCCTCATCCCTAATTCATTATTAACTGTAATCCACTTTAATCAACAACTCAAAACCCCAAAAACCTAATTTCTTAAACCCAAAACATCATTTAGAAAGATTACCCAAAAGTTTGTCTTACATTACTTGAGATAATAAAAATGGGAGATGTGGACAAATACTGATAGAAAGATATTAATTAAAAGCAATTACAACTGAAAGAAAGTTATCGATAATTCTAGGTGGTAATATAAAGTACTAACCTTTAGAAGGCATCCTTTCATTCTGGTCCAGATGGTGCATCATGTGAGTATATGCAGCCATGTTTTGCGGCAGAGCTGAAGGCATATTCATCTTTGAAGATGATCCAACCAGCTTATCCTGAAGAAGTATGATCTTTAGAATACTGGTTCTTCAATCACATTACATCCTAAAGACATTAGTTGATTCAGGAAATTAAAACAGGAATCCGGGCTATACCATTCAACTTAGCAAATTGAGATACAGAGTATTTACTTAATCCTAACTTTTTAGTCATAATTTGCAGTTTTATTTGTAATTTGACTCGAAAGAAAGAACACAATAGAGAAAAGCTGTAATTAACGCAATAGAGAAAAGCTGTAATTCTTTCAAACAAAAGGAATAAAAGCATCCGAGCCAGAGGTTAGAGAGCATCAGTGTGCTCACTGAAATTGCAAACAAGGTTGGTGTGTACATATTAAGTGTAATAAATCAGTTTGAAAATGATTTTTAGGCTTGGTATAAATGAGTGGTTGAGCAAAGCTACATTAACTTATTTAGGCTATGGCAGAACTGAAAATAAGTTTGGCATTTAAAGCATGTTTTCATGATCTGTTTCACCTTACAATGTAGTTTTAATGGTATTTTTCATACAAAATTTTGCATTCTTATTCTTGTCAAATCTAATGTCTTTGACAAATAAGATGCAACGATGCATGAAGAAGAACCATGAACAAATTCAGAAGAAAGTGAAGATTTTATACTAGCTTCTAACACAACGTGAGATTTCAAATACCAGAATTGTACACCTGCCTAGCTATGAAAAGAGAAAAGTATAGGCTAGGGACTAGGGAGGGTTAATGCTATAACATAACCACCAAGCGCAGCAGTTAGTGACCACTATGTCAAGATCAGTTGAATATCGGGGCCAGCCGTCTATGCTGTACAGTTCTGTCCATTAGAAAATGAGATGGGTTTCTCATAATGTAGCTTCACAAACTAGGGCTACATCACAGACCCACATTAAGACAATATTATTAGGGCCACGCAGCGGTACACACACACCATTCTATACCCAACAAATAAAACAAAGTCAGGTTTGCTAGCTCAGCAAGCTTATTATATCTGAACTCTATCCATTTTGTTTTTGGTTTTATGCTTATTTTGCAACTTACACGGGCCATAATTAATACTATCTGTTTTGCTTTTCAATGTTTGTCTATTTTTAAATTATGGATGTCTGAAAATATTTGCTCATCTCAAAAAGTAGGTAATACAAGTTACCAACTTCCCAAGCTACCTCTTTTTCTTTTTATTGTCAATTATACCAGATTGCAGTACTTGACATGTACTGAATGCATCTTGTTTTGAAAAGGTCAAACTTTTTAATGTGAACCAAGATTGAGGAATAGAGGAGTCTTTTTCTTCTTTGTACTTAAAAGGGCTAGCTTCTTTCTTTTTTCATTATTTTCTTAATCTTTGGGTAGCATATTTGGAGTTGCTCTCCAATATGATATATTTTTCTTCCTCTACTATGCTTTAATCTTAGACTATTACCAAAATTATTTCCTCTTTTTAATCCTATAAAAGTACTGTTCAAATATGTATCAAATATTAATCAAACTTCAACCTAATAACCAAATAACTTATCACAGGGGCAGTTCCCTGCACCATAAACAGAATCTCTATCTTAAAAATCTATATTCCTTCACCCCCAACTCCACCCTCCTTTGATTTTTCCGTGAGAAAATTTGACATATTTTACTTACATAAACATGAATACTTGAGAAAATGAAGTAAAAAAAATTCATTCCTTGCCAAATTCAAGCCTAAATTTTACTAACTTAGCCAGTAATAACGTTTTAAAAAGAGTCCTTGTGCTGTTGAACATCAATATTTTGCTCTCTAGTATGCATGTCAACATGCCTTGACTAGGGAAGTAATGGTTATTCAACATATGGACAAGCATATCCATTAATAAATCCAACATTATGACTTATTTATATGATAGTCCAATCAACTTATATTGAAAGACGAAGACATAAAAAGCAGAGTAGGACATGTATATCAAAAACCAAAAACTTCACAATGGACAAAGTGATTATTATTGTCGATACTGATGATTAAAAACCATTTTATACAAAGTAAATCTGCAAGTCTATGTGCTTCTTCTCAAGAAATTTAACTAACATGTTTAAATCATTTAAGTATTGCACAAAATTACCAGCATACCTTCCTATTGTTCACCTTTTTTCCAGCATTAAGTTCTTCAGGTTTCATTCGCTTTCTCTGCCAATTTACAAAAAATACCTTTATTTCTTAAAACAGAAGAATCTACAGATAATTTTAAATACACAAATACAACGTCTAATAAATAAAAAGGATAAAAGAACATTTTAAATACACTTGCTCCAGTCAATGTCAATGGTAACCCATGTTTCTTGACAACATAATCTCTTTAGTACAGTAGCTTTAAAGAGAGAATTAATTTTTCATCAAGTCATATATGCAAAATATCACCAAATGCATTAAGAATAAGCAAAATTAGTTAAGCAGATATATTTTGGTCCAACTCCTCTTTAGAAACTGATTATCCTGCACAAGGTTCATTAGTTGAACATTTCCACCAGCATATCAAAACTAATGATTTTGCACGCCACTTTTTCATATGCAGACAAAGAATGAGAGCATAAATCACATGATACAAGACATTAAAGCTTAGTAACAATGATGGTAGAAATGCATCAATAAAAAAGCAAGGAGCTTACTTGCATCCACCTACACCTCAATGCAACATCACGTACAGTTTTATCAGGCAAAGCAGCCGCAATCTTTATGTACTTCATAATATTTGGTTCAACTTTATTTCTATATACATGTACATTGAAAATGATAATCAGCAATTAATCTTCAGTCCAAAAACAAGATATACCTATTAAGTACCTCCTTGAAAACAGTTCTATCATAAAAAGAGCATCCAAAAACTCACAGCAACCCTAGTAACATAACTAGGGATCTATTACTTAATATTAACTACGATCAATTTGACTACAGTAAGAAACCGAATTATAACGCTTGCATATACAGTAAGAAACCGAATATGGCTCTAAAAGGCCTCTAATAAAAAAATAATAATAATAACATACTTTTCAAGGCCGTCCTCCAATAGGTATTGTTCATCTACAGACCATTCGACAGCCAGCCCTGTATCATGCTCGAGCCCTGCAACTGAATCAAGGAGGGAGGAGCCAGAAGAGTTTCCAGGTTGGATTAAGACAGGGGAGGTAGTAATAATACTGGAATTCCTAGGTTGGATTAAGGCAGGGGAGGTAGTAAAACTACTGGAATTCCCAGGGAAGATCATGGGCGGCGGTGCGAAGTAACCACTCATCGGAATCATCTCGGAACTACTGTTAATAGCAGCGGATTGGAAACATATAGCATGCCTATTCATAATATAACTTAAACTATCTTCATATTGAAACCCTGTGCTTGATTCTGTTGTCATTGCGATTTCACTTAAAACCCACTTCACTCAAAATCCACTTTATCCAAAACCCATACCAAATTTAAATGTGAAAAAATAACTTACTCCTCATCATCTTACAATGAAAACTTCAGATATTAAAAAAAAAAAAATTTGGTTCATTTCAGCTCGAAACCCTAAGTTGCATACAAGGACAAACACCAAAATAAAATGTCATATCAATCTTGAAAATTCAACCCTAAATCGAATTCCAGAAACAAAAAATCCCATCAAGCTGACTTGAATAAAAACTAAAAACAAAAAATCTCATCAAATTGACTTGAATAAAAAAGAATCTGAGACACAAAAGGCGACAAAAAAAAATAAAAAAGGTAAGGAGAGAAAATACCTTCTACAAGAAACACAAGAAGCACTAATTGGTTATACCTTTTTCTCTCCACTAAAAACTTAAAATTTGGCTTTTTTTTTTATATTTTGTTTTTGGGTGTGGGATTTTTGCTTTTGTTTATTATCTACATTTTTCTTCTTGAAAGGAAACAGGCAGCTTAGACCTCCATAAGCAACGCTGAACTTTTTTTTTTGTAAATTGGTTTTTGAAGATAAAATACACCGAAATACTTAGATAACAACAGATAGGTCAGAATAAAATTTTATTTATTTTGAATTCGATTCGATTCTATGTTTATAATATTTGAAATTAATTTGATTAGATTTTTTTAATTTTTTATATTTAAATTTGATCAAATCTGATATTAAATAAAATTGTATTTGATCTAATTCAATTTAAAATTAATAAAATATTATTTTTAATAAAAAATTTCAAATTAAATATATATAAATATAAAATTAAATCAATAATTAAAAAAATAATTATAAATATATCGAGTTTACTTAAAATTCGATATCAATTTTATTCTATAATTATCAAATTCAACGTGAAAAAAATTTGATTTAAAAAAAAAATTAACCCTAAAAAATTAAATTCAATTGAAATATGTCGAGCACGAGTTAAAGTTTCATATATACTCGTACTCAATTGCAAAACTTATTTCTAATTGAAAGATGACATATTTTATTATGCATATTGATATAAAAATAAGTATAATTTTAAATTTTTTATCGTATATATGAATAAAAATAGTAAGATATTCATTTTTATTTTTATACTCTACATATATATATTTTATATTTAGTAAATAAATTATTATTTTAAATTAATTATAAGTAATATATTTTAATTTAAAATATATATTAATATATTTATAAAAAAAAATATATAAAATTAAATTTAATTTTTTTAAATTATAAATGCGAAAATTATCATATATATATTAAATATTTATGTGATAAGAATGATAATAAATTTAAAAAATTTATTAATATAAATGCAAAAATAATGATAAAAAATATTTTATCAATCTTATATTTTATCTATTGACATTTATACGTGAAAATTAAAAAAAAATTATTTGTCCTTAATCTACATTTATAATATTTGAAATTAATTATATTCAATAATTTTTTTAATTTTTTATATCTTAAATTGACCCGATTTAATATTATATAAAATCGTATCAATTTGATTTAATTTAAAATTAATAAAATATTTTTTAATGTAAAATATTATTTTTTAATATAAATATAAATTAAATAAATATATAAATATATATAATTAAATAATTATATATATGATCGAGCAGAGTGGGTTTCCCTAAAACCTTGTTCTAATTTTATTTTATAATTAACAAACCTGACTCTAAAAGATTAAGTTCGATCAAAATCCGTCGAGCACAATTTGAATTGCCATCTTTACTCGTATTCAATTGAAAATCTAATTTTTAACTAAATGATGATGGATATTATATTATAGAGATGGATATCAAAATAATAATAATTTTAAAATTTTTATTAGATATATGAATAAAAATGAGTAATATATTCAAAATTATTTTCATACTCTACGTGTCTCGTGTGTGTGTATATATATTTAATAAATAAATTATTTATTAATAATATAAATTATTATTATTATAAATTAATTATAAGTAGTATATTTTAATTTAAAAATATATATTAATAAATTTATAAAAATTGTATTAATATGAAAAATAAAAATTTAAAAATTTTTAAGTTATAAATACGAAAATTACTCATATATATTAAATATCAATGTGATAAGAATGATAATAAATTTAAAATATTTATTAAATATAAAATAAAAAATAATGATAAAAAAATATTTTATCAATCTTATATTTTATCTATTGATATCTATGCATGAAAAATTAAAAAAAAATTATTTTCATCACTTAATTAATCATGTTAAAAAATGATTCTTTTATTTTTATATTATGTGTGAAATTAATATGAGATTTTTTCACGGTGTGAGCATGTTATATATAACCATTAATATCATTTAAATAAATTAATGGTAGAAAAATATTTAATAATTAAAATTTATGAGTAGTCGATCAAAATAAAAAGTTATTCATAATTAAATTTTAAGATGTATATTATTCAAAATTAAAAAAATAAAAATTATGTCATGCCAATGATATTAATGTCACATTTTTTATTGTGTGGACTTTTGTAATAATGTGTCATACATGATGTGCTTTATTAGTGTGTTATTAAAAATTAATAGCATAATGAAAAGAAAAACACCACCTGTACTTTTTCTCATTTTTTTTAATTTTTGTACATTATTTAAAAATATATATTTGTATATATTAATAAGTAATTGATTTAATTGATTAAGATTTGTCATATTTTATAAAAAGATTTTAAGTTTGAGTTTTGCAGTAACCTTTTAATGGAATCATTTCGAATACACGATTGATAATCACTTATTTTAAACTGTCAAATATGATATATCTTGTTTTGACCTAAAAAATTAAATAATTTATCTACTTTGAATTTTTTTCATATCAAAAAGAGAAAATTATTGTATAAAATTTTTAAGTGAAATTTAAGAAAATTTTGTATAAAAATAATTTAATAAAAATTAAATCAATAAATTAAAATTAATAAATTAATAAAATTCAATAAAAAATTTAATAATATGTAAAAAAATTATTAAAAATATCATTCATAATTCAAAGTTAATAAATATTTATTTTACAATAAAAATTTTATCAAAATTTTTATTTTTTAATTTACATATTTAATATATGTAAGAAAAATATTTAATTTATCAATTTTAATTTTAATTTTAATTCTTATCGAATTACCTTTTAATAAAAAAATTCTAAAAATTTTACTTAAAATTTTATTTTCTCTCTCTTTTCAAATTTGTTTTCTTGATGATTACCTTTCCACGAAAAAAGCAGGTACCCTTAAATTGCATGTGGTAAATATATTATTATTATTATTTTTATATAATTCATTCATGGCATGCATTATTTAAATTAAATCAAATAAAAAAAAAAACTTGACTTGATTTAAAATAATCTTAAAAAAAAAATTCAATAGATCTTTTTAGTTTTTATATTGTATGGTTCGAAATTAATTGGTCTTTCTAAACACAGGTGTAATTTTTTTTCAAAATTGTTCCTTACCTGTAATTGATTATTCATTGGCAAAGAACTCACTGACAATGCAACATTGGATGGTTCATAAATGTTACACATATAATAAGTTGCGTTATCAAAAATTGGAAATAGCCAAATAATAATAAAAAAAAAAGGATAGATAGAATTGGGACGAACTTGTTTTTATTATTTTATGGTCAAACTCTTTTGATTAAGTTTTTTTTTATATAAAAAAATATAAATTAAAAATAAATTTGATAATTTAAAATATGGCATGATAATATAATATAAAAATTATAAAAATAAAAATTATAAATATAATATTATTTAAAATTTTAATAAAAATCATAAATAAATTTAATTAAATTAAAAAATATAATATTTTATACGATACAAATACCTAAATTATTATATCTAATTAAATATAAAAAAATAAATTAAACATGCTAAAATGTGAGTTTTAAATTTATTAAATATATGAATATATAAATTAATTGAATTACTATCGAAGCCAAATGTTTTAATTATTTCAAGAGGCATATTTATTTAAATTTAAAAATATTTTTTTTATCTTAAAATTTAATTACCAACGTACAACTAGAGAAAGGAAGGTCACCGTGGGCTAGACAGCATCATAGACAGTTAGAAACTGTTGAGATGGAGGAACTCAATCTCGGCCTAAATGTGAATGTGAACAAATTCATTGCCAATTAAAAAAGAGGCCCAACATCCGTTTTTTTTTTTAACAAAAAGTTGGCTTCTAAGCCTTTTTTTTTTTTTTTTTTAATTATTTCAATCGGATCTTGAAAGTTAATTTTAGGGAGAATTCTATTAATACTCCATCGTATACTTTTCGTTTTTTTTTTTTTTGTGGGATTTATTTTTAACTAAAACTATTTAATTATATTTTTAACACTTTTTTTTTACTTTTTAAGCTTTCAGATTTATAATTCAAAAACTTTTAAAAATTTTCAAATTTGTATATCCAACAATATTTAAAATTTTCTTGATTTCCATATTAAAAATTTAAAATTTTTTGTAAATATATATATTTTCAATTGATTTTTTTTCAAATTTAAAAGTAAATTTTTTAAATTTTCAAACGTGCATATTGAATTTTTATATCCGAAAAATTATATAACTTATCAAATATATATCATAAAGTTTTAAAATTTAGATAAAAATATAATTAAATAATTTTATCTAAAACAATTTTGAAAAACAAATGTAAATATAAGAAATGAGGGTGGTGTTTATTAGAAAAACCCCCAATTTAGTCATAAAATCAACATCATTTTAGTGACGTGGCATCTTTTATAATATAAACATGACATATGATTAGCTGGTAGTCCCAAGCACAAGTCAGGTGGAGGCTCTGTTTTACTTCCTAGATAGACTGAAGCTGTGAGTAAAATCCGAATTATAGCGACGAGGACTGCGAGAACTGAGTTGGGCCATTGCAGGGGCCAAATCGCTGATAGAGTTTGAGAGCATTAATATTGTTAGTGTATTATAGATTGTCACATAATTATTAAAATTTTAAAATTTGTTAAAATAAATATTTTAAATTTTAAATATTTAATCACGTTAAAACAAAATAATGATGTAGCAATTTGTGATGCTAGATAATATATAATATGTATATATTTATAATATATCAAATATAAATCTTATAATTATTAATATCGTAAGTAATATATTTCATCAATGTTATGGTTAGATAATAAAAAATACATACTCAAATTTTAATGATTAAAATGTATATTTTTATATTTAGATGATCAAAATAAAAAATCACCCAAAGTTTTGGGTGACTATTAGTGTGGTTTATTTTAATTCTTGTCACTAAAATTTAATTTATGACAATTTTAAATTAAAAAAACTACTTTTATCATACAATTCAAAATCCTAATATATATAAATATAAAAAATTAATATATATACTTTTGTATTAAAGATTCATTTAAAGTTTTCATGATCTATTATTTTTATTTTTATTTTATATCATTAAAATTGTTGAATATATATAAATATATTATAAAACGTTGTAAAATTTGCCATAAAAATAGTTTAAAAGTCAAAGTTTTTTTTAATATACACCAAGTCAAACATGAGTTTTTTTTTGGGGGGGGGACCAAGAGTCAAACATGAGTTTTTAATTAGGAAAACTATATATTTTTTATTCATTTAAATAAGCTTTCTTTTTTTTTTTTTGCCAATCATTTAAATAGTTTAAGTTTAAATTACCAAGAGCTAGTAATAGTTTGCTACCTCGCCAAAAAATAAATAAATAAATAATTTTTTAATTTTCAAAAGGGGCAAAATCTTATAACAAAAGGGAGAGAGGGAGATTGGAGTTGAACTTTAATTTTTGTGTATTCTTAAAGTTTTCTTAATCATTAAATAAAAAAATTGAAGACATAAATAAATATTTTGTGATCATATAATATATATTTTATGTTAAAAAATAATTTTGTTAATTGATTATTTAATTAATTATATGATAAAAAAATGTTATTGATGTGTGAATTTAATTATTTAATTAAATTATAATTTTATTAATTGATTATTTAATTAATTATATGATAACAAATTTTTCTTTAAAAAATTAAAAAATCCTCACAGGTGCCAATAGTTTTTATATTTAAGAACTACCCTTATCTAATTTATTAAATTCTAAGAATCATATACTCGAATGACTAAGACATGTGATAGCTGTTTCTTCGGACGGCATCATTTTTTTTTTTTTGAAAAAAAAATCAAACATATTTTTTTAAATAATGTCTCTCTTAATCAAATGTTTCAATGCACGATGTTATAAAAAAAATATTTAAAATATAATAATCAAATATTTGACTGAGATTTATAAATAAAAACATATTCTTTTATTTTTATTTTTTTTAAAATTAAAATAATAAAAGAGTTTGTATTAAAATTCATATTAAAATTTAAAACGGATAACTGTTCTAACAAAACCCAACTATCTTTATATCAGCAATGGCGTCATATGCAAAAAAATCCAACTTTTAGAAAAAAAAAAAAAAAAAAAAAAACACAGATCCAAAATTTTGACTAAAAGCTAATATTAAAAAAATCTCACATTTAATAATCCAGAAATGAACTTAGTGCCGTCGCCACCTTATAATAGTGAGGTGAATTGATGTTAATGGTGTCGTAAACTTTTAAAATTTAATAATATATAGTAATTGACCAAAAACTATATCTATAGTAATTAGTATTAAAAATAATGTTTTTTTATTTTAATATTGATATCACGGATATTTATTAAAAAGAGTTAAAAATAATTTTTTATTTTTATATTTATTTTAATTTAAATTTTTTTAATAATTTATTTTACTATGAATATAAATTTAACTTGTGAGTTTAAGATTTTTTTTAATATGTATTTTTATTAAGTTTTATTAACAAAGACACTCTTTTCCTATAAAAACACCAAAACCTTGAGGCTTTCCTCAAAACGAATACTGCAAAGTACAACCATTTTTTAATCAACAAAACATAATTACATAAAGTCCGCTAGGGCGGCAGCTTATTTTCTCTATCATATCACATGTTGTTCAAACAAGCACATGCATCCTGCCGTCTTCTTTTCTTTTTTGTTTTAGATTTAGGATTTCGGTGCACGAAATTAATAATTCCTATATTTATATTATATAAAATATTAATAATTTATATATTTATATAACATTTTATATAAAAATTATATATCATAATTTATATCAAAATAAAAATATAATATATATTTTTTAATTTTATTAAAATTTTAAATTATATTATATTTTTATTTTTTATTTATATATTTTTATTTTATATTATTATATCATATTTTAAATTATAAGATCTAATTTAAACCAACATTTGAAAAAAAAAAATGGAGTGATTAGACATGATTTTAGTTTTAGTACAGACATAAACTCATCGAATGGATAGATATTCTTTCTTGTCAAAGCATAGGAAAACCTGTCGGTTGGATAGTCATAGTTTGAGAAATTATTTGCCTTTCAGCATCTAACGATGACCAAAGTACTGTAATTGTCTAGGAATTAGAATCCTGAAAAATATTCTAAAACAAGAAAGAACAATGAGCTGAAACATGATTCTCTCATCATTCACACCTGTTCTTTCCTGTTTTTTTTTTTTTTTTCTCTCCCTCATTGATCTCAGGAAAGGCTTAAACTTCCACCATTTTTTTCCTGTCTGAGCTTGGTTTGTGATAATATTAATTTCTCAGATGTGGAGAAAAGCCACATGAAAGTGTGTTATGGCACAAATTCTTAATTGCAACTTGCTACTGATCCTAAAGATTCTTGTGCTGCAAGAATTGAACAGAGAAAGAGAAGGAAAATAAAAGAAATTTTAGGCCAACTGATTAAGGGTGTTTAATTTCATTCAAGAATTAATACATTAATTGCACGTTTGATTCCCAGGATTTACAAGTCGGTCCTTTCTCATGGGTTTCACAGCCGGCCAAATCCTGGTAGCCCCAAGGTACCAAAAGAAGGGGAAAAAAAATCATAATTGGTTCAGTTTTAGGGTTGGATGCAAAATACACGATTCAAACACTCACGATTATTATGTTGGTAAGCGACTTATAAATCTAAAAAATCTTAAAAAATTCGTAAATTTCATTTGTTGGTTGACGAGTTATTCTAACTTTAAAGATGGATACCTTCTCTAATCCTAAACTTACAATGACCTAAAAAAAAAAAATCACAAGTGATATATGAAAGTCAATGAAATAGAAAAAGGAAAAAACTAGAGCTTTTTGAAAGAGAAAAATGGGTGAAAATAACAGTGACATATTATTCTTTACAATTATTGTATTAACGCCTCACAATAAAATCTATCAAAATATTATCTGAAACTTACACGGCATGGAAAACAGCAGAAGAGTCCAAAACTACTGAAAATTCCCCATTGCCAATTGGAAAAGATATCACCATCTTACATGTTAAAGGGAGCCTGCCTAGGTAATCAAAGCTTCAATAAAGTCAAAAAGTGAAGTAGGTTTGGATCCATTATTTTCAGCATTATTCCACCTCCACCGCCAATGCGCAAGACTCTAGTGAACCATCTTAGACTTGTTCTCTCTAAGACATTTACAGAGTGAAATGCTCTCATTACGCCATCTGTCAACATTTGGTAGCTTCTGACTTGTTCTCTTGCCCTTGTGCTCATTGTCCTCTCCTTGGACTCTTCTCCCCAACTATGTCTCCGAACCATATATAAACAGAGTTACCCCTTCAAGTTTCCGCCCTGCAACTCACCTCTGAGAACCATTTATATATTTTCAAGACCCTAGGGCAATGATCCAATCAGACCCACCTCTCCTTGACCATTATGGAGCTCTTTTATGCCACTCAACTCAATGTGATGAGCCTCAAAGCCGACTCATCATGGAAGAATGTCAACTTCCTTTAATTGACTTGAGTGATCTAAGCAGTCGCGATGAAATGATTCGCCAAGCCTGTGCTGCAGCCATTTGTAGAGCATCATCAGAATGGGGATTTTTCCAAGTGGTGAACCATGGCCTTAGCCCTCAACTAGTTGGGAAGATGAGAAGTGAACAGGTGAAGTTGTTCCAAACACCCTTTGAAAGGAAAGCTATTTGTGGACTTCTGAATAATTCGTACAGGTGGGGAAGTCCTACGGCTACTTGTCCCAAGCAATTCTCCTGGTCTGAGGCTTTCCATGTCCCTCTTACCAAGGTTTTAGATGAAGCTTGTTATGGAGAGTTTACATCTTTAAGGTAATATATTACATTTCCACTTGATTTAGACTTGTCTCAAGCTTAGCTTGTTTGAGTTTTTTTACATGGGAGGCCGCAGCTAGGGATAGGGAAAGGGGTTACAAGTATTCGGATTTGAACCCCAAATTTGATAGATGCCAATCTCTTAAAGGTGACTGTATTGCCAAGTGCTAACATATAAATGTTTTCCTCTTTTTTTTCTTTACAGGGAAGTGATGATAGAATTTGCATCTGCTATGTCAAAACTGGCAAGACTTCTAGCAGGGGTTCTGACAGAAAATTTGGGCTATGGAAAGGAAGTGATCGACAATATATGCGACCAAAGCACTTGCTTCCTTCGCCTGAATCACTACCCAGCCTGTCCAATATCTCCGGAGATTTATGGTTTAGTGCCCCACACTGACAGCGATTTCCTAACAATTCTTTTTCAAGATGAGGTAGGGGGACTTCAACTAATGAAGGACTCCAAGTGGGTGACAGTAAAACCCAACCAAGATGCTCTTATAGTCAACATTGGTGACCTCTTCCAGGTAAATATCTAAAGCAATAAAATCCAATAAACTTTTCCTTCACTGTGATCATATTTATCTAAATGGCAACTATATACTGTATACTACAGGCATGGAGCAATGATGTTTACAAAAGCGTGGAGCATAATGTGGTAACTAATGCAAAGATGGAGAGGTACTCAATAGCTTATTTCCTGTGCCCTTCTTACGATTCTTCGATCGGGAGCTTCACAGAACCTTCCATCTACAGAAAATTTACTTTCCGAGAATACAGAGACCAAGTTCAAGAAGATGTAAGAACAACAGGCTACAAGGTTGGCCTTCCAAGGTTTCTACTTGAGGGGACAGAGGATTTGACAAGACGTAAGGTGTCCAACACAACATCACAGGCAACAGTTAGATGAATACTAAAAAACAATGTCTCTTGCAAAAATTTTAGCCTTTAGGAATCCAAGTAGCATACGTTAAAAAGCAAAAAAGGAGATAAAAGATCGATACAAAGCTATTCTAAGACATTTCCAGGGAACCAATATGTTCATTGTACTAATAAGGTTTTGTAATCAATAGTATATAACTTTAGTCCGTCCTTATTTTGGATTTGTGCATTGGAGGGGCTGTTGTCTTTTTGTTGGGATAAGGTTTACGTGATTAAAAAATTTTATATTATTAAAAAATTTAAATAAAATATTTTATGTATGTATAAAAAATTAAAAAACTTAATAATTTAAAATTTTGAATTCAAGTGATATTCAATATATATGTACGAGCTTTTTGATGTATTTTCATGAGTTTTTAATATAATTTATCTCTTTAATAATTGATATTAAAATCAAAGTTATGACTTCGAGTTTTAATGAAATTATTAAAAGGAAATTAAATTTATGTATAAATTTTTTAGTGCGTTTTTGTGGACTTCAAGTACAATTTATCTCCTCAACATTTTTGTCCGAGTAGTAATACACACAACAATTCTATAATCATCGATTAATTTTTTAAATATTGAGTACAATCATCAAATGTTCCAACAATTATTCAAAAGAATGTGAAGAACTGACTGAAATTTCAAGATGCTTTGTTAATGCAACAATTGCACATCATTGTATGGATTCAGCTAAAACAGAATGACTAAAAACAATCTTAGAATACCTAGTATGCTGTTAAACTATACACTCCAAGAACAGTAATAGGCCAATATCATAACTAGAGATAAGATCGGGTGGTGTATTTTTTTTCATCCCAATCCGATTTTATATAATAAATACTAGAAATCAACTTAACCCAATATTAAATATTATTTTTAATATTCAACTCAACTCATGTATGCATAAAATTGGAATTGATTCAATTTAACCTGAAATTAAAAAAAATTATTTTTAAATATAAATAAAAGATTAAGTATATAAATAAAAATAAAATAAAATAAAATAAATAATAAAAAATATTTTATATATATACATGATCGAGATAAAACAGATTTGCTTAAAACTCAACCCAAACTTTAAAAAAAGACCCATGTCCAAATCTAATATATATATATATATATATATATATATATATATATATATAAATTAACCCTATAGAATTAAATCAGATCGAAACATGATGGATTCGAGTTGGATTGCCAACTCTAATCTTAACAGATTGTCACCACAGCAAAGATCTACTTAAAATGTGATTTGTAAAATGTGGCACAATATAAAATCATGGAGATCAGGATTCGCCCTGGATTTCATGTTAACTTCACCTTATGGATAATGATTAACAGGTCCCGAGTTCTTATTCAGTCAAGTGGTATTGCTACCTTATCCCTGAGTGTGCACATCTTCTTTGTTAAGGGGCTGCTTCTTCTTTAACATCATTCACACGTCCCTTTCCTAATTCATTGGAAAATGTCAGATCCCTCAAATAAATTCAGTCCCCTTCTCCTCCGCAGTTTTCTTTAACAAAGGACATAAAAACAGATCCAGCAAGTCCTGAGCAGGATCGATTCTTTTTAAAATTGAAAATCAAATATTAGAAACCGATTAAAACGTTAACAATCACTTCAAATTTTTAACGATTACGATGATTCAATTCAACTCCTTTCTTTTCATTTTTAAGACGATGATCAAGAATCAAGGAAACCGAAAATAAGGGAAAACAGAAAAGAAAAAGGAAGATTAGAACTGTTTAAGGGCTTTGACGTACCTTAGCCTCGCCATCGACAACATCCAAAAATTCGGTCAATCGACTCTGTTCACTCGTCTAGAATTCGAGCGGCAAAAGAGTTCTTCTTTCTTTATATAAATCAGAAAACGAGCATTTTCGTTAAGGAGATTCGAACCAGACATCAATTTATGGGTCCAACGGTAGGGAAATCACCGGGCTTTTGGGCCCAACACAAGCCCAGTTTATGGTGTTTGACCTTTTTCTAGGATTTTGGAGCCCAAATCCAAGGAAACCCAAATAGAGACCCCGGCCCGCAAAAAATTCCAGCTCAGCTTATTTTAGCCTGTAAAAAGAGAAAAAAATTGAAAAAATCTAGAATCCATTGAAATCGTAATATTTGGTCGGGATTGATTTTTATTTTATTTTGTTTGAATTAAGTTTGGATAATAAATATATAAATTAAATTTTAATTAAATTTTATATTAAAAAATAAAAAAATCGAATTAAATTATATATTTTCATTAATTTTTATATTAAATTTTTATAAAATAAAAAATATTTATTAAACTAACCTCAGATTTTTAAAAATTTGTAATTTTATATATTATTTTAAAAAACTGAATCAAATCAAATGTCAAGTGAACCATTTATTACTCCTAGTTTTTAGTTCGTGGCGATGCACCAAAAATTATCCTTTCTTTAATTAAACAGCGAAGCATCTCGTGTCCAACGTTTTCATTCTGGATCCACGACAGAGACCCTGAGATTTCGGAGTATTGAAATTCGAAACAAAGAAGAAGCAAATCAGCAATGGCGGCCTTTATCGAGCTAGAAGATTCCCCTATGTTTCAAAAGCAGGTAACTCCAAAATTCTCCACATTTTCATTATTGTACAAATTTTGATCCACAATTATGTTTAATTTATTAAATTCCTTTAATTTCTTAGCCAATCGCTGAAAACTTTTTCTTTTTGAATCAAATTGTGATTCAATTCTAACCGTTTTAGTTGAATATAACTAAGTTTTAATTGATTTTTTTACTGAATAATCAAAATTCGATTGAATTTGTTAAAATAATGACTAATTTTATATTGCCATGTATAAATATACTTCATGATCTCATTGGGATTAGTATTTGTTTTTTGTTAAATGATAAAAAAAAGGTTCTAATGTGTTTGTTGATTGAACAGATATGTTCTTTACAGTACACGGCTGATGAGTTGAAAGATCGCTGTCAAACATTATACGAAGGAAGTAAGAAGTTTATGTATGTTTCTTTCTTTTTCTATGTTCACTAATTCTTTTACTTGTAGTGTCGGATTTGCCTTATCAATCTGTTAAGAATGCTTGGATTCAGTTCTTGCCAATCTTAGTTTTTGAGGTTATGTTTTTTCTGACTCGTACGTCTTTGTTATAAAATATGAATTTTCTTTTCATTCTTAGTATATTAGGTTTGTTCCAACTGATAACATATTCTAAGTGCGCTGAATTCTCCCTGCAAAAGTATCAGCTTCGCAGTAAGGGCTTTGAGCAAGATTTTGGGTTCAAAATTTGGTCTCTAATTCAAATGTATCTTTGTCACATTATTTCCCTTAACATCTGACCTTGAATTTGTCCCCTCTCTCCCCTACCATTATACAATTTCAGCTACAATAATAAATAGGGTATCATTAACTTTATTGCCGACAACCCAATTACCTAAGACCTCTCTCTCTTTATTTCTTTTGCAGGACAGCTCTTGGAGAAGCATATAATGGGGACAATAGCTTTGCTGATTCTTTAGAAGCATCTGGTGGTGGACAAGATGATCCCATTAGTGTCTCCATAGGAGGTAAGTCAATGTGTCTTCTTATTCAAAGTTTTTAACTACCACACCGGTTAGCTCAGTTGTTTCTTACAAATTAATTTCAAAAATTTTGATTAGGTTTAAAGCTTTGGTTCTAGTATTTAAAGTTTTGTCAATTAGTGGTTATAAAAACAGATGTGCATTTGACTCTGTATCTGTGTGTGTTTCTGTCTGCTGAATTATTTTTCTCAAGTAAATTTCTGTGCTCAATCAACAGCAGAAAGTGAAAAACTATTCAAATGCTTTTTGGCTTTTTGCAGAACAAATGCTATTGAATGGCAATTGCTTTTTCACGGTTTCATAGAATAATCTAGCTGAAAGACTGAAGATTCTACCTAAAGAAACTTTTAAATGGTTCCCTTTTGTAGGACCAATCATGACCAAGTTCATCAATGCATTTCGTGAGCTTGCTGGCTATAAGGAGTTGCTTCGTTCACAAGTGAGAATCAATTTACCATCTAAAAAAAAAGACAATTCTTCTCATATAATTGAATGACAAGGGGATAAGTAGCCTTTGTCAAATGCTTATTCCAAATGTTTCTGTTTTTTCACTAGCAATATTTTATTAGATGTTATTTCCTTTGCCAACATTTGGTTTTTCCTTTTTTTTTCCTTTTCGATTTGATTGTGCATGATTACGCAGTATTTTGTGCCTTAGATATATTTAGATCCCTATGAATTGATATGCCTGTGCATATTTTAAAGTTGTGTGAAGTAATAAAGCATGCATGGATGATTTGTTAATGAGATTAGAATGGAAAATTTTGCTTCAGGTGTTGTAATCAACTTACCTTTACTCCCAACATGAGTGTGAAAGACATTCTTAATCAGAAGATGAGCTTCTAGATGGTAGATATCATGTATCTTTAGAACTTGTATTCATAAAGTCATAGAAGGTGTGTAAATGTAAGCTATCAACTAATTCAACCAGCTTTTAATGAGGAAATAAGCTGTCATCTCATAAAAAAGTACCTTTGAATTTGTCTTTGCTTAAAACATTGCTAGGTGCATGCGCACATGGTATCTGTACAAACAGTCTTATGACATTATCTTCTACTTAAAATAGATTCACCTGATCAGATTGTAATTTTGCGTCAAAAAGTGTTTAACGTGTTAATTTCTACATATGCAACTACTTTCTAAATTCTTTATTTGCTCTTAGATGCCTTTGTGTTCAATGTGGTTAGGATATAGCACTAGTAGGTACTGAACATATTTGTTGTGCATGAAGGCTAACAATTTTGAGGCCACCTGCTGCATAACTTCAGATAAGCAAATTTTGTTTTAAAATATTTCTTATATTTGAGAGTCAATATTAACATTTGCATCTTACCTTGCTACATGCCCAATAGAATAGTTATTATTTTTCATGTTTTGTTTGGGATGCTCAATTTTTTATCTGAGATTTGAATACCTATTGCAGGTTGAGCATGTGTTAGTTGATCGGCTAATGCATTTTATGACTGTTGATTTGCAAGATGCAAAGGTGAAGATAATTTAGCTGCTATCTCTAATTTTTTTTCTAAAATTGCTGGTTTTGAAATTGTTATTAACTAGCCACTTTCCACAGTCTGTGTGTGTGTTGAATTTTTCTGAAAAATTTAAAAGAGACTGAGATAGTGAGAGATGAAATAAATCGCTCCCTTGTTGAGATTTTGCATTGAAACGTTGCTCTGTGTGATTGCAATGGGGGTTGTTCATGATTGCCGCCTTTCCCTGACTTTTCCTGTAAATCTTTAAATTTGATGTAGGTGCACTGGATGACATATGGTGACCTTTTTTCTGTTAAACAACCACTTTGGTTTTATAGCAAACTTAATTACTTGTCATGTTTTCTTTGGTCTGTTGATGTGCTGTGTGTTGATTAATTGAGACACTTTTGAGAGGCCTTACCTTATTGGAATCTTTCCCTCCACCATAAACAACCTCTAACATCACTCTTTTCTGGTCTTTTTACTTCTGATTTGCATTTTGTGTTTTCTCTCGTCTTCGCACCTGCAATCACTTTTTCCTTTGAAGTTGGAAACTTTTCTTTTTTCTATTATCCTTTTCCACATTATGTATCCATGTAGTTTTCTGTTAGCCTAGAAATATGCTTTTTATTTTATTTTATTTTATTTTTTTTATCTATGTACTTCCAAGTAATAATATTTCTTTTATCTTTCCATATATCTTTTATATTAAATTTGCCTCTTTTCCTTTTTCTTATCATCTTGAAAATGGAGCGCTTTCTAACAAAACTCTGTAATCCACCTTGGAGTCTGAAATTCTGAATGTGAGGAAAAATATAGGACCCTCAAATGAATAGAAGAGCCAATGATTGAGGCATATTATGTTCCTCTTAGCACAGGACATATAACAGCATTTTTTATTCAAGTCATGGACATTATCAAGTCTTTTAGCAGAGATTGTATATTTCCAGCATAAGAACTCATCGTGGATGAAGATATTGGATCTACATGTTCATAATTGTGGAAGCCAAATATTTGCAAGATGGATTGAGATGTCTCCTCAAAATACAACAAATTCAGATGGTGGGAGCTTGGGGGTGGTTGTGGGGGGTGGCATATAAATTGGATGGAAACATAACAATTACATTCATTATTAAAGAGCTCAACATTTTTTATAACTTTTCTTTCTTGCTAATAATTTTAGAGTCTAGAGCTAAATTCATGTCTCTATTCCTCCTTTCCTCCCAAATTGTCTCACAGCTTTTATCCTGTGTCTTTTACAGGAGTCTCGTCGGCGGTTTGACAAAGCTATAAATACATATGATCAGGTATTAGAGACAATGAAACTTCCTTTTTGGCATAAAGTTAATTATTGGGTTTGGATATTAATGACAGTTTGAATCTCCTTCGTTATTTTTTTTCTTTCTCTCTCGGTCATGGTATCATGAATAAATTTTGGAGCTAAGGAATTATTAGTTAAAAACATATTATGTCTATATGTACAGCTACTGAGAATTCTTGTAAATCAAGGGCTATCCGGTAAAAATGAAAAACAGAGAAACCTGTCAGTAATTGGTGACATGTCTTCTGTCTTCTGAAATCTGATTATTCCTTGCAGCAAACAGATTTATTCTAGTTTACTATCTTGAATATTAAGTGGCAAACATTAATGAAGATGTCTCATTTCTAAATAAGTTCTCCAATGGATTTACTAATACAAGTGCTGAGAGCATACACAAATGATGCAGATGGATATGCCCTGTAAAATTTTACATCACAACTACCCTTTCTCTAAAATTTTATGAAAAGCTACAATCAAGCATAATAAAACCATTAAAAGCATAGTGTTCCTTGATTCCGGTCAAATATAAAGCTTTTCACCAAATGTTCTGTACTGCCAGGCACGTGAAAAGTTTGTGTCTTTGAAGAAGAACACACGAGGAGATATTGTTGCTGAGCTAGAAGAGGTATGCCCTTTCCTTATGTAATTATACTATTCTCTGTATGTTTCACCAGTTCTCTTATTTTTCTGCTATACTCCTGGTTCACTAGTTAGTAAACATTTAACCGTTTCAGTACCATCCAAAAGAAACAAAACACCTGTTTTTCCGGACCATAGAACTATGGATTTGATCTTATTTTAGGTTGTAACTATTGTAGTCTTCTTTGTTTATGATGTATTGTGCCTTTTTCTTGCTTACCTTTATCAGAAGAAAGATGTTTCTGGTTACCTTGATGTAATGTTTACACTATCTTGTCTTTCTGCTTAGATATCCTTTATGTTGTTTCCAGTATCTAATAGCTCATACTTGATCTGCATTGACAAAAATTTTGGGTGCAAATCTTTAACATTCTGTCCGAGTCCCCAAAAGTAAATATATCTTTTGTTCTGAGAATTGAGAATCTAACTAACTAATTCCTTATAATTAAAGATGGAATTGTGGCTTGGTTTTTGCAAATCAAGGCATTATTGGTTCAAATTATACCATGTTATTATCCACATCTATTATGTTTTCTTGATAACTTCCAAACTTCTTTGTAGAGTGCAATTGTCTTTTTCATAATAAAACTAACCTGGCTTGTATTCTGGGTTGGATTGGATTGTATTTTGTTCTTGACAGGATCTACAGAATTCAAAATCTGCTTTTGAGAGAAGCCGCTTCAATTTAGTGTGTTTGTTGCAGCTGCAAATCTCCCTGTTTATTTATATTAAAATCATATTTTCCATTTTATTTCATGCTTCATTTGGTGACTTTTCTTTCTGGTTTAAGGAAAACAGGTAAATGCACTAATGAATATTGAAGCAAAAAAGAAGTCTGAGTTTCTGGAATCTATAAGTGCAATTATGGATGCCCATCTGAGATATTTTAAGCTGGTTTGTACTTCCTTTTATGATGTATTTCTTAATTTTCTGCTGGACTCAGCTAGTTATACAAGTTGTCGTGTGTGTGACTAAATATGATTGATTTCCTTTTGTCATAGGGGTATGACTTATTGAGCCAGTTGGAACCATTTATTCACCAGGTAATATTTTACTTTTTTCTTTTATTTTAATAAAAAACAAATGAGACTAAGTTGTTGATTACCACTTTCGAATTAACTGGATTAATTATTTAATGAGGGTTGTTTGTCTCCATGATGTTAAAAACAAGTTAATGACTTGCAGTCAGTAGAATCAATGATTTCTAGAAACTTCTTCTGTAGAAAAGTTGGCTCTGCAAATGGCTATGAGCTATGACCATAATGTTGGATGCTTGTGTTGGCAATCCATGTGATTATGGGAATACTGTGTCTTTGTTTAGAGACTATATTATTTGCATGCCTCTTTCTATTATCTCTTTCTTTTTGCATTAGATGTTTACAGTTACAAAGTATAAACAGATAGACAGGCACATGCAAGACACACACAACTATATTCTTGTATGCTTAATTTTGGGAGTTACCATGTCAAACAACATTATTTGTCTACGCCAATGCATATGAATTTATCAAATCCTAGAACCATCTAGTTGCACGGTTCATCCTTCTTCAAGATTCTTCAATTAAGAATTTCATCTCCTGACTGCAACTAGAGATATGCATTTATATTATTTGTTACATAAATCGTTCTATAAATGCATAAGTTAAATGCATATCTCTGTTTGATCTGCACATTCTGTGTAGAATGTGTTCGCACTTGTCATTTTGAATTTAAAACAAGTGGCTTTGGTCCCATGCCCTTACACTGTTTGTCTTCATCATAAAATTTAATCTAATCTGATTTAATTGCTTTATGAATAAGGGTTTCACTTGATAACTGAATTGATTTTTTTTTGTAAAGGTATTGACATATGCTCAGCAATCAAAAGAATTAGCAAAAGCTGAACAAGATAGGCTTGAAAAACGTATTCAAGAATTCAGGACCCAATCTGAGATAGATACTTTACGAGCTTCTACTAACAAAGAGCCTTCCACAAGTACTGGTGGCATTCATGTTATTGGCATGAGTTCAGACAAAAACATAGAAGCGATCATGCAGTCCTCAACAAATGGGGAGGTGAGTGCTTGATCTTCTTATCTTTTTATTGGGCTGTTGTTTTCATATTGGCATCATGTTTATTTCATCAAGGGTGTTAATTGGAGAAATTAAATATTTCTTTTTTTCATTCATTTTGCAGGTCCAGACAATCAAGCAAGGATATTTGATAAAACGTTCTTCAAGTTTGAGGGGAGATTGGAAGAGGAGGTTCTTTGTACTCAATAGTCAAGGAACTTTATACTATTATATGAATAAGGGTACCAAAATGGTATGTTATATTACTTTATAACCATCCTTGGTTGATCAAGTTTAATGATATAGCTTGAAGCATATTGTCCCTTTATTATGATTATGGATAAGTGGGGCATATACCTGGATTTTAGTCTTTATGCTTGCTAATTTATGGTTGTGAGAAATTTGAGGATGTGTGACAGAGATAATTAAAGTGTTTGTATGGTTTTGTTGCACTATAACAGTGTTAATTTCTTTTTTGCATAGCAAGCTCAGGAGAGAAGTGAAGAGAACAGACTTAAAATTTCTCGTTGCCCCATTTTTTATCTCTTCAAATGTGGTTAGATTTGGAGAAAAATGAGAATGAGTAATGTAATTCTTCATGATTTTTGAATAAATCCTTTAGATGTAGTGATAAAATGTGTCAAAAAACTCTATATCTAAGCAAGAGAAACTGAAATTCCTATCAAATCACTTATCTTCTTTTCTTGACTATCTGTCCTCTTCTCTCCTATTATTTCAAACACACTTTAATCTAGATATGCCTAAAATTATAAAGTCCCTGTATCTAGGTGCTGAAAAGATAATTTTAATCTTCTTTTCCAGCCAGCTGTTCCAAACTGTTTGAGTAGAGAGAGAAAGAAAAGGCTTTTTTAAGTTGCATGAGTATACCTCATAAAATTTTGATTTGCAAGTGAGGTGAATCTTTTCTTATTACCTATAAATTGACTGCTTGTTCTGTGGTGTTTATAAGTAAATTTAACTCTTATGCATAAGCTTTTGGCTACTATTGGTAGGAACTCATTCTTTAAGATAGCTAGAGCAAAAGGTCTTCCAGGAACTATTAAGTCAAAGTATCTAGTCTTAATGCTATTTCCCATGTAGGAAATAATTTTGGGCTTATGTTGTGAAAATGATCTTGCTGAGGCATGATATTTACTTTATCTGCTTTATTCCCAGGGTTCTCACCATCAGTATACTGGTTCAGCTGAACAAAATAGTGGTGTATTTGCTAGATTTCGTGCAAGGCATAATAGGTCCTCATCATTTAATGAAGAAACTTTGGGCTGTCATATTATTGATCTTTGTACTTCAACAATAAAGATGGATGCAAAGGATACAGATTTGCGGCTTTGCTTCAGAATTATATCTCCACTGAAAACTTACACATTGCAGGTGATATTGATTGATCATTGAAATTTTTTCGCCTCACTTTTCTTGAACTTATCAAGGATATGGTTAAAATATAGCAAAGTCGCAGCATGATACATTTAACTGACTGCATATAGTATGAAAAGGATTTTCTTGCTCTTATTGTTGGATTTTTGCTTGGGACTTTATTTGTGTTATTAATTATCTTATGAAACCTTAATTTTAGCTATTTAAGATTGACTAAGGTTTAGATGATGATAGATGAAGGTGCTAGGCACTTAATGGTATTTTGCTAGGTTGCTGTTTTAGCAAGGTGTTGAACAATTTACAGTGTATCATTTCAATATCTTGCTGTTTTAGCAAGGTGTTGAACAGTTTACAATGTATCATTTCTATATCTTCAGGCTTCAAAAATATTTTGGAAAATGCAATCAATTTTTGTGACAAATCTGTAGAGTGGAATTACATGAAACATGAAGCAGGTTGTATTAGCCTCTCCATATATTTTGGAAAATGCAATCAGTTTTTGTAACAATTCCGTAGATTGGAATTATATGAAACATGAAGCAGGTCGTATTATCCTCTGCATATATTGCTAGTATTTATTTTTAATGGTGATGAGGATTCCAGTGTGAAGTTAGAAAACTGTTTTCTATTGTCAAATAGAGTGAACAAAACTATATTAAAGGTATAAAAAGTGAAATTTGTACTTCTATTAGAGCAGTAAACCCACAGGTCAATGCCATGATGATTCTACCAGTGATAGTGTGAACCAGAAATTTGATTGAGTTTAAGCATTGCAAACATTTTGGATAGATGAAGGGAAAAAATCACTAAAATGCACCAAAGGAGTGCCAACAAGGCTAATTTTAATGGAAAAAATGATCTAAATGCACCAAAGATGAAAATGAAGAAGTTTAGTGAAGAGAGTCAAGGAAAGCTAGTGATAAATTATTTTGATGGATTATTCAGCAGAAGTGATCTAGACAGTTTGGAATGCCTTAAAAATTTTTTTTGATTAAAAGTCTAGAAATGTGTGGAATTAGAGTATTTGTTGTAAGGAGGTTGTCAAGAAAATCAAAAGAAGAAAAGCAGTTCGCCTTGTCGAAGCCCTAATGATTAGGTTATCTGATGATAACTTGGTTGAAAAATTTGTTTGATAAGATTTTAATGACTGAAAAGATGCTTGATGGATGGACGAAGAGTACTATATAGATCTGGTGTTATTTGCAAAGTTTCTCTAACCGTACCTGCCTTGAGATTTTGTGAGAAGGTTGAGAACAGGTAAAGGTGTGAGCCAACAATTTCATAAAATCATGGGTAATACCAGTGAGTTTGAATCAGAATAGGCTTACATCAAGGATTTTCAGAATCCTTACCTTTTTGCAGTCGTTACAATGAGGTTACTATGCATATTGAGAGTAGAATTCTGAAGTCCATGTTCTACGTAGGTGTTATGTTATATTTTTAGTAGATGAAACGTAGTTTAGGGTCAATCAATAAGTCTGAATTACAGAGTGCACTTCGGTCATGTTTTTATTTGGGTTAATTGGAATAGAGATAGAATAAACTGAATGTGGTTTTTAATATTATCAAATAGGGATGAAAGTGAAGTAGTAAATGGGGTTCAAGATATTGTTAACTGTGACCATTTTAGGTATCTAAGATTGACTATTGGCAATTTGTAAAGGAGGAGAGACAGAAAATGATTTACTTATCAGATCAAAGCACGCTGGATGAAATGGCTAACTGCTGGTGCAACTGGTGTGTAATATGATTATAGGGATGCCTGTTCACTTAAATTGTAAAATGTAGCAGTTTCCATGCATTTTGGTAGTAGTAGTAGTTAGCAAACGTATACGCAAAAGATTGCAGCTGAGATGAGAATGTAGAAGTGGTCTGTGCTAGTATACCCAAAAATGAAAAAAAAAAAAAAAAGAAGTGAAAGAATGAGAAATGAAGTCATTTTTCCAACAGTGCAGATAGTATCCATTAGGAAAGAAATTAGTGGTAGAAAGTTTAGATTGTCTGGAAAGTTGTAATATAAGTCCAGAGATGTGTAAGTATGAAGGGTGACTTGATACAGGTAGAAGGAATAAAGAGGGGTAAAAGTGAACTAAGGGATGAGGTAGTAAGGATGTGAAATCTAGAACATCTTTTAGAAAGCAGAGTCTTAATTGAGTGGAATAAAGGAAAAGGATTCATGTTGCCAACCTCAACTTGCTTTTTGGAATTAAACTAGAGTCTAGTTGAGACAATATCTTTGCATTATGAATGTTCCAACTAGGTAGTTTAGATAGCTTTTTGAACCTAGACTACTTGCACTTGCATGAACATGAACCTCCACACCTCGTTTTTGGTATTCTTAAGGACTAGTAAATACTAAAAATGTCAAAGAGGTCTGCCATGCTAGCACAGAAGAGTTTAAAATGAGAGCCATAACCAAGAGAAACTAATGATAATGATATGGATATGGTGACTAAATTACTGTGAGTTTTAGGGCAGTCTTCTATTGAAAATTTGATGTTAGATGCTTTGGGATGCAAGACTCTTGTTTACAAGTGTTTGGAACTTGTACAGGTGTTGAACAAAATTGAGCGTGATATATCTTTAGAACTGTGATGCCACTATATCATTTCCTTTTGAAGATAATTAATATTCCTTTGTGTGTGTATGTATGTATATATAATTATATATCTATATATTTATTTATGTATGTATGCATGTATGTATATCTGTAGGCGAGTGTGTGTTTCTTGTGAAAAGGTTGAAGATTGAATGCTAGTTAAATACATCGGTTAAAAGGATGAAACAATTGTGTCTGAAGTTTTTGGAATACCTATTTCTTGATGCATCATATTTGTCAGTAAATTATTGCTAAATTCTAATCAATTTATCAAATCTGCAAAGTTATTGAGAGATATGGAAACTTCTCAAAACACAACATTTTATTTCACACAATGACATGCCCTTTAAAAGCAAATTTCGAAGTGTTCGTAATCAATAGCTTTTAGTCTTTGTTGCCTATAATTTTATACTTCTTCAACTATGGCATGAAAAGCGTGGATCAGATTCTCATACAAACTTGTTTGAAACAATTATTACAGTTATATTTTGAACTAGATAATTGAATATAATAAAACAAAAGACAATATTTGTGAACTTTCTAGATTAAGCTATATAATAATGTTTTGTTTGTGATAATTGTGACTGGTTTTGGGCAGGCTGAAAATGGGGCAGATAGAATGGACTGGGTTAATAAAATAACTGCAGTTATTACATCTCTTTTGAATTCTCATATCCTGCAGCAGGTTCTTTTTTCCTTTTAAACTCATGTTTTTCTATTTATGTTGAAACACTAAATTGCTACTAATGGTGATTTGGTTGTCTGTTGTGGCTGCATCCGGGAAAAAAGCATGTGGAGAATAATGCTTATGCTCGCAGAGCTTCTTCTAATGCTAGGTCACCTAATAGCCTTGGTACTTTAGAGATTGACCAAATAGGCAACAGAGCAGAGCCCGTTTCTGTGGTCCTCAAAGAAATTCCTGGAAATGATGTTTGTGCAGAATGTAGTGCTTCTGGACCTGATTGGGCATCCCTTAATCTTGGCATATTATTATGCATTGAATGCTCAGGTGTTCACCGTAATCTTGGTGTACACATTTCAAAGGTGCAATTTGTTCTTCAAAGAAGAGAGAAAGACTGTATGGCCTTTTTTTTTTCTTTCCAGTTTTTGTTAATTTTGCTATGCTGGTTTTGAGTTTATAATTCATAATCTATATTTGGTCTTCAACCTGTTTACAGTCTCTTAGAAACATAGAGTTTATGCTCTTTGATAGCACTAAAAATTAGTGTCCACTGTTAGCTGTGATGTAATTATTTTTATGCCTGCGGAAAGTTTATTTCTGTAGTAGGGACATTGAAGAGTATTAGGTCACAACAAAGGTTTCTTCTTACTATTCTTCGTGTTGTTATTTTAGACTTTAGTTATTACACTGTCCACCTTAGGTTGCAGCAATGTCTCTTCTTACCATGTTTTAATTATTACTACCTATATGGTTGGTGTGCATGGGTAAGAGTTCCTCCATTTTGATGATATTATTAGATTGTTCAATTGAATTCCACATTATCGTCTCTTAAAGTATTTAGTGCCCTTCATTTCCATTTTTTTTGGTTGTTGAATCAGAATGTTGGGAGAATCTGTTGTACAATTTCAAACCAGCTAGTATACTTGCAAGTAACTTTGCTGTTATTGACTTACAAGTAGTTTTGCCCCGAAATATGTGGTGGACAATATGAGTTGTGTTAGGAGAATATGTTTAGTTCACCCTACACTTTTGGGTGCTGCACCGGGCTGTTAGGAGAATCTGTTGTACAATTTCAAACCAGCTGCTATACTTACAAATGACTTTTCTATCATTGACTTACAAGTAGCTTTGCCCATGTGGTGGACAAACCAGCTGCTATACTTACGAATGACTTTGCTATCATTGACTTATAATTAGCTTTGCCCATAAAAATTAGGCAGACAATATGAGTCGTGATGTTAAATTCCCAACCTTTGAATTTCATGAATTGAATGAAAACTTACTTGCCATTTTAAGTAGCAAAAGAAGAAAATTTAAGGTCAGAAGAACAGATAAGAGGGAGGAGGCTGATAGAAAGAAATTGATATCCTATGATCTTTCATACATTTTAAGAGTCTTCAATAAAAGAATACTCTTCTTCTGTGTGCAGGTGAGATCTTTGACATTAGATGTCAAAGTGTGGGAACCTTCAATTGTGGAATTATTTTGTACTCTGGGCAATGCTTATTGTAACTCTGTATGGGAAGGTTCACTCGTTAAGAATGAGAGGTAAGATTTCCTCAGGTTAAAAAGAGAATAGAAATGATGCTCCTAACTAATCTGTTAATTTGCGAATGCTATTTCTGTACACTAACTGTAATTTTTGATATGGTACCTATAGAAGATCAGGCAAGGACAAAAAAAAATTTAATATGCTTTATTGGTCTTGTGATCATGTTAAATATGAATATGCATGATTGAGGCGTTTTCTATATCTACATTTTGTTTCTCAGAAAAGAAGTTTTGCATTTTCCCTTTTGTATGTTTGTTTTCATGTGAATTTGAAAATTGTCTCTAAATAGTTTAAATTAGGTTAATGTAATATCTTAATTATGAGGAAATATAGAACACCATAAAATTTGGTGGCCTTTTTGTGTTTAAAAAAAAAAAAGAACTTAAACCTCTTTTTTCATTATTTGACATTAAAAGGGTTTTGTAGGTAAAAAAATTGTCATTGTTTTTTCTTTGTAACAAGCAATAATTCTTATTGAAACAATGTTAAGGATCTAAGTACAAAAGTAAAATTAATGTCAATTAACCATGTCATCTTTTGAGAGAAATCATGGTTATACTTAAAAATACACTAACCCAACTTGTGGAACACTTGTTAGCACAAATGTCAGCAATGAGCTTTATGTTCTCTTTGCACATGCCTGATCTCTGTAATCTCATATCTTCTAAAATGTAATTTATAGAAATGTGGAATAGTTTTGTAAAGAGATGTCCGCGCTCCTTCATTTAGTCATTTCTTCATTATCATTATTTTTACCAATAAGAATTGCTGTTCTAAAATGCCATTGAAGTCCTCAAGTGAAAGGATTGTTTTTGATAATTAAATTTATTTCTTATGCTTTATCTTGAACATGATGAATTTTAAATTGGACAAAAGTTGTCTTTTTTGTTAAAATAGTGTTTGGTATAATAAGAGTATCTTTCTCTCTCTCTCTCTTTCTTTTTTTTTTTCTTTTGTGAGCAAGAGAAAAAAGCCTCATCCCTTTTTTGTTTTTATTCTTGTCTATGTGAATATGATGTTGGATTCCTTACTTTCTACCCTATTCTTTGCCTTATTGTACTCACTCCTCCTTACATGTTTGCCAAAATTGTCCAAAAGATGCTCTGTTTTTGTTAGAATGATAGCTTGATAATCGGTTAAGTTACTAAAGAGTGAATTTGAGGAAACCAAAGCTGGTAGTGGTTTAATTGATGATCTATAACTGGTTAACTGGATAGCTTCATTTTGTGTTGTAGTAGCTACCTATACAATAATCTGCTTTACATTTCCTTTTCAATGTAATTCTTTGCAGAGTGGATGAATCAAATGCTATTGGCACATCAATAACAAAACCATGTGCCAAAGATGCAATATCCAATAAAGAGAAATACATTCATGCTAAGGTATCTAGTTAGATTTTTTTTTCTCTCGATGTCCATCCATTGAAATTCATATTTCACCATCCATGTATTTCTTCCTTCCCTCTTCCTTATTTGATTCCCCCTTGCATTGCACCATTTAACTTACGGGGAAGTTGACTGGATTTCAGTCAGTTGGGAACCTCTTCTGGTATAGTTGCCTCCTTCAAGTAATTGTGGTAATGTTAGTCTTCTGCTACTGGTAATCATTCTCTAAATTGATCTGTGGATTATTTAGCTTCTTATGCCAGGAAGGAATAAATCACTCTAGCATATGATGTGTTATTCTTCGTATTCAAGACTATTTTCTGTTGGTTCTTTGTTCTTTATGCCTGAAGTTATATTCAAGGCTGAAAAGCAGGTGCACTTGCACACTAACACACCTGTTCCCTTTAGACAATTTCCAATTTTCATCAGTGCAAATCGCCATGCTGTTTAGATTAGTCTTTCATCTCTCGTGCTGCTAGCATAAGAGGCTGTGATTTTGAATAAAAAGCCTAACATTATTCCTTCTCTTAACCAGTATGTAGACAAATTGCTAATCATCAGAGATGCAATGCAACCCAGAGTTCCTTCTAACTCAACAGACATCTGGCAAGCTGTTAAGACTGATAATTTAAGAGAAGTATATCATCTAATTGCAATATCAGACACCAATATCGTAAATACCACCTTTGATGGTGTTTTTAGCATTGAGTTGTATCACCTTGTTGTTGATGCACAAGACTCATCACTTGATAGCCACAAAGAGGAAAGGAAACAGTATGATCCATCAGCCTGTCAGAGAATCAAGGATTCAAATGACCCGGGGAATTGTCTGCAAGGTTGTTCGTTGTTGCATCTGGCATGCCACTGTGGCAATCCAGTGATGCTTGAGCTGTTGCTGCAATTTGGTGCTGATATAAATAAGTGTGACTTCCATGGCAGGACTCCTTTGCACCATTGCATTTCTCTAGGGAACAATACATTGGCAAAGTATCTACTACGAAGGTAGGCTGCATGTTTTGCATAAATAACAGAAGCTATTTGTGGTAGGGCTGTTAGAAGACATTTTGCTTAATTGTCTGAATTAACTTCAAATGAAATTTCATATTGGTCCCCAAACTTGGACTTGGAAGCTTTACCACGTACCAAATTATTTGGTAAACATATTTCATATGGTTAAAAGATTGCATCATACAACATATTAATCTCTGCTCATATGGTGCTTGATAAAAAGGATTGATAAAATGACAAGTTACAGATTGCCTTTGAAATCTAATATAATACTTTTATTTGTTAGTCTCATCTCTCATGGATAAGCGGTTTTAATATGCCAATGATGTGCAGAGGCGCACGGTCATCGATTAAAGATGGTGCGGGATTTAGTGCATTAGAAAGGGCTATGGAAAAGGGAGCAATTACAGATGAGGAGCTGTTTATTTTGCTCACTGAAAGCTAGAGAGAGAAACTTGGGTGCCCCAAATTGGTAAGCCTGCTTCTCTCCCTTGGTTTCTCACTTATGTTGGCTGCTGTCGCCTCTAGCATAATAGGAGTTTTCTGTCCTCTTCTAATCTGTCGACTTTGTTACTGAATTGTTTCTCCTATATTTCAAACTAATATATGTTATTCTTTGCAATGTGGAATGATTATCTCTGTTGAATTAATTTCGATTCTATGTTATGGTTTGCAATGCTTGGCCCTTGAAAAAAATCACTTTAATTATTACCATTATTTCCATGGCTACCAAAATTATAACTGAAAAGAACTTCAGAAAGAAAAAGGAAAATTATCCTTAACTATAACACCCTTGATCAATAAACTTGATTTCCAATGAAAACTATAATTTCATATGATGTTTCGAAAGTGAAAATTCATATCTCGAGATTTTTTGGATATAAAAAAATGGTTGAATTGAAAGTTTAATAGCAATTTCAACAATATAGAAATGATCATATCTTTTGATGACTATTTATCTCCACATTCTATGGAGGCGCAGCTTTGATTTTCAACAATGACTCTAGCACATTCCCTTTTAGTTCTTTATTAACTTCTCAACAACTTGTTTTGCCTCTTTTTGACCTTGACATTTCCATCAACTCTTTAACCAGGCAGTGTATGGCTTCTATAGTTTAATAAAGGAACAGCAGCTTCAATTTCCCCCCATGATTCTAGGGCATCCCCCTTTAGCCTCTTTTTCATCTTCTCAACAACCTGCTTAGCCTCTTCTGATCTTGACCTTTCTACCAACCCTTTAACCAGACCTTCCATTGCCTCAAATGGAGGAACCCAGTTCCTCTTTATAATTTCCATACTCATTTCCAGACCTGAATCCAACCCATCTATGATAGTATTGTAAGTGGCTGAAATCGGCTTCACCCCTTTTGAAACCATGTCATCCAGCAACTTCATTCCTTAATCCTAGCCTCTTAATCCTATGATTATTAAGTAGTCAAATTGCCCTATAAACCTTTCTTCAAAACCTGTTTCATAACCTATCAAATCCATTTGATCCCCATTCTTCAAATAAGCGCTAACAATAAATTGTAAGTATCAATATTAGGACTCACATCCATGTTCTCAACCCATTAGGGTGCAGATTAAATCTTGTTCTCTTTCACAAACGCTTTCAAAATCAAGTTATGCGATACAACAGTAGGCTTGACGCCAAGCTTTGCAGGAATCGTCTTGAAGCAATCGTGAATTTGCTCGAACATCCCATTGTTCAGATAAACAGTGAGAATAGCACAAAGGGATTTTTCGGACACATTAGAATACCTGTTTTCAGACAAATCTTCGAGGGTTTGGAGTGCATTTGAGTAAAGCATAATGAGACGAATCCAAAACCCTGCAGACTTAAGGGCTGGGGCATTTTAAGAATGAAGCTTTTGGGTTTAGAGGAGGCGGTTGGCACGAGCTAGCTTGCGGATGGAGAGGCGGTAGATGGGGCGGTGGCGGAGGAGAGTGGGCCAATGGGAACATTGTTGGAAGATTTCCGCTAGCTTTTCAGGTTTTTTTCGGATAGGATGTCTGATTTTGCGGCTTTGAAATAAGGAAATGGGGTCTTTGTTTTTAGCCTATGTTAGTCTGAGTGGAGAAGAATCACTTGGGTATTGCTGGTTTTGGGTTCTTGAAAATGTAAGCCATGCTTTTTGATGCTGAAGCTGGGCAATTCGGGGAGAGAGTAGTGCTTTGGGATCCTGCCTTCGGAAAAGGGTAGAGAATTTACAATAGGTGCATTCAACTTAAAGTAATACAACACTAGTTGTAATGTAAAGTTTATTATTGTCAGTGTAGTAAGGTTTTCTTTTTGGGGGTTAGGTTAATTGGGGTCAAATGTCCCAATCAAATGGCCCATTGGGACCTGCAGTTGCAGGAGTTAGGGCCAAAATCCAAACATTTCCAAAGTCCAAAACCATCAAAGTTGAAAGTTGAAACCTTTTCTTCGCCATCGTCGGTGATCAGCATTCAACTATAAAAAACGAGCAGCAAAGCAGTCAGTACCAGTCCAGCCGCCACCACCGCCACCACCGCCACCACCACCATCCCCTCTTTCTCTGCCTTTCCTAAAACCTCTCCTACCTCGCCTACAATGGCTTCTCTCAGCCACCCTCTCAAAACCCATTTCATTTCCACCCCAAAAGCCAAACTCCAACTAGGCAAATCCCCCACCAGAGTCCGCATGTCTTTCCAAGAATCAGGCCCAAGCGTCGCCGTCGTAGGCGTCACTGGCGCCGTAGGCCAAGAATTCCTCTCCGTCCTCTCCGACCGTGACTTCCCTTACCGTTCCCTCAAGCTCCTCGCCTCCAAACGCTCGACTGGCAAGTCCATTTCATTCCAAGACCAAACCTTCACCGTCCAAGAGCTCACCGCCGACAGCTTTAACGACGTTGACATTGCGCTTTTTAGTGCTGGTGGGTCGATAAGCAAAGAGTTCGGTCCCATTGCGGTTGAGAAAGGTACCATCGTTGTAGATAACAGCTCGGCGTTTCGAATGGTTGATGGAGTGCCTTTAGTAATTCCTGAAGTGAATTCGGAAGCTATGGATGGGATTAAAGTTGGGATGAAAAAGGGTGCTTTGATTGCAAACCCAAATTGTTCTACTATTATCTGCTTAATGGCTGCTACTCCTCTTCATCGCCGTGCTAAGGTATAACATAAGTTCCCATTTTGGTGGGTGTTATTGACTTGTAAATATTTGAACATTTTGATTGGTAGATTAAGGCTTGCTTAGAAATTGGTTTTCCAGTGTCTGTTTGATGCTTCATTTGGGTTTTATTACATTAGATGTATGATGTTTTAAAAGTTGCTGAGTTATGAAGAGTAGAAAATTTTTGTTTCAGAGACATTCCCTTGTGTAACAATCTTAGCCATTTATTGTAACTTGGGTTTTTTCGTAAATAGAAGGACAATTTAGCAAAGTAATAGAAACATGAATGAAGGAATTGTTTGCAAAATTTGCTTGGTAAGTAACTGAAGACATAGTGAGTTTGAAGTAAGATGACTAAGTGATTGCTTGTAAAAGCTACTACGTGAGAAATGAATAATTAGAGTTTTAATTAGTATGTTATAATGTTTTGGGTGCTTTGTATTTTATAGTGGATTAATTTTAACTGAAATTTTTATGAGATATTGAGAAGAAAACTATATGGTTTGAATCTTTAGGGTAGGATATCTTTTGTTCATTGTTTTGAGCTTTTGCCAGTTTCACTGCCTAAGTTATTGTTATGCTGTATCAAGCAACTTAAAGATCTCATGCTTACCTGGCAATTTATGTTTCAAATGTTGATTCTCTTCATGGCATGTTGCAGGTGACACGTATGGTGGTTAGTACTTATCAGGCAGCTAGCGGTGCTGGTGCTGCTGCTATGCATGAGCTTGAGCTACAAACCCGTGAGGTGATTTGATTCAGATTTTTTTTTTTTCTAATCTTCATTTATTATTTACTTGTTAAACGAGTGTTTGGTCAATATTTTCTTCTAATTGATTCCTTGCTGCATTTTCTTTTAGGTCCTGGAAGGGAAACCTCCAACTTGTAATATCTTTAAGCAACAAGTATGTGTTTACAGTATCCATAAATTTGTGTATATCTTTTCATCTCACCAGGTTTCTTATAATTTTCTCTTATTTCTTTTTGCTTTTGCAGTATGCTTTTAATTTGTTCTCACATAATGCCCCTGTTCTTGAGAATGGATATAATGAAGAGGAAATGAAAATGATAAAAGAGACAAGGAAAATCTGGGTAAGTAGTTAAAGTGTTCTGATATAAAAAAAATCATCTAATGTCTTTTTCCTTTGAATTTTCTATTGAGACAAAAAATCATCTAATAGAATAATGTTTTGTCCTGCATGATTGTCTTTCCCATTTTCTCAGAATGACATGAATGTTAAAGTCACTGCTACATGCATACGTGTTCCTGTGATGCGTGCACATGCTGAGAGTGTGAATCTTCAATTTGAGAAGCCCCTTGATGAGGTAATATTTTATAAAATTGTGAATCTATAATTTTATCATCAATATATGAAATAAAAGTGATGAAAAAGTCACAAACATTTTATTTGCTCTTGTCATTATAGCTAGTCTGGTGCATTTACATGCATTGCTTTCATCTTTCAAATTTTTAAGCTCCTTTTTATTTTTTTTAGGTGAAGAAATTTAGGGCTTCTTCTTATTTTACTTGTATGTATAAGTTTTTTTTCCCCTTTTCCTTTCATCATTTTCATTTATTGGGACAGAAGTTGTAAAGAATGGGTTAGGTTTAAAGTTGGATTTTGTTCAACTTTTACAAATATAAGGAAAATTGGAAATGGAATAGATATCTTACATTCTTACTTTCAAGCCACATTGTCAGGGTCAACTCTTTTTAAATATGTAATATGTAGCATATATAATCGTAAAATGCTAGTAAGGCAGTGTAGGACCCCAATTTATATCATCCCTAATCATACTGCAAAGTTTTCAAAATAGAAAATAAAAATCCCAATTTTCCTGTTTTGAAAACAATGTCAAAGCATTTCTGGTGTAGCCCATGTTAATTTATCTGAAGTTGATATACCTTGATCGGAGCTTGTTTATCTTAAATCTTATTTCATGCTATCTTAAAAGAACTTCTAAGGATGTTTTTATTGCCATTGATCTTAAAGAGAAAAAGTGTGCTCACTAACATGCTGAGTAATATATACTACTTAATATTACTTGTTGCTCCTTGGTATCTTTTTCAAATTGCAATCATTCATTGAGTCAAATATTATATATATATATATATATATATGATGTTTTTCAAGTTGAGGTTTTTAGATCATGGTAGCTTAAATTTGATAAAAGAATACAATTATATCAAATGCTATGTTGTCTTTGAAGATAATTGTTATATTTTCAAAAAGATCATGAACCAAAGAGATCAGAATGATGAGTACGAGTTATTTATAAGCTTGGCCACATCTGTTCCTATATAAAAAAGTCTTCTAGATTCCCTGTTTCTGACCCAAAAACGTTTTCTCATGTAGCTTTGGTTTTATTTTCAGCTCTTTATTTGGTAAATTTTTTTGTTGATCAGGATACAGCAAGAGAAATTTTGAAAAATGCTCCCGGAGTAGTAGTTATTGATGATCGGACTTTTAATCACTTCCCTACACCATTGGAGGTATCAAACAAAGACGATGTTGCGGTTGGCAGGATTCGCCAGGATGTGTCTCAAGAAGGAAATCATGGGTAAAATTCCTCTTTCCCTACATTTTATTTGTCCCTTTTAGAGTATTTTCATGCTAATATGAAATTTTAAAATAGGTTGGACATCTTTGTTTGTGGTGACCAAGTACGCAAGGGAGCTGCACTTAATGCTGTTCAGATTGCCGAGTTGCTGTTATGATCTTGCTGGGGCAAATTCATTCATGCAATTAGATTTGAACTCACTAGTGTTTAGTTTAATATAATTGGTCTTTGATTGCGGATATTTTTATTATCTTGTTTGAGTTGAACAAAATTTTGAAAGTCTTTTGTAGCATAAACAATTAGGTTTTTATTTTGGCTCTTGACGTTTTATTATGGATTCATTTGGCGAGCAAAGTGAGGGGTTCGCACAGAAAATGATATGACCAAGCGGTGAGAGTCCCTCTTATCATGCTGCCAAATGAATCCTATTTATATGGCCGGTTCGCGGCTGTCATACTCTGTGTGGATGACATATGGTCCATTCAGGAATTGACACATGGCTTAAACATGATACCATTGTAGTTAACAAAACCTGAAGAACATATTGAGCTACTGTACCACTAGCTATATTGAAGAAAATTCTCCCTCCTACCCTTTAGCTTCTTGTTTGTGATTGTGTCAACAAAGGAATTCTACTGCCAAGTTCCTTGAAAATTCAGCAAGTTAAACATCTTCCCAAGCTTAAGGGTTAAACAAAGTCAAGATTCCATGGAATTTGGTTCAAAGCTACATTTAAGACTCCATCAAATCATTTCTTTTGGACCAAGTTCTTTTTTTCTTGGTAAAATAAGGCATAACTTTGACCCATGATAAAGGTAAAAGAATCACCCAAACTTAAATTACCAAGGTTTTTTTTTTAAAGTGAAATATATTTAAATTACTTATTCATATAAATATAATATTCAAGTTACTTAAATCTAAATTATTGTGTCTGAAATATTCTAAACAAATTTAAACTATTTACCATGGAATCCTTATTGCCTAAGCAATTTAAACTATGTATGCTTTTTACATTAAAAAAAAACCCTAGATATCAGTACCAAAAAATAAAACCCAGATATGCTTTTCTTGAAGAGTTTAATATTTTATGTGGAAAAACTTTATCTTAAGTCATTATATTAAGAAATTATTACTTAAAAGTATAATAAAAAAATTTTAAAAACAAGTGATAATCTTTTAATTTAGTTTATAATATTAAAAATTATCCACATATAAAAAACGAATTTTTTTCGTATTCAAATGTTGTATTTTTAAAAACTAGAGAATAATACTAAAATACATAAATTATTTTGGATGGGTAACCAACAGGATTTCGAAACGTGTCAATCTCAAATAAGTTCGACCGTTGAGGATCATAGCCCATGGGAGCCTGATGTCAAAAATACTAAAATAATCGTGCAAAGCAAAGCCAAGAATAATCTCAAACCTTACCACCCTTTATTTAATTCTCTCGGCGCCACAACTAGGCATCCCCTCTCTCTGTTATAAATTTCCTTTGTTTCTCCTCTGTTTTCATCTTTACATCTCTTAAAACTCTGCTGAGTTTTTCTCTCTTCTTTTCTCTTCAAATTCTCGTGAATATCTCTCTCGTCAAAGTCTGGTGAGTCTCTCTCTAGTTTTTTTATTTGCTTTGCCATTCTTGGTTCTGTGTTTTTTCTTCTCAAATCCTTCTTAGCAGTAGTGTAATCTGTTGGCAAGAGTAATGGTCTCTGTTATATGTTTTCTTAGTGCTATTTGAATTTGAACATCAACCATGCTGTTGATCATAGCCAAAAGCTAAATGGGAAATTAATATTTTGTGTGTTTGTTCGTGAAACTGCAGGTGAAAGTGATTGGGGAGGGAAATGGGCAGGACAATTAACCTCCATGGGTTTGCTTCTGCTGTGACTGAAGCAGAGGTGACAGAGTTTCTGGAGGAATATACAGGGAAAGGAACTGTTGAGGCAGTAAGTGTTGGGCAGTCCAAGAAAGAAGGCTCAAGAGCTCAAGCCAGAGTTCAATTTAAAGCCGTTGAAGATGTTGTAAGAATCTTGCACTGGGCAGCTAACCAAGCTCTTTGGTACAATGGTTCTTATTTGAAAGCCTGGCAATTGCACCGTAACATTATCCCACAACCAAAGCCACAGTTGCATAGCATAGATGATTTGATGTTGCATTTTGGTTTTCAAGTTTCGAAAGAAAAGTTTTCTGTCCTTTGGAAACAGGCTTATGTCTCCTTTAAGTTTGGTCAGAAATTGGACAAATTATACTTCTTTCTGTCTTATAATTCTATGAACTACAAGCTTGAACTGTTCAACGACAATGTTTGGCAGATTGTGTTACATTATCCACCTGATGAAACTCAGAAGTGTCTGCTCATCATTCAGGTATGTTTCAAATTGATTGATTTAATTTGAATTGATTCCTATTCTCTTTATGACTAATGTTGGAGAAGCTGTTTACAGTTTGAAGAATTGACGTGGTTCTAATAATCTAAAATATGATACGATTACATAATACGAATACAATATAAATATATAACATGAAATTAATATGATTTAAAATTATAATAATAATTATATATAAATTTAATAAAATAAAAAATATATATTTCATATTTTTATGTGAATATTTATTATAATATATAATTTTTGTATAAAATATAATATAAATATATAAATTTTAATATTTTATATAACACTAATATATGAATCGTCGGATCTAATTCTGATCAATGGCGGATTTACGTAGAAACATGTCGGGGGCAGTTGCCCGCTGAGTTCCTAAATTTCTTTTAGGGTTATTATAGTTTTAAAAATTCAAGATTTTACCCCATTGAAAATTTTGGTGATTGTATTTGTTTCCCTAAATCAAGGTTAATACAAGAAAGTTTTTATTGTTTATCAATATTGTAACTTTAAATGCGAAGCAATTTTATTGCAATATATATTTTTAAGTTTATAAAAAATGAAAAAAAATTATATTTAGAGAGTTTAAAATTATTAAATTTATAATTTATTCTAATAATTTATTTAGATTGATACAAGGTGATCTTATAAGTGTAACGAAACTTGAAGCTTGCATTATTTAAATGGTTTAACCATTTTTTAACACCAAAAAAATAACATATAAACTATAAAGTAATAAAAATAAATAATCATCTTTAAATAATATAAATTTATGTTTTCATTTTTCTTTTCATTGTATGTAAGAAAAAAGTCATATTTTATTTTTTAAACTATAATGGATAAAAAATCAAATATATTTGTTTATTAAAAAATGATAAAATTAATATATTAAAAATAAATAATAAAATTAGATACGTCAATTTTTATTTCATTCTTTCACATATTATATTTATCGTTAAGAATTTTATAAGTAAAATTTTATTAAATTAATATGTGTATGTATCTATTATGAAAGATGATTTACTTAAATAATTTTTTGGCTATATTTGTTAAAATTATATAATTAATTATGGAATTATTTCTATTAAAAAATACTTTTATATACAAAAAATATTATACTTGCTAATTTTATTTGTAATTTTTAAAATAAAATTTTATTTTAATGAAAAATTTTAAAATTAACTTAAAATATTTGTCCCGCTGACCATAAATTCTAGCTCCTTCCCTGATTCTGACTTGAAAGTTTTGAGATTTTGATTACCATCTATTTATCTGTGAAATTAAAAAAAATAAAAAAGTTTCATTAGAATATTCAAATAAAAATCTATTCTATTTTATATTTATTATATTTTATGAGAAGAAATTAATTTATATTGGTGTAAAACTAAAAAAAAAAATTTACACAAATTTTTAATAATTGATTTTAGTAATCCAATTAAGGTTTCAATTGAGTTGAGATAGAAAATTAAGATAATAAAATATTAAGAGTTTAAACTATTATTGAATTTTTATTCAAAAATTTTTAACTTTTGCCTTTTTTATTTATTCTTTTTTTTTCCTATGCAACTCTTCATGTATATTTTGGCCCCTATAGCATTTCTGTCTTTGCTCCCATGGTGTTTTAGAATTTGTGCGACAATATCGTAGGTGATTGCTGACTTAATTTTGCCCCTTCTATGGTAGTTACTTGGGGCCCCTCGGATCTATGAGAAAGATGTGCCTGCTCTCGACTCTTCTAGGGAAGTTACAGGGGTTGACCTGTGGATTAGGGGAGTTGATTTTACTCCGGACCATTGTATTGGTCAATCCTTTGCTTTATGTTTGGAGCTTCCCCGAAAAGTGCAACTCCCAAGATTTGATGAGAGTTTTTACTACGAGGAAGTTGAAGACAATTTCCTTCTCCAGAATGGTTCTACTTTTTCTTCCAACCCTGATCTTGTTCCGATAATCAGTCCACCTCCAGGTTTTGACTTGCCTTATGGTATCTTGTTTAAAGTAAATTCTTTGGTTCAACACGGTTGTCTTCCTCCCACATCTCTTGATGCCAGATTCTTTAAGTTGGTTGATCCCTGTAGAATAGATATTGCATTCATAGAACATGCATTAGAGAAACTGTATAGCTTCGGAGAATGTTGCTATAAACCTGTTAAGTGGCTGAAAGAGCAGTATAAGAAATACCGCCAGTCGGTGAAACCTCCTAGACCTCCCATTCTTGCATTTGATGATGGATTGGTAGCTGTGAGAAGGATTCAAGTGACCCCATCCAAGGTGTATTTCTGTGGTCCGGAAGTGAATCTTTCTAATCGTGTTCTTCGTAATTATATTAAAGAAATGGATAATTTTGTTCGGGTTTCTTTTGTTGATGAGGAACTAGGAAAGATACATTCAACCGATTTGTCTTCAAGCACATCTGTTAGTGATGGAAAGCACACTAGAATTTATCAAAGGATATTATCAACTCTTAGAAATGGAATAGTTATTGAGGATAAGAAATTTGAATTTCTTGCTTGTTCAACAAGTCAATTACGAGAAAGCTCCGTTTGGATGTTTGCATCAAGACCTGGGCTTACTGCAGTGGATATCAGAGAGAAATTGGGTCATTTTCGTTTCATAAGGAATGTGGCCAAGTATGCTGCCAGATTAGGTCAGTCTTTAAGCTCATCTAGGGAAACTTTAGAAGTGAGCATGAATGAAATTGAGGTAATTCCTGACATTGAAGTTGAAAGTGGTGAGACTAAGTATGTTTTCTCTGATGGTATCGGAAAAATATCTACTCAACTTGCAAAGGCAGTGGCTGAGAAATGTAGCTTGACAAGTTACACTCCATCTGCGTTTCAAATTCGGTATGGTGGTTACAAAGGAGTTGTAGCTGTCGATCCATCGTCTTCAGTAAAATTATCATTGAGAAGAAGCATGCAGAAGTATGACTCAGATGGTACAAGTCTAGATGTTTTATCATGGAGCAAGTATCATGCTTGTTTTCTTAATCGCCAAATAATCATCCTTATGTCTACTCTTGGGGTTGAAGATTGTGTTTTCGAAACGAAGCAGAGAGAGGTTTTAGCTCAATTGGATGCAAGTTTGATGGATCCAGAAAGGGCAAGGGAGGCACTGGAGTGGATATGTCATGGAGAAATTGCCAGAGTTCTAAGAGCAATGCTTTTGTGTGGTTATAACCCAGATTCAGAACCATTTCTGTCAATGATGCTACAAACAATTCATGCATCGAAATTGCTAGATTTGAGGACCAAAACAAGGATTTTTGTTAAGGATGGAAGGAGTATGATGGGATGTCTAGATGAAACTGGGACACTAGAATATGGTCAGGTGTTTGTGCAGTGCTCTCTCTTTAAACCGAGGCAATTTTCAAACGATTCCCTCTTAACAGTCAACGATGTTAGATCGGATCGAAATTGCCATGTTGTTGAGGGGAAGGTAGTTGTTGCTAAAAACCCTTGTTTGCACCCTGGAGACCTTCGTGTTCTGCAGGCTGTGGATGCCCCGGTTTTGCATCACATGGTGGATTGCATTGTTTTCCCACAGAAAGGAAATAGGTATGACCATCCAATACTCATATGCTTTTCTGAATTGTTTTTGAAGTATTCAGACTCATTTTATAGTATATAGTACAATGTATGGTTTTCTTATTATACAGTACTTAATTATCTACTGGTTTCTTTCTATAGTTAAATACTTCATTTACTGATAGTGGTTACATGACGATCAAACAGACCTCATCCAAATGAATGTTCTGGTAGTGATCTGGATGGCGATTTGTATTTCGTTTGTTGGGATAAAGATCTCCTTCCTCCCTGCCAATTTCCGCCCATGGATTATGGTACATCACCAAATGCCATTTTGGATCATGATGTTACCATAGAGGTATTACTCAAATCATGTAGTAAAATATTAAGATTCATATTACTGTTTCATGAAGCATGTCTTCTTGATTCTAATTATATGGAGTACTACTTTCAACAGTGTCCAAATCTTCATTGTGATTTCTTACATATCAATGTGACAATCCTCGGAGAAAAACTTGCAATATTTAGGCTGAGCTTGAAAGTAATCTGTTTAGTCTTTTTTTTTTTTTTCCCCAATGAACTCGAGGAAACAGATGGAACATTTACTTGGACTAGAAACTCTGTCAGGAAAGGAATGTATATATATGCTTCTATATGAGTTAAATTTTATTTGCAATTTCAAGAAATATTTAATGGTTCTTTCTGGTTAACATATATATATATATATATACTTCTATTTACAGGAGGTAGCAGAGTATGTTACCAACTACATACTCAATGACAACTTGGGAATCATTTCAAATGCACACACTGTCTTTGCAGATAGGGAGCCCCTTAAGGCAAGGAGTCAGCAATGCATTGAGCTTGCCAAGCTATCATCCATTGCAGTTGACTTTCCTAAAACTGGTATTCCAGCCAAAGTACCCCATCGTTTACGCGCCCTAGAATATCCTGATTTCATGGAAAAGCCTGATAAACTCACCTATGAATCACAAAGTGTGATTGGAAGGCTTTACCGCGAGGTGAAAAGTATCGCAACAGGGGTGAGTACTGGTGTTAAACATTTCACCAAGGAAGTAGCAGAGCAATCCTATGACTTTGACATGGAAGTTGATGGCTTTCTGGATTATGTCAATGATGCTATGTATTACAAAGGTCAGTATGACTACAAACTAACTAACCTGATGCGTACCTATGGGGTCCAAACCGAAGCTGAAATGATCAGTGGATGCATCATGAAAGTGTCAAAATCTTTCGACCGAAAAAGAGACTTGGAAACAATTGTTTTGGCAGTGAAGTCATTGAGGAAAGAAGCACAAAGTTGGTTCAATGAGAAAGGAAGTGATGAATTAAATTCTGATGATGAGAATGTATTTGCAAAAGCTTCAGCATGGTACCATGTGACATACCATTCTAAATTCTGGGGTTTCTACAATGATGGAGTTGATCGAGAGCATTTCATCAGCTTTCCATGGTGTATCTATGACAAGCTTCTCCAAATCAAGGAGAAAAATAGGGAAAGATCTTCCCATTTCTCATCACCAGAAGAATGTAAACCCAATCCTGGTGGGTTGAATTCTGATGAGAAACCTAGTTGGCGTCTTTGTTCTTTCATGTGAATCAAGCATTTCAAAAACTTGTACAACTCTTAATTTGTTTACACTTACAGTAACCTTAACTCTATGTTTATGATGTTTTCCGTTTAATCTTTGTCCATTGTAAAACCAAAAAAAAGTCCTTGAATTTGTATAATATTTAGATTATAGATAAATAATTTCAGTTTCTTTTCCAAATAAATATTTGAGTTCTTCACTTTTACGTCAAAACATTAAAAATACATATCATTTTTTTAATTTTATCCATGTAATTAAAAATTTACTATTATATTGTATTACATACTAACTTAATATTTATATTTATATATTTTTCTATGTCATTTACGTAAAAAAATTATTAAATATATTGATAGTAAAATTTTTAAGCTTTATAAATGAAATTAAAAAAGGTGACATATTTTCTTAAGGTATATTTAAAAAAATAAAAACTAATTAAAAATAAAAAAATAGAACATGTATTGATATCTTAATACTGCTTATGAAATTAAAAATTTATACTGATTGTGTATCAAATAATAACTCGTCTCTATATATATATGATTAAAATTTATTTTCAAGGTTAGACAAATTGAATATTTATATTTATATATTTATTTAAATTGTTATATTCTTATCTGTTGAAGAAAATTTGGTGGTTGCATTATAATATGGTTTATGGTGATATTGCAACATTCTTTACATCTCTTGATTTGTTTCATACCATTAATTTGTTCGACGTTCAATTTTTGAAAATTTTAAAATTTAACAAATATAAAAAAAATTGGATGAAAAATGAATTAAAGGGACATATAAATATTAAATAGCTCCCAATGATGGATAAAGTTATTAAAATTATATTTAAAATTATTAAAATTTTATCAGTTATTATCAAAATTATTTTAAATATTACTAAAATTATATCATATATTATTAAAATTGTATTAGAGGGTTACCAAAGTTATATCAATATGTTAACAAAATTTTATAAAAAATAATTAAAATTGTATAAAAAATTACTAAAATTTTATCAAAATTTATAAAATTTATATAAAATATTATCAAATTATATTAAAAGTTATTAAAATCAAAATTATATCAAAGATAATCAAAATTATATTGAAGTTAATCAATTTTTTTCTCAATCTTTCTTCCATTTCATGACATTTTATTTTCACTTTCTACCACCACTTTCGGTGTCTTCTATCCATAAGAGAAAATATGAAGTTTGATTTATGTGGTTTAAGTAAAGAAGGCGAAGTCTAATTTAAGTGGCGTCGGGTTATTAGGGAATGTAATGTAATTAGATGCGGCTAAGTTGTAAGTGTTACAAAATAATTTTATTAAAAATAATAAATAATTTATTGCAAGATTAATTTTATATAAAAAAATTATAATTTTTTATTACAATCCCCAAAATTATAGCCGAAAATAAAATTTCTCACTAAAAATAAAAATTCAGTTTTTTTTCCCCAAAAAAAAAAAGTCCTTGAATTTGTATAATATATTATAGATAAATAATTTCAGTTTCTTTTCCGAATAAATATTTGAGTTCTTGCCTTTGGAATCAAAGCATTTTAAAGCATACACTCATAATTTTATTTGTCTTGAAGAAGTTTTAATCAGTGTTAAAATAATTGATCAAAATATCCCTATTAAAATGTTATTATTATTTTATCAATTATTCATCAATTACTATTATTATTTTTAATTTATTATTATTGAATTATCATTATCATTAATAAATTAAATTATTTTTTATTATTAGACTCTTATTGAAACATAATATTATAATTTTTGCATAAAAAAATTTACCAGAAACTGATATCAAATTAAATCAAACCAAAAGTCGCATTTTTTATTGATTATTTAAAAATAATAATAATTATTGGGATAAGATTCACATGTGAGTAAAGAATCCTACATCACTAAAAAATTTAAATGAGATATCTTATATATACATAAATGACTCAATAATCTAATAGCTTAAACTTTTGGACTTAAGTAGTGTCTAACATGTATGTATGAGTTTTCTGGTATGTTCTTATAAGCTTCAAGTGTGATAAATCTACTAACAAGTGATATCAAAATTAGGATTATTTTAAGACATTGATATAAAAGTAGCCTAAGACATAAGTATATTCTATTTGAGAGCCTAAGACATAAGTAAACAGCCTAATACATAAGTAAATTCTATTTGAGAGCCTAAGACATAAGTAAATTCTGTTTGAGATCATAGAGGATGACAGTATCAAATTATTTAATTTAAAAACCTATTATAAAATATCATTTATATTATAAAGATTTGTATTAATCGGTATTGAGAGATTCGGCTAAACTAACTAATAAATATGAAAGATGAAAGCTAGAAGAAATTAGGCAAAAAGACGCTGGCTATAATCAGAAAGAGTTATTTTGAAACATTGATACAGAAGCAGCTTAAGACAAAAGTAACTTTTGTTTGAGATCATGAAAGATGATAACATCTAATTATTCAATTTAAAAGTCTATTATAGAAGATCATTTATACTGTAAAGATTTGTATAAGTCGATATTGTGTGATTCGGCTAAACCAACCAATAGATATGAAAGATGAAAGCTGAAAAAAATTAGCCAAAAAGGCACTAGTTATAATAAAAAAATAGGTTGATATCAGTGTGTTCCATCATATAGTGTAGGAGATAAATGCCACACTGTTTGAGAAAACTTGACAACATTGTATGAGAATAAAGTTATGCTTGTTAAAAAGCTTGATTCGATTAAACCAACATATATGAAAGATGAAAGCTGAAAGAAATTAGACAGAAAAACACTGACTATAATCAGAAAATAAGTTGATATTAGTGCGTTTCATCATGTAGCGCAGAAGACAAATGCCTACATTATTTGAAAAAAATTGACAGTATTGTATGAAAGAAAAACAAGTATGAATAAAGTTATGCTTGTTAAAAAGTTTACAACTTTACAATACATGGATGGACGATCGATTATAGAGCACTTGAGTATTTTTAAGATATATTTAATCGGATAACTACTATAGAGCTTTAGATGGATGATGAAATAAATGCGTTATTTTTTTTCGGTTCATTGCCAGACAATTAGAATACTCTAGTTGTAACTATTTTCAATTCAGCTCTTGATTACAATATGATATTGAAGATGGTAAATGATAATATGCTTAATGAAAAAGTAAGGAAAAAAAATTAGACCATGGGAATCAAGCTCTGGTCATAGAGAAACAGAAGATGGTGGTGCTAAAACCAAGTGAAAGAAGAGAAGCAAAAAAAACAATAGAGAGAAAAAGGAGAAGGGAGAGTTTATTGAACGAAAGTCGATTTATGATCTGATTGAGCTAAAATTTTATTAGTAAGTTTATGATTCAGAGTTTTACATTGTGAATAATAAAGATCGGATTTGAAGCTCTCTAGAAATAAATTCATGATGTATTTGTCGAGTCACTTATTTGGTGAGATTTCTATAATTGTCTCTCTAGTTGTTGATTAGCTCTAATTTTAGTTAAAGAAAAATTTTGTATATCCATTATTTGATAGTGAAGATTTTTTCTGGTAATCTATGATTTTTTTTCTCTATACTGAAGGGTTTTCTACATAAATCTTAGTGTGCTTTATTTTTTCTTGCATTATTGATTGTTCGAGTCCCAATAGTATTACTGGGGGGGAGATTGTTGGTAAATTAGAGGTTGATTGCGTCCATCAACTTCATTTACTCAAACACCAGTATTAAAAAGTTCAACTTGGATACAATGACTATATGATAATATGCTAAAGCAGAACATTTAAGTGAGTGATGTATTGAGTCAACATGGAGTGCAAGCTTGAAGGAACACTAAGATAACCTAGGTAGCAAGGTTGAATGTTGTAGCCTAACTTAAAAGCGCACTAGAGATGTTAGATTGCCTGACTTAAATAAGATGTTGATAGGACTTACTCGCATGGGAGAGCCGAAATGAGATTTGATTAGAACTCATAATTGAACAGAAAAAATTATTGGATAAGATTCACATGTGAGTAAAAAATCTTAAGTCACTAAGAAATCTAAATGAGATATCATATATATATATATATGAAAGACCCAAAAACTTAATAATTTAAACTTTTGGACTGAAGTGGTGTCTAATATGTATGTATAAACTCTCTGATATATTCTTATGGGCTCTAAATGTGATAAATCTCTCAACAGTAATGAAACTTGAAAAGAGTATTCGTGATTTCATCACATTGTTTTCGTTAAAAGCTTGAAAGTGAAGTTTATTTGATTGCACAGCTATGATCACTAATCAATATACTTTTACTACAATTTTTTCACCATCGGCGTCTTATTTTCTTTAATCTTTATCCATAAATCATAGGTTGAAATTTGATTAATTGAACTTCACAAGGATAGATAATGATCTTATAGCCAAAGAAAGGCATCCAATCTTTTTCAAGGCTAGACAAATATTAATGAGTTAACATTTAATATATTATTCGTGTAAATTTTTAATTAGATTTTATAGTTTTTAAATATACATAAAATTTTATACTGATAGTATATTAAATATTAATTCAACATTTATATGCATTCATATTCTAGTGTGGCTTATATATGTTATTTACATAAAAAAAAAATATCAAATACACTGATAATAATATTTTTAAATTTCACAAGTGAGATTAAAAAAGTGATACATACGTTTTAAGGTATATCTAAAAATAAAAAAAAATTAATTAAAAATAAAAATAAAACATATGTCAATTTTTTAACATTATTTATGAAATTAAAAATTTACATTGTATCAAATACTAACTCACCTCAATATATACCACTCAAATTTATATTCAAAATTAGAGGAATAAAGTATTTATATTTATTATTATATAAAATTTATATTCTTATCTGTTGAAGAAAATTTGGTGGTTGAATTGTACTACTGGTTTACGGTGATATTGCAACAATATTTCCATCTCTTGATTTGTTTTATATCATTAACTAGCTTGATGCACGGGATTTTTTATTAAAATTTTCATAATTTTAAATTTATTTTTTAATTATTGATCTAATATATAATCATATATTTATAAATGCTAAGTTACAATTAAATAACAATTTATACATAATATATTATAAATAATA